GTTGATCCTGATCAAGAATATATATACTTTATGAAGTCGAAGATGATTCCTTCTCCGATTTCGATATTTATGCTTGTAATAAAAATAATTTTATTTATTTTAATTGAATATATTAAAAAATTCGTCTTCCATATATATTTTTTTCTAATGATTTCACATTTTTGTAGATGTTCGAAATTAAATACATTGGCTCGTATACATCTAATGCAAAATTTAAATACTCTCTACAAGGGTATTAAAATACGTGTTATTCAATTGTATTTTAGACAAACATATATATTCAATAAATGCAATTCTAGCCTAAAAATGCATCGTATGAATCTCATTATGGTGATTTAGATATGCACATAAATGTTGCTTCATTTGTCGCTTGCAATTTATAAACGTTATTTATGAAAAATATGAAATATTCATTATTTGTTCGAGGGTTGGGGGAGGGTGCTTAAAAACATCGTTTCCCTTGCCCGCAGCAGCCTGGCTTAAACTGCCGTACTTGGAATAATTGTATTGTTGTCTGCTGCCCATTCAGGCTTAGCAGCAATTAACGCTTTTCAGATTTACTTAGCCCGCGGTGCTCTCTCCTTTTCAACCTTTCAGACACTCACATCCCTAAAAAACCCCCCCTCTCCCCCCCTCCGACTCCATCAGCCGGCCCCTTCCCGCTACACCCTCATTTCCCTTCCGCTCGTTAGATTTTTTGACTGCTTTCTGATTGCTATGTTCCTTTTTGCTGGGCCCAATTATAATTATAATTGCAGCTTTTTAATTGCATTTTGTTAACTATTTCGCAAGTCATTTCCCGCTTTTAAAGCGATAAAACTATTTACTCAAAAGTGTCGCCAAATGTTGCACTCCCTAATGGACTCTTTAGCTACGCATTTAGCATACGCCTGCATCCGCCTAAGGACTATTATAATGTGAATTAAAAAAGCACGATAAGCTAATGAAGAGATTTTGAGTTGGGATCAAATTGATACCCTTCACTATATATTTAATTTATTTTCTTTACTATATGCTATAGTAAAGTGATTTTTTGTGTTAGGATAATTTGTCCTTCGACCGCTTGTATAATAACCAGATCGACAAAATTATAATAGTCTTTGTAAGAAAATAAGCAATATAAAAATATCAGTAAAAGTTCGTTGTCGAGGTATACCAAGGATGCAAATAATTTATAAAATATTGAATAAATAGTCATTTTTTTCGGTGTATATATACAGTTAGATGCTCTCAAATGCAATGGGAATTATTTGTTTAATTTACATCGAATTTAATATTAAACGAAATAAACATCTGTAGATATGTATCTCTGTAGTTAATTTACAATAATAATTGAAGCGCATAAATCAGATATTTTTGTTTAACTGCAATTGATAAGTTAAATTTAAGAATGATTTCCGTTACAAACAAAAATATGCACAATATGTTTAAATACATTTAAATGCATTTAAATGCAATTGTGTTATTTAAAAGAAGAAAAAAAACAATAAGATACTTTCTTGACATACTGGAAATGTGTATGTGTATCTGATAGTATGTGAACAGATGTGCACGTTGTATACGTATGCACTATTAAATACATATTTATGTTCGAAAGAAATTATACAATTGTATATATGCAAACACAAATGTTGATAAGTACGCGTGAGCACATATATACATATACATTTACATATACATACATATATATATATTTATCAACTTATATTCTTATGCGCGAATATGCGCCATCGTGGTCATATGTACATATGCTCATACATACATACATACATCCATCCATACATACTCACATACATATGTGTATGCTCTTTTTTATGAACGCCATTTTCACAACGCTCCGGTCCAACATTATTTGGCTGGCATGCGTCACCCTTCGATATCGTTTGGGTTTTCGCTCTCGTTGCCATCCTCGTTCCCGGTTCCCGTTTTCAGTTCCCATTCCCGTTCCCGTCGTCGTTTTCATGAATTGCGCCCACACGGACACTGTGCAACGTTCACTATTTACTGGCGTTGACCAGTTGTGCTCCGAATATTTGCAGCGTCAGGAAAAACACACAAAAAATTCTTGTTATGTATATGTAAATACATACACACATACACACATATGTACATTCACTATGGTTAAATTTGCTATATTATTTGGCAACGATAAAAAAAGAATAAAAGTTAACATATATACCAAATTTAGGGTATACCAAAATTCGATAATGAAATTTTTCAGCTCAATGTTGAACGAACCCTTAAAGTTCCTTAATTTATTGTACCAACAATACATTACATACAGGCAGACCAATATTTCTTACAAGTGTTTTCTGCTATTAACTGTTATTTTCTTCTATAATGAAGATCAATTTTAAGGTAACATATTCTGTTCATTTATTATTATTTGGGCTCATTCATAATTTAATTATATTATCCCCTCAAATATAAATATGATAAAGTTTCCCCTTGGCAAAGTTAAAATTATTATTAAATATAAATTCGCCCAGATGCCTAAGATACTAATAATGTGAAGAGAGTTCCTAGCAAACATGAAATAAGTTGTGTTTTTTTGATTTTTTTTAAACTGTTGACAAGAATCTTAAATGATTTTACTAGTGCACCCCAAATCACTCTTAATTTGTATATTTTATGTATGAAACCTGTGGGAATTATATATGATATTATTGTTCATAAAATTACCTTTTCACAAAGTATAAAGCAGTCATCCTCTAGATATAAAGAAAAGCTTCATTAAAATGCTCGTCTTACGAATAAATTGTATGCTGGATTTTACTTAAGTAGCGCATCCTTAAAACATTCTATTCCAAGTTAAGTGCAGAAGCCATAACTTCTGAGTTACTTACACATTTCGAAGTAAATGTTATATATTTTATATATTGTTTACATAACGACAGATTGATAGGTGTAAAAAAAAACCCTATGATTTTTGCGCAAAGAATCCAAATAAGAAATTCTGCTAGCAAAATCTTACAAATGCCCCATTGTATGATGGGCAAGTGCGTATTGTCACTTTAACGGCCATAGCCTTTTTTTTGTTTGATTTTTTTCTTTTTGGTGAATCCTGGCAACAGCAGCTGGGCCACCCATAGACATCGGTCTGATTGCTGCAGCCAAGGATGCAGTCTGGCCTGCGACTAAACTCAGCCAACCCACATTACTAAAGAGAAGGGGCAACAGACCATTGGGTGAAAGTAATTGGAATCACACTTGTACGAGCACAACTAACCCACCAGCAAACAACAGCTCGAAGCTATTAAAAGTTTCCAAAAACAAACATTTTTGATACCAGTTCGATATTCGAAACGGAAAACAATAAATGAAAATGCAAATTATTGGTGCCGTTTTTAAGGACTTTGAAGAATTCTGCCTAATTATCGGAAAATTAAAAACAAAGTGTGGAATGCAAATTTGTGTTTTTTCAAACGTCTTAAAAAATATTTGTGAGGTGTTTAACCTACTTTCCTTGAAACATTTGTATATTTACGTCAGTATTGAAATGCAAGCTGTTAAAACTTGTTAACTGATTTATTACAAGCAAGTGAAAATAAAAAAGAGTCCAAATTATATATTCTGCTTATCCAACATAATGCAGTAATGAGTAATAACCACTGTGCATTTAATAAAATATAAACAAACATAATGCACTAATATTAACATATGCATGTGTGTGTGTGTGTGTGTGTTTGTATGCTATAAATATTTTTATTTCGAGTCAACGCTCAACGTTGCCGCATTTATTTACTAGGCCATTGTTTTGGTTTCATATATAGAATTTTTATTGTGTAACATGAAACAATTTCATCCGTTTGGTTTCCAATTGCAGCTGACAGACACACAGACAGTTAGACAGACACAATTTTGCTGTCTGCTGTCGGCAGAGTGTGGCAAGAGCAGCAACAGCAGCAGCAGCAGCTACCGCGATAACACCCTCCTGCTGCAATGCATGCAACACCCTACCCCGAGCGCCGGTGCATTAGCACAACTAATGATGACTTTGGAATTGCATCGCAACGCGGTTGTCGCATTCAACTGGGTCCCTTTTCCCTTTATTCTCTGCCGCTCTCTGTCTCTGTCTCTCTGTCTCTCATGTCTCTGCCTGTCCCTGACTCGGTCTCTGTACTGTTATACGCTTGCTCTGGACGCTGCTGATAGACCATTGCATTAGCGCGGTAGAGCGCAACATAATGTCGTTGTGCACTTTCCACAGCAATTGCTGCAGCAGCCATGGCGCTAACTGGAGACAATGGAATGGGTGTGCGGAGCATGGAGCGGGTGGCGTGCTGGATGAGGGGTGTCCCTTTCGCCATGCAGCTTACGGCTAGAGCTTTAGCCTAGGCCCAACCTTCCCCTCTACCTATCTCTCTCACTCACTCTCTCCCGCTTCTTTGTCTCTCTTTCTTATGGCTTGATGTGGATTTCATAATTACGTGCACTGAGTGCGATTATTATGATTGTTTCTTAATTCACAGATTTACAATATGTGTGTGAGTGTTTAAATATATACAGTCACAGTCATAATATCTATATATATATACATATATATACAATTGTGTATATGGGGATGTTTAATTGTTTAGTCGTCGCAATATCATTCTAATTTTTTATGCCTCACTCACTCGACTCGCATATAAAATCTTTTTTTAAATACCAAAAAGCAGCAAATGTCGCACATTTACACAGATGTATATATGTATATATATATATATATATATGCACACATACTTAGACAGTTAGTTGACAAACGCATCGCTTGTTATTTTCGAAGGGAATTTTCTTTTGTATTATATCCTTAACGCGAACAAATTTGCCAAGGAACTTTCTTTACTTATTAAATTTGTATTATCTCCAAGCTCACCAGCTTTTTGTGTTATATTTGTCTCTTCAAATTTTCTAAGCAAAAATAGAATAATAATCAGCATCTGACTATTATAAAGTAAAGTTCCCATTCAAAGAATCGATAAGAAATCAGAATTAAAAAAATTTTAAATATTGTCAAATTGTATTTGAAACATTTTTGTTGTTGCTTTAATTCACATAAAAACCTTCATAAGAAACTTTTCACATTCTATACAAGTCAGCTTATATACGTTTTTAAGTTTGTATGTATAATTGTTGCTTATCTTAAAATAGTTTTCTTAAAATATCACTTTCAGAACTGTTCGTGCACATTTTTTATTTCTCATCAATTTAAAATTTGGATTGCTCGCTTTTTTCTTAAAACTTAGGTTTACTTTCTTTTTTTTTTTGTAACAACTATTTAAATAAAATCTTTCCGAGTCTCGATTAATAAAAATATGCATGCATATCGTATGCATATTAAATGCATTCAATGTTTATATATTAATTTTCCGGGTTTGAATTAACATCCTTTTTGCTGTAGCTCAAAAGTGGAGCCATTATGCTGTATCCGTCCGGTGTAGTTGAGGAAAACGAATCGTGTGGCATGCTCACAGTGCCCGAATCATCGGTTGCCAATAATTCTGACAGATTGCCATCACCGATGATATCGAATTTCTGCATATTGCCAGCACTGTTTGTCTTGGCCAATATGTCCAAATTGGAGTCATGGAGTCGTGGAGAAGACAAACGAGCATTTGGCAACAGCTCCATTTCATCGTCCGACTCTGGCAGCTGGACAGCCGTGCCGGGCAGGTCAAGGCATGGAGTCAGCAGTCGCGGATAATTTGATATATAATCGATGACTTCGAGGGCAGTGGGTCGCTTGCTGGCATCCTGACTCCAGCATGCCTTCAGCAGACCCTCCAACTGTGGCTTGACACCATTCGGAATTTGCAACGTATTTCCGTTTTTAACAAAATCCAGAACTTGATTATTGGTCATGCCCTGATACGGATACGAGCCGAATGTGATAACCTCAAAGAGTACAACACCAAATGACCAAATATCCGATGCAGATGTAAATAAACCCAGCGACAACGTTTCCGGCGGCATCCAGCGCACTGGGAACAATTTACGAACCCCCTTCCGATTGAAGCAATAATAATCGCTCTCGAATGTGGGACGAGCCATGCCAAAGTCAGCAATCTTCACCATACGCTGTGAGTCAACCAAACAATTCCTGCACGCGATATCGCGATGCACATATTTCTGTTCCGCCAGATAGGCCAAGCCCCGGGCCACGTCCATGGCGTACATGGTCAGGCGCTTGGATGATATATCCGATTCATCGGTGATCTTCTCGTTGACCATGTTTCTGCGCGCCAGCAGATAGGTCTTCAAATCGCCATACAGCATGAACTGCATGATTGTGTAGATGGGCTCCTTTTGCAGGCAGACGCCCAAAAGTTTTATAATGTTCTTGTGATTGAATTTCTTCATTGCCTCGGCCTCGGCCAAGAAATCCAAGCGATCCTCCGTCGAGCCACCAGACTTGAGGGTCTTAACAGCCACAGCTGTCCAATCGTCCGAATTGAATTTTGCCTCACCGCCATAAACAGTGCCGAAGGCACCTTCGCCCAATCTTCGATTGACGACCACATTCTCCCTGGGCACTTCCCATTTGTCCAGGGTGTTGATTTTATTACGCGATGGCGATATCAAATCAATGCCAAACATTTTCATTATCTGCACCGATTGTCTCACTTTGCGATCATAGCGTTGTTTCCAAAAATAGAATGATATCAGCGACATGGCCATGATCGCCAGCAAACACATCAACACGCTGAAGATCATCGAGGCAATATCGCAATCGACACAAAGAAGACGAGCCAGTCCCGAGAATCGACAGTCGTATCTGCCATCCTCTGGTATCCGACCATGGAACACATCCCTGGCACTGAACGACAAATTGCCACCACATATATGGACATCGGAACCATTAGCCCGAACATGAGGTTGAAATGTGCCAACTTTGGCATAAGATCCATTTGTCCATTGCAAGATATCCAGATCGATAATCCGTGATCCGCCAAATTCGCCATGGCCAAAACGCACCTTGCCCGACAGCCCATCAAAATCGGTTGCCCAAATAAATTGGGCGAATTGATTTACAACCTCCTTGGACCTCAAATTGTGCACGGCATATGTGTTGTTCTGCAGCAATTTATGTGCAGCTATCGCATAGGTCCAAACGGCATCGTAAACAAATCCCACATAATTCGAAAACGTTTCGTATTCTTGGCCATATGTGGTTAGCCAGGAATTTATAGATTTGCCCTCTTGCATTTTGGCATTTGGTTGGCCAAAGGGCGTGTGCCTTATACTAAAGTGTCCTTCGATGGCCTACAATGGATACGAAAAATATCAAGCACTTAAATAATCTATCTACATTTTTCAATTTTCAATTTTAATCTTGAAAAACTTACGTTTTCTAACTGTTTGGCAGCGCATTTGTTTTTCACTTTTTGCTGCCACATTTGAAAGTCCTTGGAGAGCCATGCTGGTAAAAACCAAATGTAATCTTGTCTGTGTGTCATCTAAAATAAAATAAGTTATTTAATATTTCATTTAGATATTGAATTTAATGAATATTTCGAAAAACTAAGCCATGAAATGATAACTACAAACTTGTATCATTTCGAAAAATTAGGCAAATTAAGTAATTCAACTTGAAAATGTAAAATATTTGTTAAAATTATTTATTGTTTGAAAACGTTTTTTTTATTATAACAAATATATTTTACGTTGGATCCATGTCAAGTGTTTTAATAAAAACAAATATAAAATATTAAAATAAAATAATTATTTAAAAAGGTTCAAGTTTGGTAAATCTATCTCAAAAATTGTGGGATATAAGCGGTTTTATCGATTTGCAATTATCGTAGAACTCCAGTTTTAACACCCTGCCTGACTTTCTCTTATAACATCAGTATCACAGTACAATAATATTAAATATATAATTTAAGAATTACTACCACAAACAAATAAAAGAGACTTACACCCAAGTTGATGGCTTCACAGATGGCAACAGCAGCATTATCGCTATGAAGTTCCGCTATGATGATCTTAGAGTGAGCTGCTTTCAATTGGCCCAGGTGCTAAGCGATATAAATACATATATAATTTAATATGTACATTATACAATTATTAGAATGAGCAGACAAACCTCCCGCATATCCTCAGCTGTAACATCACTCGGAAACTTGCGACTAAATGCCAAAGTGAAATTATGTGATCTCAACTTGGTCTCCATACGCGACATATACTCTGTATATTGCTGGCTATCCTCCGTCAAGGTTGAGACACGACTCCAACCAAGTTGTTGCATTATCCTCATATACACATCCACATAAACGCTGTTCGATCCAATGGTGCGAAAGAAATACGGATATGCCTTGCGATCCACAAATGAGGAACCCTCAGCCGAGTAGGAAATTGCCATCATATTTAAATGTTTCGAAATTCCGGCAATGGGCTCAACGGTCTCACTGCAACCCGGTCCCAAAACACCCAGCATATTTGGTACATTGAAGTAGTGTATGAACGCCTTCATGACCAGATCTGATTTGCACTGGCCATCGTTAAGCATTATTTCCAAATTGTAGTCTGGTAATATGGTTGGATCTTTGTTGATTGCCACAACGGCTTTCTGGGCAGCACCAATAATATTCAAATGTCCACGATCTGTGATATTGATGGGAAATATGCCACCGATCGATAAAGTTTGTACCGTATTCGGTAATATCCATTTGCTGTATGTTCTCCTGTTGTTCAGTAACCAATTGCAAGCAACTTTATCATATGGATCGCTTGAGTGCTTCCTTTGAATACTCAACTCCCTCTGAATGTACTCAATGTCCTCGTCAGTTATGAAGAATTTTCGAAGCGCATAAATCAATCGCTTATCATTGGCCAAGCTAATCGTATAGTATTTGAGTATCGGAGTTAGTTCATATCTGCAATTGGTGTTTTGCAAATATTGATAGTCCTCGCATCGCGGCAATGTGATTTGTGTGAACTTGATGTCACCATCAATTATTTCCGATGGTAGCCAATGCAAGACTATAAATCTTTTCTGACCACGTGCATAAGATGTCTGATAAAATGCAACAAATTCCTGGATTGTGCTTCGAAATTCGGTGCCCAACCAAATTACATTTACAAAGCTCTCCTTTAGCTGATTTACAACAAAATGTGAATCGTTCCGGAACTCGGCTATAAGCGTAGCACATTTCACATTAACACAGTTTGGATTTATATATTCCTCAACACTGTAATGAATAAATATATTAAATAAAATAAGCAAAAATGCTCTAGTCGAAAGAGCTCGACTAGGAGGTAACCTGAGCAGAGCGGTTGAATATATTGAATTAATTAGTTATTATTACTCAAAGCTTGCTTTGATTATCGTGCTGCAAAGGTTCGATTTTAGTTGTTCTGATATTGGCGAAGTTTTCGCAGTAATATGTCAATGTATGTTTAATACTTAATTGGAAAACCTATACAAAATAGTGGCTTTTATTCTAAATATTATTGTATCGATAGAAAATAGATTTGTACGGTAAACGAGAATTTACAAACCAAATTTGAACTTATATTATTAATTGGCTCATTGCAAACAGACGGAAGGATTTGACACAATTTGGAATTCATTTTATAAAAACTGAGTTGAGTATTTATTCTACAAACCTTCTGTTCCTTAACACATCCATAAGATTATCTTCCAAGACGTACAGATCATAGTGTATATTGTGAATATCTTTGAAAACATCATAGTGCAAACTGCAGTTGCTGGCATCTGTTGAAATCTGTGCTTTTGGTACGAACCAACTGAATCGACCGGGTGTTATGGAGGCACCCGCATTCAATATGTTTGCAGGCGGCTCTCTGTACACGCTGTAAGGCATCCAAACTTCCAAATTGATCATGCTAATGTTGTGAAAACCATTGTAGGTCCTACAACAAAGAAATAATCATAAGTATGCATATAACAATTATTAAATATTATTATTTACCTCACATAGTCCAAGGTGTACCAGGGATTATGTGGATCGGACGAGTTTGTATAATGTATTGGAATGATTCGAATATCTCGATAATGTAGAACATCTTTCAAGAACATATAAAATATTCGTGTCATCACCTGATGCAACGATCTATTTGTTACTTGCAGCCCAATGCCAAAACCACTCGTGGGTGCCTCAAATGAAAAATTCTCTGAAAAAAAACAAAACGAAAAACCATTATCATTATGAATAATTATGGATGGGTATGTTTGTCTGTTCATATCGAACAGAGTTTTATCTTTATTCTCAGATCTTTGCACTCGAGAGCTGACAAAAAGATTATATTGCCTCTACAAATTTGTATATGTGACAACAATTCTGCAGATCAGCAACATTTGGAAAAGTTTCAGCTTTCATCTGCTCATCAAATTTACACTTACCATTTGTTTGAATGCATTGATAAGATGATTCGCTGTAGCCAGGGAGAATCAACAAGAAGTAAGCCAGAAAAACGACATATTTGAGAACCGTCCATTTTCGACTTAATGCCATTTCTGACATTTTCAGTTTTACGTTTGCCCCAACAATTTCCATACTGTGGAGAAAAATAGAATGTTAAAATTCGCAAAATGCTATTAAAATTAGTTAGGGTATATGGAGATTTTCCAGTTTTACGGATTGTGAGCGGGAAATGTGTTTACAAAATTAACACTTTGTCTGATGCGACTATAAGTATAGATTATATATTCAAGGTTTCATGTTTCGAACTTTAAGCGCTATGCATATATGTATATATATAGTATATAGTTTAGTATATATATATATATATTTATATATATTTTATCATAATTTATTTATTTTTAAAGCAGTGTGCTAGTAAATAATATTAGTTTTGATTAGTTTTTGTCAGCCAGTCACTTTGAAGTATTATTATTGGGGGACCTAATATTGTGACCCACTCTGAAACTATAACTATGAGGACTGAATCTTCTTCTGGCTAAGGCGACACAATCTATTGTCCGTACCTGATTATATCTGATTTAGCTGGGTAACCTCAAAGTAAAGTAAGCCAAATAAATACAAGCATATTTTATTACATCTTTCAGCAATAATAAATTTGATTAAGCATAACTCAATCGAATTGATTTTTCCAACTTATTATCAACTGATATAGTAGATTATACGGTTTTGCTTAAGACAAATATTTTAATTTCAATTTATTTCAATTTTTTTTTTAGCAATTTTAGTCCGTTTCAAAAATTAGTGCTCAATAAGTTAATCAAACTGATAACCAAAAAACTATGCACATAAGTGTCACTTGTTTGTCATGATAAATTAGTGAAAATTGAGCAAAATTGACTCAAAAATGAGTATATAAGAAATCTTGATCTTAACAAGATCTTGGTTCATTTTCAATGCATGCAAATTAAATTTGAATTTCGAATCCTAATCAGAATATCGTTTGAGCATTAGTTCTAACAGCGCAGTATTTTAAAGATTATACTCAGTGGGTTTAGCAAGCTCATGCAGGAAAAATAAAATTAATTCTGATGGAAAACACTGAAGATCTGCAAATAAATTCCAAGATTCAGTTTTAGTTTCAGCTGATCAACGCCCACGGATGCGTTCTTAAAATAATGCTCGACCAAACGCTTATGCGAAACACTTTGTCTATTTATACTCTGTTTTTCGAATGGAACACGAGTATATAAACTCAATTTTTGATGACACATGCATTATATGCACACCAAATCCTCATCACTTTACACTATTAGGGTCATTGGCATCGTTTTAAAGAAGTCTTTTTACAATAAATTCAAACAGTTGTCTTTCCACCTGTTGTCAACTTTTCTTGAACTTGGCGCAGAGTAGTATACAGTCGGTTATGCGGTGCAGCCAACGTTCTCATTTGTTATATTTGTGTTTACACACAAAATATAAGTATTAACTTTAAAAGGCGTCGTCCGATGCTTTTGTTAATCAGATTTTATATTATTTTTGCTGTGTTTATTTTGTTATTTTCATTTTTATAGGAATTATTCAAAACAATTTATGTGATGATTATGTTCCACGCATTAATATAAATATATTCGTATATGTATTAATATATGTGGTGATTTTATTTTCGCCGTTACTTATTGTTAAGCGCTGACAACAAATATAAATATAATAGTTTATAAATTCTATTCATTTCTCTTTGAATTTAAACAATTAATTAACACACCAAAAACTCAATTTTTAACACTTTTTCTGCTTTGTATTTTTCACTTGGAAAGTTCGATTTAAATAACATATTTCTTAAACAAATAATTATTAATGATATTACACTTTATTCCAATTGATAAATGGCGTCGCCAACTTGTCTTTGTATTTAAGATGTTGACCGATCCGATTGAAGTTTCATAATTAACTGAAACTGTACGTTCAGAAAACAATGCACATAATGAAGTTGCTCTGCGAAACAAATTCAAGTTTCATGCACTCAGCCGCAACAGTAGAACCTCATTAGTAGCACCACCACCAGCACCGGTCGCGAAAAGAAGAGTTTCTTTTCTCCTGGCCAAGAAATGTCGCACTTCTGCGACGACTGTGAGCATAATGCCGCTCTTCCAAATTCTGTAGAAATCGACAAAATTTAATTATACTCTGTTCATAAATCACCAAAAAAAAGGGTATATGGCCCATTCTTTTCCGTTTTGCAATGACCATCTGATAAACTTAAACTATCATAAAATTTTAAGAATTACCAAATTTGAGAATCCTCCCTTACAAATCAACAGTTAGGTATCCCAGTCACGCCGACCACACAAAAAAAAATATAATAATAATAGCAGTTTAATCATCCTTTAAAATTCCCTCACTAATATTCACAGCTTTAGACTCATTAACTCCAAAATCAATTAGAGACTGGAAACAGAGGAATAAGCAGTCGGTTACCTTAAACAGCACCGTGCGTCGCAAATACCAAAAAGCATACTATGCATATTCCACAAATTTTGTTACGATAAACATATAAACATATATACATATATATATATATATATATATATATATATACATATATATATTTATGGATTTTATTATATGTATGCAATTATGTCAATGCTTGTAACCAAAAGTTGCTCAAACTGCAAATTTGTTGGCAACACTTTCATTATAATCTTAATTGTATTATCATTTTTTTAATTAGGAATCAAAACCACCGTTTTGCATAAGTGCGGCTATGTTCATATAATTTTATATAATTTGCTATTCACTTGCATTTATTTTGTAATTGGAGAATTGTTGTTTACATTGACTGACAATAAAAATCTGCCGAAAACGCAACATTTAAAAGGGAAACCTCTGCAATTCTTCAAAGGATCATATTTAATACAAGAAAGAACAACTTACCTCGGCTTTTCGACGATAATATACACTTTATTTCGAAATATTTTTCATGCATCCAAAGAAAACTTAACATTAAAAAAACCTTGCTGACTAAATTTTTTCTGTCATAAGCTTAAAACCTATTTTAAATATTTGCCTGAAGTTTGAATTGTTAACAAAGAACAGCGGATGCAAATGCACAATCAGGGCACAATAGATAGATTAATAAGCACGATATTTTACGCTTTATACTGTAGCGTTTTTCAAACCACTCGATATTAGCACATTATTACCGAGATGCTACGCTTTTCTATATCATTGCACCTAACTATTTGGTAAAATAAAACATTAATGAATAGTGCGCTTAAAACATTTTTATTTTTCCAGCGTACTGCCCTTCTGCATAACATATCGATACTTATCGCTCAGCTATGACTTAACAGGACTCTAAAATGCGTCGTAGGCGCCTTTTTTGCGTTAACAGAGCATCATTTTGAACAACAGCGTTGTGTTCTTAGCAGATCTGAATTTAAAGTCTGAGTTTAATTTCAATTTGTAACAAGAAAACATTTAATTATATTTGTATAATAACATCGGGCAAGCGCAATAAATGATAATACCAATACTGACAAAATGGACAATACTCTACCAGACGACGCCTGGAAAGACTCATTCGATAAACTATTGGATCAAAGGCCGTAAGTCAATTTGTAAACAATAAATTGCCGTCTTTAATTGAAACAATTTATAGGCAGCTACGCGACCTGAACGTAATTAAGAGGGATGTGCGAGCATCGTTTAATATTGATTCCAGTGTCGAGAATACCGATCCAAATATGTTAAGCGCCATCGAATGCTCCATGCCAAACCCAAATTTGTTGGCTGTTCCCCAAGATTTAAATCCAACTAAAAAGAAAAGAAGCGATGTGATTTCGACACCTTGCACCAAACTTCTCCACTCCAATTTGTTCCATTGTGCATTATCCCCCATTACTGGCATGAAAATCGATGGACTAAAACCAATTGACGACAATCACAAACTGGATGACATTGGTAAAACAAAAGAAATCAACTGGATTAATTGAATAATTATTTTAAATATTTGTTTAGAAAAAGAGCAACCGCGAAGACCAAAACACGTCTGCTTCGAAGTGAACTCATTCAGCCTGGAAAATACCAATGATACGGATATCGCTTTGGACGGCTTCAGGATATTGCCCAAGGAAGTGAGATCTTCGCTCGTCCTACAACCGGGCAAATGGAGAAAACCCTTAATCACCTGGCGCCGCACCCACAATAATGACGCGCCTCGCAGCTTGAGTCCAAAGAAACAATTGACAACGCGAGCTGGAACAGCAGAAGGCTTAATCCTTAATCATGTGACTCAAAGAAAATCGGTGCATATAAAGAATAGCTTGGAACCGAAATTACCATTAAGTCACGAGCAAGAAGTGCTCAAGTATTGTGCTCAGTCCAGACCATATAAATTTAGCTCAGCCTATGGATTATCTAAAATGATCGACACTTGCAAGATCGGCGAAGGCGTCTACGGTGAGGTATTTAAATATACGCCAAAGAAATGTACTAAAAACACTGTGGTTCTCAAAGTGCTCCCAATTGAGGGTGCTGCTTTGGTCAATGGTGAAGCGCAAAAGACATTTGAGCAAATATTGCCGGAAATTATAATTTCTAAAGAGATGAGCAATCTGCGCTTGAATCCAACTAATTCAACAACCGGATTTGTCGACATTTACAATGTAAGTTTAAATTTTATAATAGATTCGGTTTTTTCTAGATTTCCCCAATCCATGCAACAAATGTGGAACCATTTTGCATTAATTTAATTTAATCCATTTTTTTTTACTGACTTTAAATAAATTAATAATATATCCATTGTTTGCAGGCATGCTTAGTGAAGGGAAAGTATCCGAAACATTTAATAAAACTGTGGGAGGACTATGACGATGAAAAGGAGTCGGAGAACGATCATCCGGACATGTTTAACGATAACCAGCTATTTATTGTATTGGAGTTAAAATTCGCTGGCGAAGATATGTCGTCATTTTTATTTTTAAATGCTGAGCAGTCCTATTATGCACTACAACAGGTAAATTATTTAACTAAATTAAATAAGCAATGAACAACTTTATTTTGTTTATATTAGATTATATTAACGCTGGCCGTTGGCGAGGAAGCATTTCAATTTGAGCATCGTGATTTGCATTGGGGCAACATACTTATTGAGAAAACAGATGAGAGGAAAATTGCATATAAACTCTGTGGCAGGGATTTATTAGTGGCAACAAAAGGAATTCGGACAACAATCATTGACTATACGTTATCAAGGATAACGGTTGACGACTGTTGCCATTATAATGATCTCTCCACCGATGAGGAGCTATTTGCGGCCACTGGCGACTATCAATATGACATTTATCGCCTGATGCGCGATGAACTCCAGTGAGTCAAGTAAGCCATCTTAAAAATGTTTCTTGTTTTGAATATATATTCTTTATAGAAACAATTGGTCGGCGTATTCGCCAAGGACGAATGTGCTTTGGTTGTCGTATGTCTGCTCCAAGTTAATAGATGGCGTTAAGTACAAAAGCACAAATTCCAAGGCGCATAAAATGCATATGGAGAAGCTTAAAGCTTTCGATAAAATCGTCCTGACCCTTAACAGTGCTGTTAATTGCGCCGATTATCTACATTAAGTTAGTTAACTTATATATATATTTTCCTTTATTTGCACACACTGTATATTTTTTATGTTTTAAATAATTGAAGTTGCATTTAAATAAATATATTTTGGCTGATGTATCAATTTGCATATGTTCCGAATGAATGCAAAAGCTAACAGTCTGTTAAACCGGTGTTATTCCGCTGCGCTCGAATGCTTTTTGTAGAGCTTTCGCTCCCTTTCTCGCAGATGAATTTCAAAGGAATACGATTCCTGTGCGTGATACGAATTTTACGACAGTAGTGCAAAGTGCAGTATTTCCCACAGGCTGATTTCTCCGCTGGTGTAAATAAAAAATAAAAAAAAATTATATATATTTGGGTTGACCAACAAGAAAACTGCGTTTTATCCCACAAACAAAAGTTACATACTGCAGTTTAAACAAATGAAGAATACATCCTAAAAAAGTGTAAATGAAAATAAAAGAAAATTTTAGAATAAGTATTTTAAATAATAAAAATGGAACACTACTATGAGAACTATAAAAATCGATATTGATATAGTTTAAAGTAATGAGTGCAAAATTTATATGCATATGTATTTGTATTCTTTCTTTTTCTGTGTTTATTTACCTTGTTGGTAAATACACACATAAATACACACACATACATTTGCATATGTGTTTATCCATCCATATATTGTAATATGTTCCTTATGTTTTTTATATTAATAGTGCTAATAATGAATTAAGTCGTCTTATGAATAATCGAATATTATTCGCTTAATGTGGATTAACGATTAAACCGGATTAAACAGAAAGTCATTACACACTTATACATACAAACAAAGGTGAGTAACAATGAGAACAATATGTATGCTATAAATACATACACATACATACATGCATATGTATAAGTATTTTTTAAATATGCATATGTGTGTATCTAATGCAAAATACACATGCAAGTTGCATCTGTAAATATTTGTTATTATTTATGTATGTATGTGTAATGTATGTATGTATGTAAGTATCCAACCTACATTCAGATGAAAATATCAATTTAGGGGTTGCTTCTGAGAACAGAGCACTTAACATATGTGAAAACAGTTGTTTTTTTTTTGTGTGTATTTACACATACACACACAAATGCACATACTGTAAGTATGTATATTTGTTTGTATTGTCAAATCCCGTAAACCTGTTGAAATGTTGGCATGGCGATAGGTACACAGGTACAGATACAGGTACAGCAACACACATATTGTGTATATGTATGTAAGTGCGTGTTATGCATAATAAGTGCATGCATATTAACTTGCTTGAGAACAGAGCATAGCATACTTTACTGCAATATCACGCAGCACGGTATGTGTGTGTATGTATTTATACGTTACGGTTACAGTTTTTAATTGTGTATTTTGCTAGCCGTATACCCTGTACTAAATAATTAAAATAATATAATTCACCTTATAATTAAGTTTGGCAAATAATTATTAACAGGCATTCTCCGCCGACAACTGACACATTCCACACCTACCGATAAATATCGATTATCAACCGCACTCTGAGAAATTTATAACTGTTCCAGACAGAGTTGAGAGCGAAAAAAATCGTTACTCATGAATAAAGGGTAAAATAAGGTATGGATTTTGTGCAAATGTCTGTTACAAGTAGAAGGAAGCGTCTCCGACCCCATGATGTATATATTTTTGATCAGACTCAACAGACGAGTCGATATAGCCATTTCTGTCTATCCGACCATCCGTACGTCTGTATAAACACTCGAATCTTAGAGACTCAAAGAGCTACAGACTTCCTATTTGGAATATAAATTCTCTCATACCCCCTAACAAGATTGCTTAATTTTGTAGGCAACCTCCGTTTATATCAACTGGAAAATTTTCACAGAGATCGGATAAGAAACTTCGAAGTTATAGTCGCAATGAAAAAAATAAATCTAAGGGCCGCCTTAGTTTTTTATTATTATTCAAAGCTTGTGTCTACGTTAAGAAATTAGAGCAGATGAGAAAATGCTGTCCTGCTTACATTTTAGTGTGCAAAACTTTTTACAGGAATATTTGACAATAAAACTATAATAAATTTAGCAGCTGTGCTGCGTTTTGCTGATATTTTTCAAATTTTGAGAATAAGCTGTGCAAATCTGTTTAAACAGCAGTAAGCAAATTTGAGCATAACTTTTTTACACTTTTTTATAATCAAAATTTCATTTATTTATAAAGGTTTAAATATGCATTCCGTGGGCATACACTCAGCAATGGCGATTAAGCGCCAGCGAAAGCGTCGCGATGAGCAGAAGAGAGCCAGAGAGAGACGTTATAGTACTCAGAGCTCGGAGAGCGGGGAAACTTTTCATTCGCCCAGTGGATCGGTAAGACGTAAATATCATCATCCGCACCATGCGGTCAAGGCAGGACCCGGAATGTTAGACAGCCAGGTTAATTATACATACATAAATAGGTCTCTCTTGATCGATATGAATATATTCTTATTTTTTTACAGGTCGTAACAAGTATTGGAATGCTCCACATTGGCATTGTTTTCATTGTATTTGGAATTTTTTTATGTGGTGCTGGTATCATTCCGGATGAAGCTATGTCCTGGAATGTATTTAGTAAGATCACTTAAATAAAAACCCATATTATATATTAATACGATTTTGAATAGGCTCTAGCTCGGCGTGGTGGAATGAGGTGACATGCACTGGCCTCTTTTCGTTTGGATTGGGCTTATTTTTATTGGTATTGAACTGTTTGATAAGCCGAAAGGAGGAAGAGGATCTCGAAGACTATGTTCAACGGCAGTTAACCAGATCGCGTTCAGGTAACGAATATTTATATGTATGAATATAATATGCTTCATATATATATTATGATTTGAAGGCCATCGTCTTGAGCGAGATGTAGAAACTGGAGTGTTAACCACACGACATGCTCGCAAAGCAGTTGCATTGCAAAAAAACGGACGTAACGGCTCCGGTTCTGGATCAGCCTCGCCCACGGATGTTGCCGTCGTTCATTGTGGCTCGGCGGAGAGCATTTCGAATGGTCAGATCGTCGGTCGTAATGGTAAGATACAATCTCATGGATCCACTTCGGCAATACCTTAAAACTACATACAATACATAAAAATACAACAACTCCCAGGTCCAAATAATTCAGGCGATATTCTACTCGAGAAAATTGTGGAGGAAGACACTCCTTATTTAAATGATCATAGTACGGGTATATCGCCAATTGAGATAGAAAATGATACAAAACAACTTCTAAGAAGGGAATCAATAACAGATGCAATCAACATAACGCGCATATAAGATTTAGATATTTCGTACTTATAAATGCTATTTTTTCTAATCATTAATGTTACTGTTTAAACAATCCGCAACAAATTTCCAATAGCTATAAGTATATAAATACATTATGTAATCTTTTTAACTATTTTTTAATAATGACAACTACATTTAAATATTACACTTAATATATATACATACAATGTATTTATTAAAATTAAATGACAACAGAAATTACAGAAATTATAATAATAATACATATGGAAAACAAACATAATTTATCCGAGCAAATATGCAAAAGGATTACAGCTATAAAATTACAACTTTAATTCATGTACATAAACCTGTGTATACTTTTGACCTACTGCTTTTATACTTACGTACGTACCAAATTGATGTATGTAAACTAAGCTATCTATAATGACTTTCTTACTTTCTTAAATTAAAAAAAAGACATACATCTAAATATATTTATACATATATAAATATATAATTTAGCTATTTAAACATACTTATATTTATATATGTAAGAAAAACGTGAATTCAGACTTAGACACATATATTGTTTACGTTATTATAAAGTCAATGCAAAACTACCATTTAAAATAAATAATATGCAATATTTAGTTAATCTGCTCAGCTGCCATCAATAAAATAAATAAAATGTGTAAATGTTACTGATGTGTAAAACGAAGATAAAAATAATTGCTAATTTGCATTTATCCTATCCCCCTATTAGCATTTATTCGTATTATTATTGTTGCTTTTATTTGGCATTTATATTGCTACCAGTTTTGTATAACCGATCGTTTTGTTGTATAAATGATTTAAATATATTTTTACAGAATTTAGTACAATATAATTATAGCTTCTACAAACACAGATGTGCTATAAGTAATTAATTATTTAAACTAGGTCAGTTGCTAATATTGTATCGTACTTGTATGTATTGTATTACCGTACTAACATAATAATTGGGCATTTTCCAAAATATATATATAAGTTCAGAAATTTTGATTTTCAAATTCTGAACCAAAGCAAAGTGCACAACAAAAGAAACAAGACTATTTAAAGTAAACACTGTTTTATCTGTATATACATATGTATTTTTTAGGTTTAGATATACCAACAAATCTACACTAAGCCTAATTTTTTATTCCTTCGAAACAAAAAATAAATAAATAAATAAAAAAAATTATAAATTACTTACAATTGTAACGATTATTAATACTGGAAAAATCCTCGTAATCCAAGCTCTCAATCTACTCATTTTAATGAATTTCTTTTAGTGAGTTTCCACTGTGAAATAAATGATGATACCAATTTCGATTATTGCACACAAAACTATCGGCAAAGTATCGAGTGAATGAGTATGAAATGGTAACATCTAACAAGGCTGTGGGATATGCATATTTCGCACAGTGTAATACAATATTAAGAAGTCCAAGCATATCAATACAAAAGGAAGTTTTTAATGTTTGATTTGCAAGTGAAATCACGTTACGCTGAATGTTTTTACATTTAAATCAGCGGCAGATACTTATGAAAAAATGATTATATTATGAAAATTAAAATAAATTACTATCGACTATATATTTTTATGTATAAAAATTTAAGCTTCCGCGTTTTATAAATATAAACAATTTTTGGTATTTTTTTATGTTAATGCAACGCAGTTGAAAACACTGTAATCGAATATCGGTATTTATTATTCGATGACAGTATTCTGGCTATTTTGTGCAAGATTAACAATAATTGAACAATAGAACAATTTAAATAATTATTAATAAACATAAAGTATAAAGTTATCAGCTGTGGACATTGCCCCTACGCCAATTACAAACAACCACTTGAGTCCGAGGAGACATCGACAAAAATCGCACAAAACTTTGTCAACGATGAGCAATGCTGACGAGATTAAAATCGATCAGCCCCCCCTAAATTTCGAAAAATGTATGTCATAAAGTGAAGCAACTCCATTGATTCGCATATATATAGACCAATATACATATTCACATTCGCAGGTCCAGAAAACGATGAGGAACGCACCAAACGTTTGCTGATAGAGGAATTGATTTCTCAGAGCGATGACAATTGCATACCGCTGCCAGCGTTGCGTGAATTAGCGCTGAGTAATTACGGCCTAGTGAACGATGACCTGCGACGGATACTGTGGCCCCAGTTGGCCGGTGTGGATGTGAGGAATTTGGATCGTGTGCCAACACTCGATGAACTGCAGAGTCATCCGGAATATAATCAGGTTGTACTCGATGTGAATCGCTCGCTGAAACGCTTCCCACCAGGCATTCCCTACGAACAACGTATCGCGTTGCAGGATCAACTGACAGTTTTGATATTGCGTGTGATTAAGAAATATCCAAATTTACGCTATTATCAGGGATATCATGATGTTGCTGTTACATTTCTATTGGTCGCTGGCGAAGAAGTTGCCTTTGCCATCATGGAGGAATTGTCGACCACACATTTCTCCGAGTGTATGCAAGAAACAATGGAGGCGACCCAGCGACGACTTATGTTCATTTGGCCGATTGTCCACTTTGAGCATTCAGAATTGTTTCAGTTCCTGCAAAGTTCATCGGTTGGCACACTTTTTGCATTGCCCTGGTATTTGACCTGGTTCGGGCACAGTTTGAATTCCTACAAATCCGTCGTGCGATTATACGATTATTTTCTGGCCTCGCCAATATATACGCCAGTTTTTGTTACGGCGGCCATCATTTTGTATAGAGCGAAAACAATACTGCAGGAGGACTGTGATATGGCATCAATGCATTGCCTACTATCAGAGGTATTTCGATCAAATTCAATTATAATCGAACATTACCTAACTAATTCCCTCATTTCAGTTACCCGATGATTTGCCATTTGAGGATTTATTGATAACATCCAGAAAATTATATGACAAATATAGTCTGACCGTAATCGAAAAGAAAGTTGAGGAACTTATCAAATTAGAGTAAGTGTTATCTGGGCTAGATTGCAAACCTAACAACTATAATTTGTTTTTAAATTATTTTCATATGTATAGGAAAGAGCAACGTATATTGGAGGAACGACGTCGCCAACTTGCCCGTTCAACATCTGCCAAATCTCACAACAATAATAATAGCGTCAGCCGATGGTTCTCAAATGTTATAACACCAAGATCGGTTATTATGACGACAGCTGTTTCGCTTGTGGTTGGCATCTGTGCGTATTACTACAAGAATCAGTATTTATCCGCCGGCATTAGCTGAGTGTGTGAGCATTTTCATCCAACCATCTATTTTGTTCTCCGCTCGACACCAATGTATCTGCATAAGTGCGGCTGTATGTTTGCAGTTTGCCTTTATTAATTAGCTAAGCTAAAATACATGTCCAAATCAACATACCCAAATTAAGAGAACAGTGTGGAAACCAAAAGCGAACTTACATGAAAAAGAAAACTTTGTATAAAATAATAAAAAAAAAAGAAAGAAAAGAAAATAAAGTAAGTGGTTTGAAATGGTAAATAATTATATGTTTATGTTTTCATTTATTGTATATATATTCAGCGTATTTTAAACTTGAATTATATAAATAGGCAAATTCAATATATACATAACTTTGTTTACCTAATTATATGTGCTTATATGTTTAAACAATAAAGAAATGTAAAAAATAAACCTATATAATTATCGGAATTTATTGAGTTTTAATCAGATTGGGCTTGTGGTAGGTTGGAACCGTATCCAAGTGGAATTTTTAGTAGGCAATTTGAACTAAAAGTCGTGTTAAAAATGGCATTAACAAAAAAGATTTGACGAAGGTAGAATTTGCACATTTAACGTCATATTCTAATAATTATCTGGATGCACAACCATGAAATGTCGGATAAAATATGGAGCATTTACAATAGTAGTAGAAATTAAACAGTTTTCAGTATTTGTATAATTAGATTTGTATTTTGTCGCTTTTGAGAGATTTTTCTAATACTTCAATCATTTCGTTGAGTTTCTTCAAATCCAGTTCGAAACAGATAACTTCACGTTTGGCATTTGATTGACAATGTAAATTGATTGTAGCCACTTGTCGAATATTACTCCGAAAACTACTGTCGCCCAATATCAGACGTGTGTCCCAGGAAAATGATACCACACATTGGACATCGTTCTTTAAATACTCCCATCTTCCAAGGGCATATTCGACTGCATCCAGTCGTGCTGCGAGCACCAGCGGCACAAGCGGTCGCAATTCGGGACTCAACGAGGGGAATTTTTCAGCAATATCCACTTCGGCACCATCTGAACAACATTGCTTATAGTATTTGGATATTGTACGCGTAGCAAGTAGAAAATCATCTGGATTTTGAAAGCCATATTTGTGTGATAAGCGCAGAGCCTGTTGTTCATTAATGCTTCCAATTAGGAATTCAATGGATAAATGCAGTACCTAGCAGAATATAAAATAAAATAATAAATTTAGCTTTCTCTTGTTGGCATAAATTGAATGCCTCAGTACCTCCATAAGTATTTCTTTATTATTTATACTCTTTAATAACTCCATTCTAAATAAATGTCAACAATTTATTTATTTCCCAACTTTATTTATTTAACTTTAATATCGATTGTTGAACACAACTAAAATACCGATACCGATATGGGAAGAGCACTATATCGATATGTTGAATATCAGCATTTTGATGCGGAACTGGTCCCGGAACATTGCTGTATGGATAATTTCGATAAACTATTGATGACCGTTTAATTGCAAAAATTAAAAAAAAAATTAAGTCCATTCCTTTTTATTAACAGTTCTTATCTAAAAATATGTATACATATTTTTACAATTCTTACGCTACATATTATTTGAAGTAATGGTTATTTTGTGACCCTCACTTTCGTGGGAGACATAAGGTGCATTCGAAACACACCCCTCAGGATCATCACGCCAAAATAATTTAGTATTCGTCTCATTGAGATTAATAGCTGCGAATCGATCAAGGACGGGCGATATCGGCAGACTGTGAAAGTTATCTTTACGTTCATCATCATTTCCAAAATAAAGCCGCAATTGATGCTGAACATTTTCTTTTTCATTCGCACGATTTCGTTGAAAGTCTTCCTCTACCCTAAAATATAAATGAGTTAACCAAAAAAAATATATATTTATATACAATGTATTTTGTATGTACTTTTTTAATGCTTCCAGTTCTTCTTCCACAGACATTTTAAGTTTGGCGGCTTTTGTGGATTTCTCTGGATGTAACTTTTTTTCCAATAATCGCATTTGATTATTGAATAAAAAACGCTGATGAAATGGTTTATCATCGTCCAATTTCAGACCCTCATCATTCTTAGACTGGAATTGTATTTAAATTTATAATTAAAAATGGGTTTAATGTTTTAAATATATTTTTTTTAACTGTACCGTTATTGGAAAAATTGGCGTCTTATCTTGTAGGCTTTGTGGCATATGTCGTTGCCGGCTTTTAAAATTGCGATTTGTTCTGACCTGTTGTGTATTTTCTTGTGATTCATTTGTTGGGGCAACTTTCAATGGATTAGATTGATCATTGCTGCCCGGCAAATACATGACGTGTTTTCCGCCAGTTAGAAACTTGATCGATTGTGGCTCTACGGAAACCAGTCTCTGCCTTTTGCTACCATGCTCTAGACTTTTCGTATGCAGATCCGTACTGCTGACGTTCTTATGAAGCATCCAATTGTTGGAGCTTTCAAAATTGGTAACACAACCATTATCGAGTTGAGCATGCGATGTTAAATTTCTTTGGCTAGATGACGGATTCATATTGCTATGGAAATAGTTTTCCGGCTTCGATTTCTGCAGGCTTTTATAATTGCAGATCTACGAGTTGCGAAAATATTTGTTATAGTAAAAAAAAAATATATATTATATATATTATAAATATTATACGTACTTCGCTTGAGTTTAAAATACCAATACCCCGAGCATTGTGTATATGACTATCCCTGGGCAGGGACAAACTGAATGTGTGGATTGGCGTTCCTGTATAATTTTTGGTCTTGCTGCCATAAAATAGAAAGCCATCTTCCTCACATTTCGAACGGTATTCGTCCGAGCTGGAATCGTCCTCGGCACCCAGACCCTTGACTCTGTCATCATGGTCATCCTCAAGATCTTGTTCGGGTGTCCAAGTTGTTAGCAAATGGGTTGGCTTCGCAAGCTGTTTAATTTGTGTAACTCGATTGGGTTGTATGGGCATTTCACTCGCTGCATTTAAGGTACTATTTCGAATTTGAATTATATTTGATTTATCGATGCGTTCTTGTTCCTCGATTAGGGAACGCCAGGCCAATGTTGGACTAAACGATGGTGTCTCCACTTGTCGACGGGGCAGCGTTGGCCGAATGTGCACAAGTAATCCATTGTCATCTAAACTTTCTTCCACTTGATTCGATTCCTTATATTCAATGTCATAATTGGGTATCATTGGCAATGGAGTTGTCTCAATTGGAGCGCTCTTTTCCTCGGCTAAAATAAATAATTCAAAATATGCTATAAAGACAAAACATTTAAGATTTTCATCACTTACCAATTTCAGTCGGCTTATTAATATCTTTAGCTGCATCTCTTTCCATACCAAAATAAAAAGTACGCTGTGTTTTATTCTCCTGAACCGCAACTATTGCTACATTATCGAATTTATCTTTTGGATTTAGAGACTTGACTGCGGGCTTTTGAATGGATGTGTGGTTGCTATGATGCTTTGGAACTACGTCGAGGGTAGTTTCTCTACGCTCTGCTGGTTGTTCAGATTTTCGACTTTTCAGCAGAATAGCATCGGAACTTTTCTCACGCCGATAAACGATTTTGGGGGATTCCGTTGACTTGTTTTGTAAATGTAAGTTTCCATTTACAGATTTACGTATCTCAGTACCCCTTTTGAATACATCATTTTGGCTCTGCACTGGCCTCGATGTTTGTTTGCTGTACTTACTCAATCGATCTGAATTTTTGGCAAAATGTGTGGGCTTTATGTTATCCGTTAAATTTTGAGTATTACGAGGAATCTCAATGGTCTGCTTTGTTAGTGGTGCACTCGGTACAGGGACTATTTGAGGTGCTTCCGGAGCTCTTCGCTTTTTGGAATACTTATTTCGATTGGTTGGCTTAAATGGTGGGTCTGCCATATTTTTCATTGATGTACGTTGCTGATTTAGCTTATTGATGAGCTCCGGCTCTGAATATGTGTGCCGCTGCATTCGAGATAGATTCGTCTCATTCATATTAATGTCAGCATCTTTGTTCTTAGCTTTAACGTAGAGTAGCGTTTGGGATCTCGTGAATTCGGGCCTTGAATCACATTTATCATTCAGAGCCGAGCTTCTATCTTGCCCGGTTTCAATTATGAATGTCTTCGATCTTTTGCTGAGTGCATTTGATAAGCTTTTCGATGGAATTTCACTAGGTTTTCGTCCACTGATCGTGCCCCCAGAATTTAAGATTGCACCATTTGTAGTAGCCCGCAGATGCAACCGTTTGTCCACTTCGGGCAAGACTTTAAAGACAGTTTCCGATTGAGCATTGGGCTCCTTATTGATGGCAGTTGATGGATATGATCTTCTCCATTCTGTGGTCAAGCTGCGCTGAGCATTGATTGGGCTGCTGGTTCTTAGGCCAGATCTACCCCATTGCAGCTGACGATGCGAGTTCTGGTTCAGGTGTTGAAAACGTGTTTGAAAATGGGAGTTTCGATCAATACTCGATCGCTCACGATGTATATTATTAGCACTGCCCGAGTTTCCCATTGTTGGGCACTTCACAAAGCGGAACGTATGTGATTTCCTTGTTATTTGCTAAAGACTAGTTGCATCAGCGTTCATTCAACTCTAAAAAAGTCAAAAAAAATATATGCTTGATATAGACTAGAGATCTCTAAAAAAAATAAAAAAATATATATGAATAGTTATCCTTGGTGAAAGGTGAAGCTGAAAAAGTTCGTACGTTTTAAACTTTACTTCTCAATTATCATTTATTAAATAGTGAAGAAGCTATCGAAATACAAAATAATGCAAGTTCGTAAGCATAGAGGTACCTATCGGTCTATTAGAGTACCTATTAGGTACAAATGTACAATCGTATTTTAGAGCACTAAGCTTTAATCCCATTGCTGGACACTTCACACAGTTGAACATATGGGATATTTTTTTATTTACTAAAGACTAGCTGCATCAGCATTCATTCAACTGTAAAAAAAAAATTGTCCCTGATTCCCTGGTTTCTTCTGGGTGTAAGTGAAAAGTGCGTGCATTTCAAATTGTAGTTCTCAATCTAATTATCATTTATCGATTAGTGAAGAAGCTATCGAAAATAATGCAAATTCATAAGTGCATATAATAGAGTTTGTACCTATCGCCTATTAGAGTACCTGTTAGGTACAAATGCGCACGCATATTTTGGGACACTAATCTTTAAATGATAAACACAGATACGAGATACATACTAGATACATTTATTTATTTACTTTTGTTGACATACAAATCTACATGCGAACATTAACTTGTTGACACGTTAAAGCATAAGTACGTAATAAAAACAAACTGAGGGAATTATAAGAAAGAGACTTAAGCCCATGGCCAACAGCAAAACATTGCTCTAAATTGTACACAAATGTTCAACTTTTGCAGAGTTTCTTCTACACACACACACAAACAAAACCTTAAAAATCACACAAATTTATTCGCTGAGAGTGAAATAAATTGTCTAAAGTCGGAGATATCTTACTTTCTTTTCGCAAAAATTTACATTGATTCGAGAGGGTTTTTTCGGTTTGTTTCGCACACACACACACAGGCACACACACATATGCTGCACATATGGATAGAAAACAAACCTATTTGTTTTTAGTAACTGTTGTGAGAACTGGTGATACACATTTTGGTAGTTAGTTAAAATATTTTTTGTATAGTAAACGTATGCTTGTAATTTAATATTTATTATTTTGTCTACAAAAATAAAGGTGTCTTTCCGTTTGCTTTGATTTTAGTAGACTACGTAGACACCAAAAACCGCAATGCGCGCAAACGCTTTCACAACATTGATCTCAGCAGTTGGAAACTTGCGTTGTTTCCACTGTCAGTGAGAGTAGGGAGGCAAAAGCTTCTCTCTCTCTCTGTCACTCTCTCTCTCTTTGTTACCTACAGACAAATAACCCAGCTCGAATATTTATTGTGTGTGTGCGTGTCAGTGTGTGTGTGCGTGTATCTGTGAGAATTTTACCAGTTCTTTTTCATTCATGATAGAGCGGGCTTAAGCCAATCTTTGATGTGTATGTGTGTGTGTGTTTGTATATTTAAGTAATTTAGCACGTACAGATACAAAACAAATTGTTGGTCCAGATACACGTGTGTATCTCAAATGTGTTAATTTAAATGAATTATTTATGCAAATTGTAACATACGCATTTTAATATTTTATATGTAGCGTGCCTTGCCTTTGCATATCAAATAATTTTGAATCTTAATTGATGTAATCAAAAATCAAATTATAAAATCAATTTATACAAAAACTAGTTTTTCTACTCAAGTTTCTTTAACACAAGCGAAAATTAACATGTATTTAGTATGTTTGGCAATGGTACAGAAATATGAAAAATTTCTCGACTAATAGATACCCTGTAAGAAAAAATAAATTATTCCCCCTTTTGTAATAAATTAATAACACAAAAGTTCAATTTTTGTAATTACTTTATTCTCGTTCCACAAAAAAATTACTGTAATGATATATATTATACATATATATATATAACATAAAATACACACATACAATACATATAAAATTCGGTATGTGTATGTGTATGTATATTTGTTGAATAAGCATCTTTTATTTTTATTAAAAATAAAAAAATATAACGTTACAATTTCAACATTCAAAAAATTCTACAATTGATTTTACTAATTATAAATTGATAAAATCGTAAACCATTTTAAACTTAAATAATTTCGTTCCAAAACGCATATTCATGTTTTGTATAATTTCCATCATCCAAGGAACCGATCGGAACTGAAGACATCAATTGACGTTGACACTGTCAGTCAGAATCATTGATTGCTTTTTTTCTCTTTTTTGCCGGCTGCGTAACTTTATGCTTTGACCAATCCTCCTGCAATATGAATGGAATTTCATTTTAAAAAATGTATATATATAATGACCTTTTGATTACACTTACTTCACTTGAGTTCTCATCAGACGAGTATATAGTTTTGACAACATCTGAATTCTTTTTACTGCTTGCACTATGATTACTTGAGTCCTTTTTACCAACGGGCTGCTTACGTCCACGTCCGCTGCCACCACGACGACCAACGGCCGTCGTCTCATCTTCCGCTGCCAATGCGAATAGATCGCTGAACTGTTTCTGCTCAAACAGAGATTACAAAATATACAATTTAAAGTAATATTTTAGATGAAGGCATATATATGGATTTTACCTTTGTACTTTCATTGCTATGTGAGTACGCCGATTGCAGTGCTCGCTGCATCATATCATGAACATAAAGTCCTGTCCCAGTTCCATGCCTACAGCTTCTTCTATAATGCTCCAGATGATTCAACACCTTTAATACAAAGGTTAATTTGAATAATTTTCGCTTGATAATAGAAGATAAGCACTCACATGATCAGCCGATGGTGTACTGCTCGCAGCGGAACTACCTTTAGAGGGACGTTTTCGTTTGTTGGGCGATGAGCTCGGGTATTTGGATGTAAGAAGTGATGCTATAATTTCCGAAAGCTTCTCTTCACATCGCTGACACCAAAACCTATTCATAAATTATTTAATAGCATTTAAATTGAAATAGCGTTTAATTTATCGCCCGCACCTGAGAGCAGATGTGACAAATGGATCTCCTCTGGATTTAGCTTCCCTACTGAGCAAAAGTCTGATTATTTCATTTGTTGGCTCCTCATTTTTCAATAGCAACAGCAAATGGCTGAGCGCTTCAGGATGATTGGCAGCTTCTAGTTCTGGAAGTAAATCCTGTAAAATAAAATATATAAATATAATTAGTTAATTTTGTGGCAAAATAGAAAACAATGATGACTTACTTGTATACATTTTAGGGGTACATCGTGTGCCTGGATGAGCTGCCATAGGCAAAACTGTTCATATGTCTCATATTCCAGGCTGTCCCGAATGCAGTCGAGCAGGCCGTCCTGCTTGAATATGGTAAGTTTACCCTGGGCAATCGAATACATAATGTCGCGCACGTTTTTCGCATCGATGCAACGGAGAGTGATACGCAACAGTTCCGTGTTATTGATGGCTATCGTTTTGAACTCCCGATAGATGTCTGGCAGCAGCCACAAATATATTGTTGTGTTCTCTTTCTCGAGCAGATCCAAATCGCGCACGAGGCAAACGCCAATCTTTTCATCTGTTGCCTCGCATATTTGTCGATAAACTGTCGTCTTAAACTGATACGATTGCTGTGCGTTTTTACGCGTCTGCAATTTGCAGTGAATTTTCATGAAGTAGAGCAGTAAATAGCCCGTTTCAGTTAGACGCCCGCATATCTCAGACAATAGGGTTTGAAATGGTTTTTTGCTCTTGTCTTCATTCTCATATAGAAACCGAAATAAACCGTACAGTGGATAACTAATGCTCTTGGCCAAATACTTTTCCTCGGTTTTACTCTCCGAGAATACGTTCTGCTGCGGCAATGTTTCCCGTAGTATCAATACCGTATTTGAGATCACATAGTTGAGCTGTGTTTCGTCCAAAGCGGAGGCAGGTAGCGTGCGAAAGTCTTTCAAAAATGCCTCCCATGTAAAAGAGTTGCGTTTCGTGACAAATATCTCAAACGATTCGGCTATCGCGTCGGGCAGCTCAACCTTTTCGGGTACTGGTTTCTCTTTGAGCCGTACCTGCAAAACAAGTTTTACAATTTAATGCTAACCACACAAATGACATCAATTAATATTACTTACACTAACCTTCGACAGTGGCAAGTCATCGTCGTCATCGGTATTTTCCTCATTCTTGCTTGTGCTGGGCAAATTTTCATCATCACTGAACACTGCCTCATTTTCCCGTTCCATACTTTCTAACGGTGCAATGGCTATTTTGTTGTCATCGTCCACAAGCATATTAGTGCCACTGCTAGCCACAAAAGCCCCTCCGCCACCGGCATCCATGATCTCTGCTGAAACGAATATATATATCAAGTATATGTTTTGTCAAATATATATATATATAGGAATATATACCGCCTTGCATCAGGCGTTGATCGGCTTCTTTTTTAAAGATGGGCGCTTGAATTGTATGCGTTGCTGGATACATCGATTGTGGCATATTTGCTACGGGCGTCACAAATTCTCGGAAATTTTCACGTATTAAGTTACGCAATTCTCTGTCCAGTTTTGGTGACTCAAATAGTGGATGTAAGTTTGGAATGACCTATTAAATGAATGGAATTTTTGTAAGAGTTAAGCAATAATTCGTTATAGTAGTGGTCCAATCTTATCTTACCTGTTTATCAAGTATCAATTTTAATGAATTATATACACCCAATCTGATTCTATCCTCGTTCTTCACATAAAAGTTCTTTGTGATGCGGCACAAGAAATCCAACAGTGTGCTGCTCACAAACGGATGATTTCGGATCGAGTGATACATCACTAGAATACCCGGTTCGATATTCATAATGTTATCCTTGGCCGGATCGAAGAAGAGCCAATCGTAGAACAGTGATAATTTCGCATTGGCGGAAGCAATCGGGTTCGTGCATGATGAGATTAGCCAGCCAATGATTGCCCATCGTGGTATAATGTCCGAGCATAGCATATCATTTGTGGGATGAATTACGTTGATAATGAATCGAATCAGGTCTGATCGCAAACTGTGCGACTCGGGCGTAGCAAAATATTTGTCTTGAAACCAATCCTGGTAGCGCTTCTGATTGCCAAATTTAACAGACGATGCCAAAAAGTGCAATTTGCGCTCCATCTCTGGAAGTAATCGACACTGTAAAAATCGTCGACTTGTGCGTATTTGTAGTAAATGCCAAATCCCATTAAATGTTGGGTGTAAACTCTTCGGATTGTATAAGATGTCCCGCCACAATAGTTCAAATTCCGGAATGCGTGCAACATTTTGCAGAAGCCTAAACGAAAATAATAATAATAAAATGGAATTAAAAAATAGTGATTACAATAAATATAAATAAAATTTGTCGAGCTCCACTCACCGTACAAAATCTCTGCCCAAAGGTATAATGTCATGAAACCGATCGCGTATCAATGAGATTGTAAACTTAACTTCCTTTTGGCGTAATGATATTAGGGCGGGATTCGCATGGTCCTCGATAAGGCGAACAAAACTATAAACGGAAGACTGGACAAGGAAGGGATTCGTCTCAAGCCACGCCCGATACTCAATGAAAATGTCCAAAAGACTCTCAACCAGATATAGATTCTTATGCGATACATCTCCACCGCCCGCCTGACGCAAACAGTTCCAAATCACATTCTCAACGCTAAGAACCTGATGTTTCACAAATTCACGCAGCACCCAAATCAGTTGTCTCCGCGCCGTCTCCGTCAGTTTTGCGTACTTTTCGGCAACTAAAAGTGTAAGATTGGCAACAATGACATTCATGCCGTCCCGGGACACGAGTGTTATGTCGCGATATGTTTTGGGTGCCATTGCCGGATCGGTTAGTATTATGTAGAGGAAGCCAATGGATATCTCCTCATGCTGTTTCTCCTTGCAAACGAACTGGGTGAGAATATCATGCATCTCCTTATCACTGAGTCCAGCAATTTGTTGCTGCAGACTAACATAGGATCGCTCGAATTTCTACATTTGGCGCAAGCAAAACAAATATGTTAGTTTAGTATGTCAATTATTGGAAGCGATTGTGTGAATTTACCTCCTCGATCTCATCTTTACAGTCAACAGCCGTGCAGACAAACAATTTAGAGATGTGAGCTACGCTTTTTTGTTGTTGCTGCTGTTGTTGTTGTTGCTCCATTTGCGTGTGGTGTGGATACTTTGTTTGAGTATTGCTCCTATATATATATATATATCTGCTGCTTTTCAGTTCCTAATTAGTTTCATAATTATGTAGAAACATTAACTGAAATATTAGAAAGCTTGATTTGTACAATAGCATTTAATAAACCATAACTATATAGCAATTTCTGTTTTGGTTTGTAGACAGAAAAAATATGGTTGCCTAAAACAGGGCTGCCAGCAATTGATATTGCCAGATGTTTGCAGACAAAATGCTGCCATACTTTGCAAATGTTAAATGAACTAGTGATCATATTTGCTAAGTTATTTTTTTTAATTTAATTTAATATGTTACACTTATTAACTTGTTGAATATGCTCCATATCTAAATTGAAGTGATAATGTTGTATAATTAATTGTAATATATTTAACTACAAGAAAAACTATGAATAAAAATTCATTTTAGATTTTTAATAACAAAATTAAATTTGGGATAATGTAAGTTTCTCTCTTGTGTTAAAACTGTAATCAAATCTAAGTGACTACATAGAACCAGACTGTCATTTTAGTCAAATTAAACACTTGTGAGTTTATACTGGTTCATTAACTATGATTACGATACTGGTAACAGTTACAAAAGCACGCATATCGCACATCGTTGATTATTTTCTCATTACACCACATAACGCTGGGAAAATTTCGCACATATACATATAAATACATATATATATATGCGCACGTATACAAAGTACTTGGACTTTTGCAGCTCGTGAACAACAAACAATGGAGGAACTGTTAAACGATGTGGTGCCCCAAGAAGATCTAGAGGTGGTGTATCAATGTAGACATGACTTGAGCATATATATCTAAATAGGTCTCGTTGCAGCGATTCGAAAGGAAATATCAACAAGAAAATAAAGTTAATGGCGAAGTCTCAATTGAAACCAAATTTGAGTACGTAATTTTAATTTAATGTTTTTATGAATTCTACTTAGATATGGGAAAACATTGTCTCATATTTTTCAATTTGGTAGATATGCTTGCTGTTTGGTGCGAAGTCGCTACACCAATGACATTAGAAAGGTGAGTCAGTGAATGTAAATACTTATGTACGCAGTACGTGTACTTACTAACTACTGCGTATATATTTCTTTGTCTTTTAGGGCATTATGATATTGGAGGATCTGGCTCATGTGCATCCGGAAGGAAAACGTGATTATATCTATTATCTTGCATTTGGCAATGCACGGATTAAAAACTATACCGAGGGCTTGAAATATTGCAGAGCATTTCTCGATATTGAGTCGAATGATCAAGTTCGCGCTTTGGAGGTAAGTTCGATGTCTTTTTTATTATACTAATTCCCTGAACATTTGCAAATTTTGCTGTCTCCAGGAGCACATCAAGAAACAGAGTGACAAAGAGGTTGCCAAGGGTATGGCTGTGGCTGGAGGAGCTGCTCTGGTGCTTGGTAGCATCATAGGACTTGGAATCGCAATGGCTAGAAAGTAAAATGTTCTTGTTTTAAATTGCATTACTCATCACATTGGTATTTTGATTTCAAATGCACGAGTCTTTACATATATATAAAATTACAAATCTCATTATTTACATAGAAAATTTCAGGTGTAATTTTATTTATTTAAAATTAAATGCTAAAATAATCAATTTCTTCCCATTTTTTTATGTAGTAAACAAAAAAATAGTGAAAATGGCTTCTTATGCACATCTTCATTGCGTTTGGACCATACACATAATAACAAATTAGTTTAATTAAAAAATACTTATTAATTAATTAAGCTGTGCTTGTAAATAAATGCATCCGTTTCGGTTAGATTAATTCGTGATCTTGGATCAATAGTTAACGGTGTCCTTGAGAGCCGCAAGGCAGCGATGCTTGTCGGGCAAATAAAACGGTTCGAATACATGGGGGAATGGAGTATCCCAGCCAGTAACTCGTTTTACGGGCGCTTCTAGGCGCAAGAAGCATTTCTCTTGTATATAAGCTGCGATCTCCGAACCAAAACCTTGGGTATATGGAGCTTCGTGGGCTATTAAGACCCGACCGGTCTTATTAACCGACTGAAATAAGGCGAACAATTTTAAATAAAAGTTTAAAATAAGATGTGCAGTGTCTTACATTGCAAATGGTTTGGGTATCCCATGGTAAAATTGATACCAAGTCGATAACTTCACATTCAATGTCCATTTCTTTCTTTGCCAGTTCTGCTACCTGTGATATGTAAATAAAATCGATTTAATGTATAATATTTACTTCGTTCCATTTAATCTTACCTCTAATAGAACATGCACTTGTGTTCCCCAGCCGATAAGCGTGATATCTTTACCCTCACGCAAAATATCCGCTTTGCCCAATTCATCCACGTAGGATTCGGTGGGCACTTCTTCAACTGCAGCGCGATACAATGTTTTTGGTTCGAACACAATGCAAGGATTTGCATCGCGAATACAGGCCAATAGAAGACCCTTTGCCTTTATTGGACCACGGGGAATCTGAAATTTGTTTTCATTTAAAATAAATATAAATCTAATAAGTACAAATGAACACATACCACAACACGCAGACCGGAGGTGTGAGCAAAGTACGCTTCGGGACTCTGAGAATGATATAAGGCACCATGGCCGACAGCGCCAGAAGGAACTCGGAACGTCAGGGAGCCGCAGTCAAATAGACCGCCACTTCGATAACGGTATTTCGCAGCCTCATTTACGATTTGATCGAAACTGGGAAATATATAGTCAGCAAACTGAATTTCTGCTATGGCCGTAGCACCCATGTTGGCAACGCCAATGGCAAAACTATAACGATAATATATCAATCAAAAATATTCTATTATATTATTTAACTGAGTATAAGGATCAAACATACCCTGCAATTCCCTGCTCACACAAAGGTGTATTAAAAACGCGGTCCTTTCCATACTTATCCCGCAGATTAACCGAGCAACTATTATGAAAACAAAAATTTAAAATAAATATGACAAAACAATTTCGAAATATAATTGAAATTACCGAAAAACTCCACCAAAGCCAACGTCTTCGCCGAATAATAATGCTGACTTGTCTTGTTCTAAGGCCAAGTCCATTGCATTATTTATCGCCTGAAACATATTCATTTTTTGCACATCTTTGCTGCCCTCCGCGAATTTTGTCGGGTAATACGTGAAATGCGATCTAGTCAAAGATCCGCCATTAAATTTGATTGCATTGAACAATCCGCGGCCAAGAGACGATATTTTCATGATTTAATTTTAATTTAGTTTAGGGAAAGGATATGAATAAAAATAAATAAACGCTATTTTCACTATTGCGCAACAAAATACGTGTGTACGATGCGTATGTGTGTCCGCATGTACCGATGAAAACATATACATATGTATATATGAACATATGTATTATCACATCGATCAGATGGCATGGAGCTACCAGATCAGGCAGAACCATTAGCGATGCTCCAATCTATTATCAAACGCTACATTTTAATAATAAAAAAAATTAATTGTGGTAATGAGTATACAAAATTAATAATAATAATACATTAAAATTAAATTTAATTTAAAAAAGCATAGTGAATATCCACACTGTATATATTCATTTGTATATTCACACTGAAATTCACATTTAATTTTCGCACAGTGACATTCAACAATATCGATATATTGTCTATTGTCTCATCATCATCGATATATTGTCTACTGTCTCATCATCATCAAATTGGAAATCGAGCATACCCATAATAAAAACGGGAAATGTGCACAAAAAATCGACCATAATTGATGAAGCCATCTTGCAGCAAAAAAGCTACAAAGTAAAAGTAATAGCAACAATGTCGAAAATAATAGAAATACCTGTGCACGTACAAAAGCTGCTGACTATATTCAGGACTATAATACCCAAGCTAACAAATGGAAAATACAAGGGTCAATATGGCCGTATCGGCGTCATTGGAGGCTCCTTGGAATATACTGGAGCACCGTATTTTGCAGCAATAACTGCTATGAAAGTCGGCGCAGATCTTTCGCACATCTTCTGTCATGCCGATGCGGCGACAGTTATTAAATCCTACAGTCCCGACTTGATTGTACATCCCGTCCTAAACCGTGAGGATGCAGTGGAGGAGATTAAGCCATGGATCGATCGATTACATGTTCTCGTATGTGCAAAATCTAATCGCAATTGTTTTCCATATTTAGAATGCATTTGTATGGCTTTCAGGTGATTGGACCCGGCTTGGGGCGAGATGAGCGTATTCTGAAAACTGCCACAGATATTATTAAGTTTTGCCTGGGGATTGGCAAGCCGATTGTGATAGACGCCGATGGGCTGTTTATTTTAAACAATAATATCGATCTGGTGTGCGGACAACGTGATGTCATTTTGACACCGAATGCTGTCGAATTCGAGAGATTATTTGGCAAGGATCCAGCCGCTGCGAGCGAAAAGATGTTGCTTCTCGGCGATGGGGTTGTGGTCCTCGAAAAGGGAGCAAACGACAAGATTCATATACCACACACCAACGAAGTGTATGCAATGCCAATCGGTGGATCGGGTCGTCGCTGTGGTGGTCAAGGGGATTTGTTGAGCGGTTCTCTGGCAACGTTCTTTTATTGGGCCCTGCAGTCCAATCAATCGAATCCGGCCTATTTAGCTGCATGTGCCTCAAGTTATTTTGTGAAAAAATTGAATTATGCAGCCTTTCAAAAGCTGGGACGTAGTTTGGTTGCCAGTGATATGGTTAATGAGATATCTACGGTGTTTAAAACTGAATTCGAGAATTCGAACTCAGATTAATGCAATTATAGCATTCTTTGTTATCTAGTACATAGAGATCTGTATTGGACTGATTTTAAAATTGTTGCACTATTATTATATGCAATATATAGAACTATGGAATTTGTAAGCTAGATTCAAAATAGCAATAAGGTTTTCCTCGTATCGAACTCAATAACTTGGTGCCCTTAACATATATATATATATATATTAATGTGCGTTTTATGCATTTTCGTATATCATAATACTTAATTAATAAATTAAATATTCTGTTGATGCCAAAAGAATATATTTGTTATTGCTGGTCTGTTTTGCTTGGGTACATTTTTAGTTTTCTAATTATTTGTTGAAAGGCTATCAAAACAGGGGAAAATATTTATTAAGTTTTCTTCATTTTAATTTGCTTTTACATTGTAATTTACATCTAATTCTTGTGGTATTTGTTTCGGTATTTGTAATTTTTTGGTATACTTTAGGACATTTGTAGCGCGCGCAATTTGCGACGTATTTTATTCAAACAATGCGTATTTATTACTTTAAATATCCATTTTATTTTACATTTATTATAAACTGCAAATTCTGCACACAAAATATCTCGCTGAATGAATCAAATATAGTTCAATTATTAATATCCATACTGGGATCTGTTTTCTGGTTGCGTATTTATTAAAAACCGAAAGGGATTTAAATGTGTATTAATATATATGGGTAATTTTGATAGAAATATTATAATTCCCAAGTCGCAACCGTTCTAATCTGTAAATAGCTAACAGTCACAAATTATAAACAAACTTATCCAAGGCAAGTCCAGGTAAAAATTTTCAAATTATTTTTGCTTGCTTAAGTTATTATTGTTGATCTTTCTTCGTTTGATTTTCAATAACTGAATGGCCCGAAATTTGTTGCGTCCATTGATGTGCCACAGGGTCTCCTGATAGGTGGCGGGCAGCACCTCCTTAACGGGCACCTTCGCCTTGTAGGTCATATGCAGCATGTTTGTTGTCGTCTTTTCCATGTTGGTCCCATCAAAGCCTTGGACAATTGTCAACAATTGAATATACTCTTTATGTGTATATACGATATAGGCCGTTAGTTTTAGGAACGAGTTCACCTTCAACGGGCCATAGAATGCCACGTCCATTATGCCAGTCAATAATGGACGACCGCCAGCATAAATACAGGCAGCGATGAAACTAATTTCCACAGCCTGACGCATGACGAATCCACCGAAAATATGATTATGCGAGTTGCGATTGTCCGGGAATGCGTGCAGTATGGTCGTCTGAAAGGAGTCGCTCATCCATCGACAATTGGGTGGCGGCAACTCGCTGGCATCCCTGATGCTGATGTCAGTGCCCTTTGTCCGTTTGAAGATCTCATACATGAGCTTCTCGTCGTCTTTGGTTGGTCTCACATTCAGCACAGATTTCGATTGTTTTGCCATGCGTCGCTTGTGCCTTTCGATGGAATTCTCGTAGCAGCGTTGCTCCTTCTCGTTGGCCGGCTGGAGGGCGTTGACTGGTGCTGGTCCCGTGTTGGTTGCATTGCGTGCCACCATCATAAATATGGCCTTGGCAAAGATGATCGATTGTTGTCGAATATACATGGTTATCTCCATGGAACTTCTACCGGTCCAGGAGACATGACCACAAAAATCCATATCCTCATGGGCGGTGAGTCCTCTTTCATTTTCAAAGTCCACGCTGTCCACCAGGAGCGTAACAAAGACATAAGGCAGTGGGATGCCCTTGGGCAATTTTGGCAAATTCACGTGACGATGACAGATCCACACGGCAAACAAGTCCAGGTCCTCCATCAGGCGACCCATACGCACTTGTCCCAAATGATTGACATAAGACTCCTGCACCGGAATCAAGGTCAATGGCAATACGGCCGTAGTGAACGAGTCCATTAGACTCCGCTTGGGCAAATCATTCTGTTCCGGTTGATATTTGAGCAGACTTGCCCGACACTTGGGTATTGAATGGTAGCCCGGCTCCAAGCCAATACGTTGATTGATGTCCTTCTTTACTACAGCACAAAGCGTATTCACGCTTTATATATATACTTATAAATATATATAGAGATATTACTATAGACATTTACCATCAGACATTGTACCAGAACAGTGGCCCGACTCCAACTCATCTAAGTCACAGGATACTCCCCAGCCACAACGGAAGGCACTTTGATGGAAATGGCATATTGATGCCTTAAAAAATGGATTCAGAATTCGATGTACTCCAAACTCAAATCGTGGCTGACTCAGCAGCGGCGCCATTCTTAAAATTTAGCTAAATACATATTATTTTGACTAATATTCCAAATAATACCAATTTTAATAAACATTTTTACTTCTAAATATGAGATGTAAGTGTCTGTGCTGATGTCTCGTTTTTATTTAGATTTCAAGATAGGAGGATAAGAATAAAAATTGTATTTATTTTTGGGTGACTGATTCTGATTTTTTCTAGACAATTTCATAATAAATAATATCAAATTTCCTGAAGAGAGACAAAATTCGCACGCTCATCATTATTTTACAAGATGTTAATATTTCACAAGCTTTGAAAAAATAAATAGACAAATAAACCAAACAAATAGATGATTCTTATCATTATTATGAAATAACAAGGCAATAATAATATATCGACTGGACGATACCCTGCATTTTATTTTTATTTAATGTTTTTATTTTATTTAATTTTTTTTAATAGAGGATAACAATATAACTGATATATATTTTATAAAAAGGTATTTGCTATACATACTTATGATTTACAACAAAATGAATTGCAGACCAACAAAAAACTCGTTCAAAATGCTTTATCATCGTTAAGCGACTCGATGCTTAATGGCAAGCTGAAAGCTCAGCAAATAGTTGACGATAAGCTTTATCAGCTTTCGTTGCGTTCCACAAGCATTTAAGAGCTGAAAAAGCTGTTCGTGGCATTAGTTCAATTTATTACTTTGATCTGCACACTACTCACAAGCAATATGTCGAAAATAACGCTGTATGGAGTTGATATCAGTCCACCGGTCCGTGCTTGTTTACTCACACTTAAAGCGCTTGAGCTGCCCTTCGAGTATAAAGTGCTAAATCTCGCCGGAGGCGAGAATCGTTCGCCGGAATACTTGAAATTGAATCCACTGGGCACGGTTCCAGTGCTCGATGACAAAGGCACTGTTATATATGATTCACATGCCATATGCAGTTATTTATGCGACAAGTATGCCAAGACGGATGCACTCTATCCCAAGGATCTGGTGAAGCGGGCCGGAGTCAATCAACGTTTGTTCTTCGATGCCAGTGTCCTCTATAAGTCTGTGTGGAATGTTGCCATCGGTTTCTGGCGCAGTGGCCACACCGTCGTTGAAAAGGAAAAGGTCGACAATATTCACGATGCTCTCAGGCAAACCGAACTTCTGCTGGAGAAATCCTACATTGCTGGAGATACTTTGACCATTGCCGATCTCTGCTGTGCTGCGACTGTCACTTCTATGTCACTGGTATTTGACATTGACCCACAGCAATATCCGAAGATCACTGCTTGGCTGGCTCGTCTCGGTCAGTTGCCATACTTTGAGAAATTCAACAATGTTGGCGCCAAGCAATACACGGGTCTTATGCGAAGTAAATGGACAAAAGTGGAGCTGTAATTAACAAGGCTTACAATAACAAGTAGAATAATCTAGTCGAGTGAACTTCACTGGGACCTGGGACCAGTTGTTAATAAATATATTAAATCGATTAAAAAGCATTTTCGAGTTTTATTTGAAAAATTCCCTTTAATAGGCTTTTGTAGACTCAAATTTAAGCTGGTAATTCTTAGGCTTGGATACTGAAGGCTTAAAAAAACTAATCATACAAAGGGTTCTAAGTTCCAGCTTGAGTTCTTCGATAAGTGTGGTTCTTAGCTCCTGCCAGTTGTTGGTTTACAATATTTGCAGAACTTACTGGTACTCTAATCCAACAGGTATTTCTTTTCCACTCTTTTAATAAAGATTGTAAGATTCTCTGTGGATCCATCGAAGATGGGCATTTGTCCCAGGTTAGACAGTGCCCCATATAGATATTGTTTTCTTAATTCTTGAGTTATTTTAAGCTTAGTTCAATTTAATTATCGGAGCGTTTAACTCAATGTTAGTTATACGCCGCATCTTGTTAAGATTATTATATTGGATAATTTGAATGATGTCAGGCAGTAACCAGAAATGTCAAATAAGTTTAGATTATTATACGCGATACCAATCATATAAGTTAATAATCTAAACCACTCATTTACTGAGTATTTTCTTACTTTTGTACATCGATTTTTTCTAGAGATAAGATAAAAATATAGTGAATAAAATAAGTTGCAAGACTCTTGCAAATATCTTAATTTATTTATTATTATTTTTGTCAGATGACCAAAGAAAAAATAAAAAATAGATGAAATTAAATTAATTAATTAAAATCAGAAATATTTATACGACTTACAAGATTTCTGGAGGTATTTAAATACGAAATGGTCCAACATTGGGGAAACCCCAGTAAACCAAATCAGTCAAACAAAAAAAAATAGTTTGTATGAATTAGCTAAGCCCAACCACAAACGCGGGGAAAATGTTATAATAGAGATATAGAATTGAATTTATTACAAATAAAGTTTATTGAAATCATTACAAAATAGTCAGTAGTACTGCGATTAAGAGAAAGTGGGAAGGAACAAGTAACGAGACGATCTCGAGAAAACAGAACAATTAATTTAACTCATCTGAGCAGCTAAGTCGAATTCAACATTTAGTAATTTAACGACAAACATAACACCGAGCATAACACGACCATTAGTTAGGGAAGAAAAGGTTAAAAGGGAGGAGAATATCGATGTATAAAAGTAATATATACATATCACTCATAGCGACACGGATCAAAAAGTAGGCAATTCTTTTGCACTGATTCCAATCTGCTTTGGTGAATCAGATATTTCAGGAGACCACACACAAGATCCATATTTGAAGAGAAGAGAAGTGTGTCTTTAAGGCTCATAAAATTCCTTTGACTAATGATTAATTTATTGATTTAGTTTTATTTATTTATGTACTTCATCTTGTCATCTAAAGTAAGTCGACTTAAAAATAAATACAAAATGTAAAAAAATTGATTAAAGTAATCAAATTAAATAAAATTCATTTAAAATGAAATTTAATATACAAAAATATGAAATATTTATAAGTATTCTGGGGTATTTAAAAGCAGAATGGTTCAACATTTGTTGCATGGATTGAGGAAAACCCAGGAAAACCCGAATCAGATCAATTATGAAAATCAATAACTTCAAAGGCTTTGTTGATAGTGAATTTGATACCATTATTAAATTTTAATTTATGGTCAAGAAGTGATTCTAAATCCTTCGTCCTACCTACTTCATTCAATCTATCAAGTTGCATACCCAGGCCAGGCTCTCGCCTGCGATAAAATGAGATGATCTTGCACTTTCAAACGAAATTCTTTTTACATCCTAACAAAATTGAGCGTAAGCATTGAGAGGTAATTTCAATTTGTACATACACGCTTCAAATCGACGCCTGCAGCAAGCACATCACGATGACAGACCAACTTGTCTGTTATACCCCCTGCAAAACAAACATAAAAGTGCTTTATCATCGTTACGCGAACTTATGCTTAATTGAAAGCTCAACTAAGTTCATTTCAAATATTACGTTCCACAAGCACTTAGCGCAAGCAATGATGGCATCAGTTTAAATTATTGCTTCGATCCGCGCACTACTCGCAGCAAGATGTCGAAAATTGTGGTTTATGGAGTCGATGAGAGCCCACCAGTTCGTGCTTGTTTACTCACACTCAAAGCACTTGAGCTGCCCTTCGAGTATAAAGTGGTAGATCTCGCCGGAGGCGAGAATCGTTCGCCGGAATACTTGAAATTGAATCCACTGGGCACGGTTCCAGTGCTCGATGACAAAGGCACTGTTATATATGATTCACATGCCATATGCAGTTATTTATGCGACAAGTATGCCAAGACGGATGCACTCTATCCCAAGGATCTGGTGAAGCGGGCCGGAGTCAATCAACGCTTGTTCTTCGATGCCAGTGTCATTTATAGGTCTGTGTGGAATGTTGCCATCGGTTTCTGGCGCAGTGGCCACACCGTCGTTGAAAAGGAAAAGGTCGACAATATTCACGATGCTCTCAGGCAAACCGAACTTCTGCTGGAGAAATCCTACATTGCTGGAGATACTTTGACCATTGCCGATCTCTGCTGTGCCCCGACCGTATCAGCTGTGGCAGTGGCAGTTGACCTTAATGCAGATCGATATCCAAAGATCACTGCTTGGCTGGCTCGTCTCGGTCAATTGCCATACTTTGAGGAATTTAATAATGTGGGCGCCAAGCGATACACGGATTTCATGCGAAGCAAGTGGACGAAAATAGAGGAGTAAGGCTTAAGGTTAAGAATCAAGTTTGTTTTTCTTATAAATAAACTATGTACCCAGTGTATTAAATGTTCTCATCATTCGAAGATGCTTTTATTATTTATCATCCGCAATGTAAGCAACATAAATGCGCAGTTGTTTTGTTGATGGGCGGTTGGTTTGTTCAACTGAAATGTAGTTTCTTGTCTATGCATTCATGTAAGAAATGTTAGAAATGCATGTGCTTAATCAAATAGGTACTTATTTGTTTATGTTTACTTATCAATTTTTCTCTATTATCAACAATTTATGGCTGTTGGCAAGATTTCACAGCAGAGATTTGCGAGCTGCATACCATTTTTAAATGCAACTATCGATAATGAATATTAACTATCGAAAGGGTAGCTCATCGATTTATTCAGCGAACGAATAGCAAAAACAATATGAACAAAACTAACAAAGTTGATTGGACCGATGAGATTTTATTTTTTATAATCAAACATGTAAAACATGCGCCATTTGTTTGGGACAACACCCATCCCAAGTATGCGTATAAGGCGAAAAAGGCGAAATTCTGGTCGCTGCTTGCAGAGAAGGTAAATGCACACGGTGGCTTCTTCTCAACCACACCAATTACAAAGGGTAAATTGAACAAAAATATTCAATTAGAAATATAATAAAAGTAAATAAACTAACATATTAAAGTACTGATGATGTTGTGATTTTAGAGGCGCTGCAAAAGAAATGGACAAATATGAAGACATACTATTTGTTCGAGGAGAGCAAATCGCGAAGAATCGGTGCCGATGCGGATAATTTCAGCACAACTTGGAGATTTCGATCAACATTGGCCTTTTTAAGCACAACGCTGGATGCACCGGCATCAAGTCGACCAAATGCAAGTGAAAGCAGTTTTGATTGTCTGTCCGAGGATGATCCACTGGCTACCCAAGATTGCATCCAGCCAGCCAATATGGGCATAAAAACCGAAGAGCCTTCGGTAGAGGATTCGCCAACATCGAATGAAATTGAAGATGAATCCTTGCCACCAGTAAGAAAACGTAGTAAGGAATCCAAAGGCATGGAGCTGCGAACTACAAGGATTGCCCATCGAACAAATTTCTATCATTATGGCATGACGGTTGCCCAGGATCTGGATCAACTGGATGAGGACTTTAAAATTGATGCCAAGCTAGAAATAATGCAAATTATTGCCAAATACAAAAGAGAACAATACTTGAATCAAAGCAACAGCTAAAAATAAAACTAAATTTGTATATATATCTATTTTTTTTCGTTTGTTTTCGAGTCAAGCCTATTGTTGAGAATGCTAGCGCAAAACGCAATAGATGTTTGAGCTAAGCACAACAAAAGAGTAGAAAGTATTTGTGGAATTTAACAACACTGACAGCAATATCACAGGCGCAATATCACGACATCGTTTGTTATCGATAGGCAAACAGCTGTGTCAGTCAAGGCAACTGTTTTTTTTTGTTCAGCATAGTGTAGTTAGTAGTATAAGAGATTATAAAAGGCGAGCATAACTTCAAATCTTTAATTCTAATCAGGATTGTGTAAAATACTAATTGTTTATATACACATTGCAAAAAAAGAAGATAAATAAAGTCAAACTTAAGCGAAAGGGTGCAAAAGCTGCGTGTGCGCCAAATCAATTTACGGCGCACAAACGTAACGTGAAAATCGATTTCAGTTTCGCCTGCTCCGCTAACAGCTGCCATTCTGTTCGGTTCACATTTCAATTAATGTACAATTAATTTTGTAGAACAAGTGCAACAAAATGCAACGCTGGAGAAGCTCGCTTTGGCTTTCGCTGACAGTTTCTGCATTGATTGCAGTTTGCAGTGGAGCGGACACGGATATAACACTCGATGCCAAAGCGACGCTAAATCATCGCATTCAGAGTCTCGATTTGTTGGTCTTCGTATTCCTGTTGGCCCTCACAGTTTTGACCATTTGGCTGTTCAAACATCATCGCGTCTCTTGGCTCCATGAGACCGGATTGGCTGTTATTTATGGTTAGTAAATAAAAAACATACTTTCTTGTTGTTGTCATTATCAATTTTCTATGTCATTTCTTCTTTGCCTTTACCTTTACCTCTTAATTTCATTGTCACCTGCAGCTTTCATTTTCGTCTCTTTGTTTTTGTTTTTTCGTATCTATTAAGCAGCTATATGCATATGTATATGTATGCTTGTATACATATATGAATAGATATATTCATATATATATATATAAATACAAACGTAATTGCGTATTTTTACACTTTACGTGCACATTCCATCATTCACTTCCCGCCCCTTAGAAACCCGCCCATGTAATCGAATAAATTTAAATGCGACAAAAGCTTTTAAGCCTGCATGTTTTGCGCTGTTGATAATATGAAACCTGTATTTAAACTTCTAATTACACAACGCAGCACACAAATTCTTTGTTTCTGTTTGAATCTGATATTTGTCATCTTTCGGTTAAATGCAATTAAGCTAAAAAGTCATAAATGTGTACAGTGTGTACATTTACAATAATATGCATTTCGAGATATTCAAGAATATTCCATGCTTTTATCTTCTATTCATTATAATTTGTACAGGTGCGAACAAAATAATAGCACCACTCTCACAAGAAATGTTTTCAAATTAGTTGTATAGTTGTAAAAGTGCGAAGTAAATAAACGATTTGTTCTTATTTATCTGCAACTTTTTGGTACTTCAAATGAAAAACAAATATATTTAACAATAAATATTGAGAATAATTTCCAGGAGCAGTACTAACATTCATTTATAGGTAGAACACTAAATAATATATAATATAAATGTTAATTACATTCGAAAAAATTGCAAAAGTATTGTTTTGTTTTTTCATTCGTAAGAAAAAATGTCAGAGTGGCGCTATTATTTTTTACGCAATTGTATGTGCATTGTACGTGCTCATACTGTGTGTGTGTGTGTGTTGTATTTGTGTATTTGGTTTCAGTTGGGTTTCTCCTTCCACATTTTCTGTTTTTATTTTAATTGTATTCGTTTTGGGTTTTTTCGTCATCATTTCCAGTTGCCAATCAGACTTGACCAATTGGAATGATCAATAGTAGAATTGAAGGCAATAAAACTAATTAGACACGTGTGTTAGACATGAACAGCAGTTATAATTAAAGTTATTTTTGCATGAAATAAAATAATTGGACATTTAAATTATACTGTTTATCTAAATTGGCTTAGACCATCGTACAAATATTTGTGCTACTAACAAAAAATAATAAATTATACTATGCAGATAACACACACTCTTCTTTCTTGACTGATAAGGCAAATGAGTCAACAAAATATCAAGTATGCATGTACGTTCCACACGCTCTTATCTGGCTCAATTGAAAGAAAGCAACAGCCGCATTCACTTAGTCACTTTGTGATAGGTCAGGCAATAATCAAAGAACAGAAGTGAAACCAATTTATATCGATTTATGGTTTGGCTCTATCGTTTCCCCATTTATTCCTTTTCCACTTAAGGTAGTTTCCAATTTGATTTGACATTCAATGGGGCCTATAATTTAAGTTAATAGATGGTGCTCTCTATTCCCTAAAAGCTGGTTTCGTGTTTGCAAAAAAATGGCATTTAGTCATAAATTATATTTTATATATATATGCAATTCATAGATTATTATATATACGTGTATTTGCAAGTATGTTGCTAGTTTCTATTTGGATTGTAACTGGTTTTTATAGACTTCTGTTATCGCTAGCTGAAAATTTTCCCAACTTTACTTTGCACAAACATATATAGTATTTGTTGATTTCTTTTTAGTTATTTTTTTTTTTTTGTTATATGGGTACTAAGCAGATATTTTAATACTACATACTTGTAATTATTATTTGTATATTGGATATTTTTTCAATCTGATTCTTAAACTAAAAATTTTGTTAGCAAAGAGGAAATACATATAAAAAATATCTTCTTGAATTAAAACAGATACAAAAAATATCATCTCAGTCTGATCCTAAGTCTAAAAAAATATACCCTACAATAGTTATGAAATCACATCTGTTTTATGTTTATACTGTTTATTCTTTTGCTAACCTTAATTCCTAAATTATGTTTATTAATCTGAACCTCTATGACTCTTTGAACAAATTGCAGGTTTAATTGTTGGTGCCATTATACGATATGCGGGCACAAACACCACTCTGGTGCACATGCAGGTGGAGACGCAGGGAACACCCACATATAGTGACAAATTGCCACCGGACACATTGTGGTTTAAGGTGCGTACACAAAACTCTGTCCTATGCAATTTGCTGGCAATAGTAATCGATTTGTTTTTGTTTTTGTTTTAGTATCCGGTTAATCAGACAAATACCACTAAGCAGCCCGAGGACGTTAAGACATATGCGTATGTGTTTCGTGGCCAGGTTTATGATATCGATGAGAATGAAATTGATTTGAAGGCCACATTCGATCCGGAGGTCTTCTTCAACATTATATTGCCGCCAATTATATTCTATGCTGGCTATAGCCTAAAGAAGGTTGTATTTATTTACAAATGTACATATCAAATCTGGAACAATTTCTAAATCAAATTTCATTATCGTTTTGTAGAAATACTTCTTTCGCAATTTGGGTGCCATTTTGACGTTTGCCATTGTGGGCACCACCTTATCGGCGTTCCTAATCGGTGGTCTGATGTACGGCTGTGTGAAACTGATGCCAAAATACTTGAGCAGCAGTTACACATTCCTGGACACGCTGTATTTTGGGGCGCTGATATCGCCAACAGATCCGCTCACCATACTGGCCATATTCAATGATTTGCACGTCGATGTTAATCTCTATGCGCTTGTGTTGGGCGAATCTGTGCTGAACGATGCCGTTGCCATTGTGCTAAGCGGGTAAATGTTACTAAATATTAAATTCTAGTACTATTCAAGGGGTCAAAATCGGTTCAGGTATGTCATATCTGTGACCGAGGAAAGTTTGTTGAATGTCTCAACAATCAGTTGCCAATCAAATTAATACAAGTTCTCACAAAAAATGGGAGAAGGGGCATAAGGAAAGCAAAAGGCTGCTTTTGGAATATATATTGGATTAGCATTAATAGTTGAGTTGACTTAATCATGTCCGTGTGCCCGTCTGTGTAAGTAAGTCTATATCAGAGATGATAATGAAATATGCCGCTCAAGTTTATATCATATTACTAGCGTATCGATATAAATCGATTTCTAATATCACTAAAGATATAGCCTTCCAATTGACATATATATTACTTGCTGACATATTATTGATCAACTGTGAAAAATGCAGATTTTGTTAACCAAAATATATTTTTATATCGAAAAAGTTACCAACTTTTTTGACATTTTCGATTTTAATTGTTAATGTGTGTATTTGCAGTGCCATACAAAACTACGGCGAGCATTATTCAAACTCGGGCGAGTTTGAGTCGACGGCATTTTTGCGTTCGCTCAGCGACTTTGTAAGCATTTTCTTCTTGTCGCTGCTAATTGGCGCCGTCATGGGCTGTTTTACAGCATTGATATCCTTTTCAAAATAACAAAAAAAAATATTAATATATATATACATATAAATTAATCATTCTATAAGTAATGTGCTTCCTTAACTCCTGCCACACTTGACCAAGTTTACGCGCGTGCGTGATTTTCCGCTGCTGGAATCGGCGCTCTTTGTGCTGATGAGCTACAGCACATTTCTGCTGGCCGAGGCCACGGAGCTGACCGGCGTTGTGGCCGTATTGTTTTGCGGCATTTGTCAGGCCCATTATACGTATAACAATTTGTCGGAGGATTCGCGACAGCGCACCAAACAGATCTTTGAGCTGCTCAACTTTCTGGCCGAGAATTTCATATTCTCTTACATTGGCGTCTCGATGTTCACATTTCCCAAGCATCATTTCGATGCTGGCTTTATTATAACCGCGTTTGTAAGTCTAATGAAATATATAATATATATATATATACTTATATTAATTTTTGTATTATTAATTTATTTAATAGATTTGTGCTGCTCTGGGACGTGCCGTTAATGTGTATCCTTTGTCCTGGCTGCTCAATATTAAACGCAAACCAAAAATCTCATCTAATTTCCAGCACATGCTATTCTTTGCTGGTAAGCTGGAATCAAAGCGTATCTGAAATACCCAATAATATCCATCTCTTTTCATTTATGTTAGGTTTACGTGGCGCGATGTCCTTCGCCTTGGCCATTCGGAATACGGTGTCCGATGCGCGACAAACCATGTTAACGGCCACATCACTGATTGTTATCTTTACGGTCATCATTCAGGGGGGTGCGGCTAACTTTCTGCTCAACTGGTTGAAAATACCGTAAGTTAAATTGTTAATAACAATAAATCAGCGGCTTTGAATTGCCATATTTTTTGGTTGCAGCGTTGGCGTTGATGATGAGACTGAGCAATTGAATAATTATCATGTCCACAGTGTGAGTATCTGTGTAATAAGTTCATTTGTTCATTTATATATTAAGAGCTATTTAAGTTCGGTTTGGGCATCATTCACATTTGAAGAACTTTCACATATATAATCACAGTTTAGTTTATATTTTAGTGAGTTAAGTTTCGGTTAAAAAATTAACAGTGATAGCTGTGATAGCTAAAGTTAAATTTAGCATCAACCATTTCCCGGAACTAAATCCTTAAGTTCGTCATTGACTCTTACAGTGTATTAAGCATATTCAAAATGGAACTCTTTTATTTGTACCTTTAAGGGATCATCATAATATATATGTATATATATATATATATATTCAATGTGGCACTTTTAAGTTCAAACTGTTTGTCGATGAATGATTTAATTTACATTGCATTTCTGATTCAGTTGTTGTTGATTGTTCACATTTTAATGTAAATTCTAACTGAATTATTTTGTACATTTCCACGCAATTCACGACATTTTGCATCATTCGAAAAAGGTTTACAATTCCATGGACAATTCACATTCGGCTCCGGTACGTTGATAATAAATTCCATACAATTCTCAATTTGTGTGTGTGTGCTTCTTTCTTTCCTCGTCGTCCTCTGTTCCAACACTACAACAGACAACAACACACAAATACACACACATTTATGCATTTTTTTCAGTTTGCAGCATTAAGGTTTCTTCTTTTGAGTTTTTTTTTTTTATATTATGTTGTTGCTGGTACTCTTTCTTCTAAGACCCATTTTCAATACACATATCGCTAATTTTGTCTCGTTGAAATCTGTTCAGTCTGATGGCTACTTGCAGGACGTGGAAGGCGGTGGCGGCGGAGGAGGAGGAGGGGCTGTAGGAGTTAGCGGTCGTGGCAAGACACGTCTCGTTACTGGCGCCGACTCCAATCTGGATACGCCGCTGGATGGCAATGCGGCGACTGCAACGAGTGGACGACGACGCAACAGCCACGAGAAGGCGATCCTAGCGCGCATTTGGGGCAACTTTGATACCAAGTGAGTATATAAAAAACAATGATTGCCATAGTACGGATATGTATCAAGTATTTCGCCAGATATATGAAGCCATTGCTGACGCACTCGAGGCCCACTTTGCTGGAGACATTGCCAGTATGCTGTAATCCTATTGCACGACTGCTGACAACCACACAGCAGCTGACGCAGGTATGCCACAAATCCTGACCTGTTGTTCGACTGTATTAAGAGATGTATTATTACTTTGTACACACAGGATGGCAGCGAGTTTAGGCGAGTTGATTCCGATTCGGATATTTGCATTGACAACGATACGGGCAATGGGATCAGTCAGGATGGTCTAGTTGGTGGCGGGCGTCGCAATTCGATAAATCGCGTAAGTATTCGGTACATGGGCGATACTCAGAACCTACTTGCTAGCTACAGAAATCTTGAATGAAGCACCAAAGACTAATACCATGTAGAAAGAGCAACTAACAAAACCACACCAAACCAAACCAAAACAAACCAAACCAATTCAAAAAATAAATCCGAAACAACTAAATTTTGGCCAAGTAGACGCATTGTTATAGCTTTTAAGCGAGATTTTAATCAAAACTAACTTCAACTACAGCAATTGCCAACTTACTAAATATGTACATATATATAAAATATATATTGTATATGTATCATAACAAAATTGTGATTTGTCTTATTAGTTAACTCGTTATTTCAATGATTTCAATGTTAATTTTATAAATAAAAAAATATTATAATTAGGATTGTAAAACCATTTTATTATTGTTTTGTTAATTATAGTTATATTTTAAATACGTCAGGCGAGTTTTCTAGTCTTAATCCATATTTATTGTATATTTTTGATTGTTTGTTAATATTTTACATACTGTTTAACTGCATGGCTAACCAAATATAAACGTACAAAACTAAAAACAACAAACTGTAACTTTCTCAGCGAAAATATTAATTTATTTGGTTGCTGCGGCATCTTTCTTTCTATCTTTCCTCAAACCATCTAAACAATAAAAACAACAACAACTCATGTGGACTAAAAACCATTTAACTATTCGGTTTTTCGGTTAACATCTGCTCCCCAAACTCAAACTCGAACTTAAACTGAAATTGAAATTGAAACTGAAACTAAAACAATAACCATACCATTAACCATTAACTTAACCAATGCTAATACAATACTGCCTCAACAATAGTCAAATATTATAAATGAAACTAATCACATTGCAAACGAACTCAGCTTGCTTACCAATAATTTCATGTAATCAATTGCAACCCAATCGAATATCGAATTTAACACAACAAATTTAACCAAAAAACCTCTTTTTCCGATTTATTATTATTTTTTTTTTTCTTTTTGTGTTTAAATTGCTCCATTTTCATATTTAAATATACGTACACTACTGAATACAAAACTTGATAATGATAACGATCGTCAAATGTCGGCCTGCCTGTCCGATCGCACAAAAATATATGTATATTAAATTGGGCTGGTGAATGGGTATTATAAGGTTTGCTTGGGAATTGAATCGTATTAATAATAGCACAATATTGAAGTGGCTTTTTTGTATTTTTTTGGTAATTATTATTTATGTTTACGTATCTCACAATCTTATTTCTTAGAATCTAACATGCGACTAACCATGTAAGTATACAATTATAAGTTCATTTTCATTTTATATTTAATTATTCTTATCACTAGTATGCCAGCATAGTTTCAGTTCTCATTTCTTACATATTCCTTACTTAAGTTTATGTTTCATTTATAAACTTTCTTTTATAGGTTACGTGCGAAGATGGGAATGTTCATATTTAAGTTGATTTGTTGCCAGCTACACAATTATGCAATTGGTCTCATTTGAAATGCAAATTTGATGCGTACAAATTAGTTTATTTTTAATTTGGAATCCTGTTTAATTTTTAAGACTTTGTGATTTGAATTCTAGTTATATGAGTTAGTTACAATGATTATTTGTTTTCTTGTTGTTGAATATTGAAAATATGGATTATTACGTTCAAGGAATATAACGTTCAATTGAAAAGTTGGTATATTATTTGAGTTTTTAAACTGTTATTATTGTTTTAGTCAATAAAAGGACATATAAACATAATTTTTACATTAACTGAAATTAACTTGGAAGCCCAATGTGAAAATTTGTATGATGTTATAAAAATATTAAAAAATACTCATAGCTTTATTATATTCCCTCTCTTTTTATTTAAAACCGCTGCAACATTTTATTGAAACTGAAATTGCAAATTATATGTACACAATCTAAAATATATAAAACTATTCTTCAAAATCGTACCAAAACACAAATGTTTAGATGGAAATCCTGGAGCATGTTCAAAGTCCGGTATCAACGAGAATCAGGCTATTAGGATTTTATGGCAAAAAGTTATAGAAGATATACAAATAAATAATCGTTTATTTTTTACAATAGATTTGTATTTCGAAATACATAAACAAACAAAAAAAAAAGGAAATTAAATAGAATGCTTTCAAATTTGCGGAACAATAATTAGTGTAAATACAAATATTTATATATAGTTTAAACTGCATTAGATATGTATTTGTGTTTTGAAATTATACAAACTTGCAAACCTACAAACACACTTTGTACATGTAAATTAAATATAATATGTAAAACGCGGTGTTTGCACGGTAAAAAATAAACACATGTAAAACGCGGTGTTTGCACGGTAAAAAATAAACACACACACAAATGTTAAAGATATTCGGTTTTAATATTCAATATTCTGTCTATGAAAAAGTTCTTATTACATACATACTACAAATATTATTTAAACTAAAGCATAACTCTCTTATATATACATTTATTGAAGATATTAATTGCTGTGCTATTAATTTGTAAGTCGAAATCAATAAAAACAACAAAATAAAAAATGTGTTTTTCTTCAACTACGACAGCTACAAAAAGGCCAAAAACCTACCCTTTTCTCATCTCTGATGCTAGCAACTGAGAGCATTTACAGTTACTTGATTAAAGCTGTTTTTCAAGTAGATAAATATGGAGTAGGCGACAAGTGATTTAGTTAATTGTCTGTCTTCGTTATGGATATTTGTGAAAGTCTAAGTAAGAATTGCTTGATGGACAAAAAATGCGTCCGTTCCTATGTAAAAGGGCGCCGGGTCGAACACGAAAATGAAGTATTTAAGGTGCAGTGAGTTCAACAAATACTACGTCAATTTAAATATTAATATTAATAATAGAACAAAAAAAAAAAACAACACAATTCACATATATATACACATATATAGAGCAAAAGAAATACGAGGTCGCAATTTACCTATGCCGATCGATTCATACCGAAACGTTTCAAGCCTGAGAATATTGACTATAATCTTAAGTTTGTGGGCAGGCGTAAGGAAATGGATATTCTCAAAATGGTGTGTACATGAATACTTATATTTATATATGTACGTATATCTATAATATCTATATATCTAGAATCTAACCCAATCATGCAGCTATTGGAGTCACAGCAGCTTTGCTTTCGCCTTGAACAACGCCTTCAATATGCAAGAATTTCGCTTGCTGCAATTTAACGATATGCAAGGCCAGCAGTGCTTCGGTCAGCGTCCACATGGACAAAACACACCCGATGATGGAGATTGGCCATGCCATCCACGCACCCGGCCAATTGCTTATCCCACTGCCACCAATGAGATGCCCGGTCTCTGGAGTTCATTTGGTATTTCCACACCCAAAAAACAAAATAACTCATTTAACAATTGTACACAAATTTGTTGATGTTTTCGATTTAGATCTCAATATGATGGACTGGTCGAAAAATGGCCAGATGGCCATTTCGTTTGGGGAAAACTTAATTATATCGCGCAATGAGGATAATATCAGCATGGTCTTCAGTGTCGAAAATACAAATTCACTCAAATATTCGCCATCGGGGCGATATCTTGCCATCGGCTGCATGGTCTCCCAATTTCCTGGTAATTGCTTACAAATTTTAGTACTACATTTCTAGGATAACTTATAATTACAATTCGAGAATTCCTAAATTTTGTATTTGCAATTTCAGTGCTGGAGCTTTGGAAATTACTGCCACCAAATGAATTTTTGGTAGCCGATGGTAAATACTTGCCGAGATCATTCGGATCGATATGTTGCATTGAATGGAGCAAGTCTAATGAAGACATTCTCTGTGGCACAAAATGTGGCATAATTGTGGTAGTCGAATTATCCTGGATGACCACAGAGCATGTTTTGCGTAAACATAAATATCAAATAAATTGTATGCGTTTCTCGCCCACGGGACGCTATTTGGCCACATCCGATGTGCAAGGACATATCTTTATATACGATGGCAGGAATTATAAGGTCATATTGAGATTGGGCGCCAAGGCAGGTGGCAGTGTCTTTGACTGGCATCCTTGGTCCGATAATGAATTGGCTATTTGTAAGTAGTATCAGTCAAATTTCAATATTTTTATTCATATTCTAATCCAAACTGAATATTTTTGTGCAGCGGAAAAGCTACCCTCATCCATTTATATATTTCATGTGCAACGCCGTGAAATTGTTGCCTTCTATCAGCGCGGCGATGAGAAGATCTTAATAAAGTCACTTAATTTTAGCAAGATCACAGGCGAGTTGCTGGTCAACACTTACAGACAGGGTAAGATGCTACGTATATATGGAGAATTTGTTTTAATTTGAAATATCCATAGACGAAAATGGCTGTCCGTGCACTGAGATCTTGGTGCTTTCTTCATTGAATCGGGTAGTTGACATATTGGGCTATCAGGACAGAGGTGCATTGTTCATGATGTGGAGTCCAGATGGAAGAAGCCTCGCTGCGGCTGGCCACGACGAGTCCTTTTCGGTTTGGGACTTTTACCCCGCGGATAAGACAAATGCTGAAATTATTAAGGACTTTCTCGATAAAGCGGATCGCAGTGTTCTAGAACTTTACGGTCCTTTTAAGTAAATTTCAAATTGTTCACATTTGTCGCAAGTTTTATTTATTTTTATTTATTTAATTTTTTTGTATTAGTTTTAAATTAATAAAAGAAAAAAGTAACGGTGGCAAAATTTATGCATTTTTCACTTAATTCAAAATAAGGGTATTTTAGAGAGCGCTTGCTAGTTTTAAAACTACCGCCATTTTCGAAGTGGCAGCTAACCGATAACCACTTATCGGTTCATACTTGCAAATTTGTTACGTTATCCGACTTATCGTTACTATCCGTTTAATTTTTCAGCCCTCGTAGAGTGCGTCCCTTCATTTGGATTTTTTTTTGTTTTGCAATTGAGCAAATAATTAATTAATAAATAAATCTCAAATAATACTTAACATGGATAAAGTAAAGCGAGCATTTTTGCGCGCCTGTATTAATCACAGCTGCCTGGATCCAGAACAAATTGATAAGATATTAACACCGCTGTGTGAGCATCACAAAGTGGAAAAGCCCGCCAATAAAGAGGCTTTGTACAAATTGGTTGGTGAAATCGAAAATACCATAAGGGAGCTAAATCAGTCATTGGGTTTCGTGCAGCATCCGATTAGTGGCAAGGAATATTTGGTGTTTGCCATAACAGAAGCAACGCCCGACAAACTTGCTCATCCCGGTCTGTCCGCCGAGGAATGCCAGTATTTTTCAATTATATTGGACATGCTGGGACAGCGCGAGGATTTGTGCATAGCTTGGAACGAGGCATACTCCAATGTGAACTTCAAGGGTACTGCCACCAAACCGCCCACGAAGCTGCGCATGCAGACACTTCTACAAATGTGGAATGATATGGGCTACTTTGTCGAATCGGACGATCATCTTTATCTGGGCGCGCGCAGCATTGTTGAGTTCGAGTTCCATCTTCGCTCGCATTACGTGGACACAATTAAGGAGTGCGCTCTGTGCAAGAAACTGGTGTTCTGGGATGTCAAATGCTCGGATTGTGGGCGGAAAATCCATCGCGAGTGCATACGAAAATATTTGCGAACACGCTCCAATTGCCCCACCTGTGGCAACAAATGGTGCACGCGGCTTAGTCAATAATAGGATGAAGTGGCCGTCAGTGTTACAAGGGCAAGCAATAAAATGTGTGATCCAATAACAATGTTAAAATTAAGATTAAACATTTTTTGGTAAAATGTACAGCGATATAGAGTAATCGCTTATATATATAGCTTCAAATTAAGTACACTTGTTGATTAAGATTATTTATTTTATTTCAAAAATTATTTAACATACGTGTATTTATTAGCTAGTCTTTCATTACTTCAATTCATTTCATAAATCTTTCATTAAAATTTCATATTGATTGATTTTTATCTTAGGGATTATTTTTTAAGCATATCATTTCCCAAATCTTAAAAATTGTATTAAATGGTTTATTCTCTTTCACAAATGAAGATATGAAAACGATAAATTTCAGATGGTAAAAAACCGTTACTTGATTGAAATTTTCTACGTTGCTGTATCTTTGTATTTTGAGAGAGAGGTTATTGTTTTGATAAATCTTTAACTTTTACACGGGTGCAGTACTTTCGCACTATACACGTCTCTGGGACTCCTGTTGAAATATATATTCTGCACATGCCTCCGATTCCAGGCGTCGCTTTCTATCCAAATGTGGCCGAATTAAAAAACGATTGCTGCAATAGACCACCATTGTCGAACCGATGGCGATAGCCATCATGCCGACAGTCGTTGACGCGAATTGTTTAATGAAGCTCATCTGCAATAGAAAAAACATATATAATATGTGCATCAATAAAATATTCAATATTCAACTATGTTTAAGGCGCACTTTGGAGAATTTGTTGCAGGGGCAGCTGTTGTTGTTGTTGTTTCGCTATTATTTTCTGCTTTATTTTCGTTTCTCAGTTTTAATATTAGTGGCTGCCAAATGTAAACGCCACCAAGAAAACCAATTGCGGTTACGACCATCAATTGAGTTACTGTAACACCACGTGGTCGACGTATTTGCATTGCATTTAAAAGGTAAATTATAATTTTTTTTTTAGCCGGTAGCTGTTACATCAACTCAAGTCGCAACACATAAGAAACAGCTGTTTGGCTTGGCGAATTTTACAGCACTAAGCGTTTGGCGTTGCCAGAAGCAAAGAGGTACGTATCAGTTTCGCCATCCGTTACGTTATAGTAGCGTAAATTTTTGTTTAAAATTTAATAAACACAAGATCAAGGTTATGCACATATGATATGCTTAGTGAGTATACTTAATTAAATGCTTAAGTAAATTGAGACGCTGGGATTTTCTAAGGGGTTTTGAGTTACTGACGCAAACGGAATTAATAAGCGGATTTCCTTTCGAGCAGCACGAATCTTTTGTTTTTTCTTAGCTCCAAACACGTTTCGGTGAACATTCTTGTGCCTATTTATATAGCTAGCAATCAACAGTTAGCAGCATCAACAAGCGAATACGCAGAATAGACACAGAAAGAGAGAGCGCGAGAGACGGAGAGAGAGAGAGAGCGAGAGACGGAGAGAGAGTAAGCAAGCTCGTGATGCGCTCTGCTTTCTCGGCTCGGGACTCCCTTTAAAGCAATAGAGCGAAAAGAAAGACGAGCAACAACAAAACGACGATGTTAAACAGTAAGCTGGTTTTAAAATGGCCTGCTCGCTGCTAGCTTTGAGTCACTCTCAGTTGGACCCGAGTACCAAACGGTTCTCTAAACGTTCTGTGCAGATCGCTGCTGCTGCTGTCGCTGCGACTGCTACAAAAAGGAGTGAAAATACACACACAATACAGAAAAAAAATACGTATACATACACAAAACAAAATTAAATAATATTTAATATGTGCTCGTTGCTGGTGGTGCTGCTGCTAGTGAGCCTAGCGGCAAATATCAATGGCAACCCAAACGTACCCGCCACACTAACCACACCGACTGGCGTATTTGAGACGCGCACAGATCATGTGCCCAGCATTACCACCACTGAAAGTTCATTGATTCCGAGTGCGGCTTCGGCATCATGGCCCACTGCATCCTATGATGACATCGACACATTTGTGCCATATCGCAGTGATTCGCACGATAATTTCTCGTGGCAATTGATGAAAACGGTACTACTTAGCGAGACGGAACAACAGAATAATGTGATCATATCACCATTTTCCATTAAATTGGTGCTGGCACTGCTGTCAGAGGCCGCGGGCGCAAATACACAGACACAACAAGAGCTGATAAGCACACAAACGGACATCAGGTCGGCGAATAATGTGCGTGAATTCTATCGCAAGACGCTCAACTCGTTCAAGAAGGAGAATCAACTCCATAACACGTTGAGTGTGCGCACAAAACTCTTCACCGACAGTTTCATTGAGACGCAGCAAAAATTTACGTCGACACTGAAACACTTCTACGATAGCGAAATTGAAGCACTTGATTTTGCCGATTCACCCGCTGCTGCCTATGCCATCAATGAGTGGGCGAACAATGTGACCGATGGGCGTTTAAAAAATTTGGTCACACCCGAGACGGTGCAGAATAGCGTTATGCTGCTCACGAATCTCATCTATTTTAAGGGTCTGTGGCGCCGTCAGTTCTTCAGCACATACGAGGGCCCCTTCTTCACCACCAGAGATGCACAGACACGCGTCCAGTATATGGAGCAAACGGAATTCTTCTACTACCACAACTCCGACAAGCTAAAGTCACAAATATTGCGGCTGCCCTACAAGGGCAAGAACTCACTATTTGTCCTGTTGCCCCATGAAATGGACGGCATTTATGAGCTGCTGCAGGCGCTGGAGAACGTTGATGTGAAGAGTGCCCAGTGGGCCATGCAGGAGGTGAAGGTGAAGGTGACACTGCCCAAATTTAAATTCGACTACAAGCGCAACTTTAAGCAAACCCTTCAGGATTTGGGCGTACGCGAAATATTCGAGGATACCGCCTCGCTGCCGGGTCTCTCACGGGGTGCCGATGTTGCCGGCAAGGTGAAGGTATCGAATATATTGCAAAAGGCCGGCATCGATGTGAATGAGCAGGGAACGGAAGCGTATGCAGCCACCGTCGTTGAGATTATCAATAAATTCGGAGGCCCGACAAAGATCGAGGAGTTCAATGTGAATCGACCATTTGTGTTCTTCATCGAGGAGGAGGCCACCGGCAACATTCTGTTTGCCGGCAAGGTTCATCAGCCTTCCTAAGGACGCTCAACGAGCTCAACACGGGCGCGCTTGATATGATTATTTGATTATAGAGTTACATTGACAATAAACAAAAACTATCCTATATATGAGATTATAATTGTGGCATTTCATTTCTACACACCTATTTCAACGGTCTAACAAAATATGAAGAAAACTACCCATGATACTATAAAGTATTACGACTTTTTATTATTAATTATTATTATTAATAATATTAATATAAAATCTCCAACTTTTGCTAGGGCATTCAATTTTGATATCCGCTTTATAGAATTTTTTCCCAAGCCCATTGAAAATTGTGATAATGAATATGTGCAAAAGTGGGAAAGATATCGCCAATTGAGTATTGGATATGCCTTGACTCATTACCAATGAAATGGAAAAATGTCAATTAATAGCCAAATCGCATTTTCATATTGTACAATCTATATGTATAAATATATGATGAATATAAATTGTTTTTAGCCAATGATAGCCATATAAATAAAGAACAGTGGCATAACTGCTTAAATTTGAGTGTGCCGCACAGCGAGAACCTGTATTTAAAATACAATCGAAAATATTTAATAGCTGAATCGACTAGAGCTTACTCAATTGTTTTTGTATTTATTTATTTTATGAGTAGTATACAGCCAGCATACATACAGCAGTTAGGCACTAATGAAGATGCACGTACAAATAAGTGTATTGTAGGGCGTGGAAATTCCCGAAAAAAAAATATTGCGCGTCGAGCTTTGCGATCTTTTGTATGAATGTTTCTGTTTGTAAGATAAGTACAAACACATGAAAACCCACTTAAGAAATGAACATGATTCACGACGACTGTGGGGGACCTAATTAACACTTAACACTTCAACAGTTTAGTCAATTCACTGCACGATCCCCAACTGAATGCCTATCTGAAAAATATAGACTAATATCGAGTTCAACTTAAATCAAATGCCGCTTTGGTAAATAGTATTCTCACTCAGAAACAGAGAGAAAGAGAGAGAGAGAACGAGAATCTTGACTATACTTAAGATATTGTTTGTTTACTATGGCTCTTTTATCTCGGAGAAGCACTTGAGAGAAAATCATCTGCAACTTGGAGAATCATATTTATTGCAGCTTTGAAAGCTAGAACAAGTAACTTCTACACAGTCGCATATTTAAAACGCACACATTGTTATCATCCCATTCTTTTTTCGATGAGAGATCGTGAAATCTACTCAAACATATATACATATATATATAAACATTTGTTTATCAGTGTATTCAGTCGTGTTTGCTTGTATTTGGTTTTTTGATAACAGTATGAGTTGTATTTTTGGAACTGGTTTCAAGCATAACAAATGTGAATTGTGTGTTTATGTGACCAGTGAGCAGTGACCAATGATGATCCGCCCTTTATCTTAATAATAATTATCAGAAATCACTGATTAATTCTGACCTACTCCAGTTTCAACAGATAAGCTGCTAACACATATCTCTGTTCAGCCCACCTTTTAATTCTTATTGTTGTATAGTTAATGATTGATTTTAATATGCATATCTTAAAAACGAGTTTTTTTAATCTGTATTCAAATATGCTTAAATATGTTGCTCACTCATTCGATACTATTGCTTCGAATCACAGCTCAATTACCATTACATTTTTATCCCTCATTTTTTGTTTGCGGAGAAAATAATTTTGGTATCTTTCCCTTTGTTTGATAATATTTGCTTGAACCACATCCACAAAACGAAAACTGAAAGAGCATTGCAAATATAAATAAACTCCATTTATTTTTGTTGTGTAAACTGATTCATGGTTCATCAGTATATAAATAAGGTCATCCATGTCCATTTTTATGTTTGTGTTTTCACTTACAAATATATATGTAGTTTTTATAGCGTAAACGTGTTTTTTTTAATGAAAAAAAAAAAACCCTAAACAAAGCCGCTTAAACTGAAACACTATTGATATAGGAGCCCACTGCTATTTCTCAAACGGAAGGAGCTTTATAAGTGAAAATTAAGATATCTTCAAACCAATTATTACTGCTCAGATCCGATATCGGATCGAAAGTTCGAGACACCTTAACTAAAAGAAATCTTAAACACAGATTTTAACAAGACTATCAACAAGTCTAGTTTGTTCAGCTACGTTTCTTTCCCAATCTAAATGAAATTTTTACAGTTGATGTCACGATATATTATGCATCAATTGAAATGCTATATCTTTATAATTGGATCAATTATCGATAAAAAAATATCTTGATCTGTGTATGGTATACGAGAACTTGTATTCCATAGTCTCTTCTAGTCTCTAGCTTGATCCGTCTGTATGACGAACATAGGCAAATCGACTCGGAGGTTGATGCTATACAAGAATTCATATATACTTAATATGGATCGCAGATGCTGCCTCCTTCTGCCTGTGGAATACCTTTGCATAAGCCCATTATTCCCGCTTGCCAATTTTAAAGCAATCAGAGAGAGGGAATCGAAGAGATCACCGCGATTGAGCTATTGAATATCGACTAAGCTGGTGTTGCCCAAAGCTAAGCACTTTGTATGGATACAGGGAATATACAAACATATACAAGTGATTTATATATAGATGTGCATATATTAGAACTTCAGACTCACCTCCACCGCTGCCGCTGGACAGCATTGCCATCGGCTGTTGCGATTGAATGTGCGCTTTGTTAAAATTGTTGTTGTTGTTGTTGTTATTCGGATTGTTTTGTTGATGGCGAAGGTGCTGGGTTGCGGCATACTGTTGTTGTTGTTGCTGTGGTTGCTGCTGATATGGATGATACTGTGCCGCAGGCTGGGACATTTCACCAATTTGGAAATTTACGCTTTCTGGGAATCGCAAATTTGCGTCAGAGCGACGTGCATTTGCTGTTGTCGTTGAATGTTCCGATTGCATCATGTTGCCGCTGACTATCTGATGGTTTTTACCAGCAATGAGTGCGTTCAACATCGCATTGGATGTTGTTGACTCCGCTCGCATGCCACTTCTTGCACCCAGCATTGTTGCTGGCAATTGAGAGCGCGTTTGCGGCTGCTGTTGCTGCTGTATCTGTGGCTGCTGTTGCTGCTGTATCTGTGGCTGCTGCTGTTTGCTAGCCGCATTATTCATGTTGAACATCTTGGTGGTTTGCTCCTCCATTTTGCGTTTCATGACCGCATTCCGCATTATGGTATTGGCATGTGCCTGTAGATCCTCCTGCGACAGCTGTAATGGCAACTGCTGTTGTTGCTGCTGCTGCTGATGTTGCTGCTGCTGCTGCTGCTGTTGGCGAGCGGCCAGCGTTTGCTGTACAATTGCCAAGTTTTGTAGATTTTGCAATTGGCTGGCAATCACTGTGCTCGACAGCATCTCCAGTTGCTGCTGGTGCTGTTGTTGCTGCTGCTGCGTATTGGTAAACTGCAGCACGGCGGTGATGGCCTCACGATCCATGTTGGTCAAGCGTGGATTAGCCAACTGCACAAGCAAACCATGCTTCGATATTTCACCTACAGTACAAGTGATACACATAGTGATTTATAGATTTATTGCAAATAGATAATATATGGTTTTGGCCTACCCTTGGTCAGACGGAGCAGCAGCAGCTGCGTATCGGCGCGTCCAAGTATTGCCTTTAGCTGCAGGCTGGCCAGGAACGCGGTCTGTTGCTGCTGCTGTTGGATAAGCACGTGCTGCTTTTGCTGCTGTTGTTGATATTGTTGCTGTTGCAGGATGAAATTGGAAATAGCATCGTTGCCAACTTGCGGCTGCTGCTGTTGTTGTTGAGGCACCACTTGTTGTGGCTTGGCACCACTCAGAGAACCTATTAATTTTTGAAAATTATCAGACTGTTTGCTGTTATTGCTGCTGTTGGCGTTGCCATGTGTTGCAGCTGCAGCTGCAGCTGCTGCTGGCGCATCGAGCGAATTGCGTCGCCATTTGGCTTCCAGTTGTTCCACCGATGGCATTTGATTAATATAGCCAAGACTCTTGGGCTGCTCCATTTTCGGATTGCAGCTATTGTTATTGTTATTGCTGTTGCTGTGGCACATGGCCTGCTTGAAGAACTCATTCAGCGATGACGATGAGCCTTTCTTCTCCGTCAGTTCGCTTGCAAAGAACGGCATAAATTTCGAATTGTTATTGTTATTGTTCTGTGCCGATTGCTGCTGCTGTTGCTGCTGCAATGGCTGATAATTATCAAAGTGCTTTTGATTGTGATTGAACCTGTCAAAGGAAGTTGAACGACCGCTGTAACGCTTCTCATTATCCGTTGGGTGCACCTTGTTCAGATTCTCGGATGCGTTGCTATTGTTGTTGTTGTCGTGCTTTAGCATACTATTGTTATTGTTGTTGTTGTTGTTGGTGTTGCGTCCAATAGTCTCGCGATGCTGTGTTTTGTATTTGTTATGCTCGATCTGGGGCAGAGTAGAGAGATTCAAAGTTAATTTTGATAAGTTACCTAACAAATTTTAGTCAAATAGAACGAAATATATTTAAATATTTCATCATTATTTCTTAACTTACTTTGTGCTTTTGCATAATGGGTTCCCTATTGACTTCATTTGTGGCGTGGCTACCCTCTCTTAGCATACGCTCCTCATCCTCATCGAAGCCACACAATTCGATTGTGTCGAGTCGGGAGGTGGGACCACAGCTAAACCACTCGGGCTCCTCATTTTGATTTCTATAGCGACGATAGTGTCGCTCCTCCGCCTCACGAGACCTGGTCTTGGAAACGACCAAAAAGCCAGACATGACACGCTTCACATAATTCTCATTGGCACGATTCAGATCCTCGATAGATTCATTCGATTTCAAGCTCTCATTTTCCGAACGATTATTATTATTATTGTTGCTGTTGTTGTTGTTGGATGTGCCCATGATGGGTGTATTTGGGCGACCATTCGATTGCTGAGTGCCATTCAAATGGGAGGTGCTGATCTCCCCATTATCAAAGAATTTCATAACCGTCATATTGCTATTGTTGTTGTTGTGATGATGTTGTTTCGCATCATCCATGTGACATTTTGACATGCTATTGGCCTGATAATTGTTGTTGTTGTTGTACGACTTATAGTCGTTATTGTTGTTGTTGTATGACCATTTCGTGTGCGACAGGCGTCCACTGCCGATGCGTCTCTGATTAACAATAGCTGGATCCTGTAGGAGTTTTAATGAGCATTGCTTATTAACCTTTTTTATTAATTATATGCTGCAATTGTTAAATTGCTGCTACATTTTACAATCCATACACACTAAAAATTCATACACAAAAACAGTTTACATTTTATTTATATTTATATAATTAAAAATATACAATTACATTGCGACACAATAAGTTATTTAAATTGTAACTGTTAAATAACGTTCACCGTTAATCGCAGCGATTGTACATCACTAACAACCGGCACCAAATTGCAATCTCTCACACGTACAAACAGCACAACATTTACAGCAACAGCTGTGAGAGAGATTGCCACTGTAAGCTGATAAACCCGCCAACTTGCGAATATGCGTGCACAGAGATGAGCGCAAAAAAAAAAACAAAAGGGAACAAATAAGCAAAATGAAAATAGTGCAACAACAAGAACAACAATAACACTAGTCGGAGATGCACACAAAAACAAAGTGATACTAAAACTGAAACGGTACCAGCGACAGACAGTTGACATTGTGCTGTCTCGTGGATTCCATCGGTTGAACGGCTCTATCGACAGATTAACTGTAAAGAGCAGCCATAACAGAGTAATACAGTGTACAGCAACAACAAATAAAACCATAAGCAATCAAACGGTTTTGAGCTCAGTGAAAACATGCAGTTTGTGGCCACCGGTAAGAATCTGATTGGATTTAAATTATATATATTATTTGTCTACATACATATATGTATATATGTAGATACATTTAAGTTTTTATACGCCTAATATGGTACTTTTCTAAGACTGTCCGAACAAAATTTTGACATGTATTTTGGATATGTTTTCAGTTTTTGACTAATTTTAGTTAATTAATTAATATTTTAATAAAAACTGAAGCTTCCTTTTCAAACGTGATATAACATAAAACAAATTGGCACTTAAACATTTTGCGTTTGTTTCTTTGTTTAAACTTTATAGCACTTTAAAATTTTTGCTAGACACTGCCCGAAATGAACTGAGAGCCACTGTATATATTTTGAATTTAGAACACCAACACCGACGTTTAAATCCATTAAATGGACAGTGGGTGCTGGTGAGTCCCCATCGGATGCAACGTCCCTGGTCGGGCCAACAGGAAAAACCGCAACTGAACGAACAACCCGAATTTGATCCCAACAATCCCCTCTGTCCGGGTGTGAAGAGGCCTAATGGCCTCATAACTGATAGGTACGAGAGCACCTATGTCTTTGATAATGATTTTCCAGCCCTGCTGGAAGAGGTGCCGTCACCGCCTGCCAGCGATGATCCGCTGTTCCAGGCAGCTGCAGCGCGTGGCAATTGTCGCGTTATGTGCTTTCATCCCAAATCCAATTTAACCTTGCCAACGATGAGTCCAACGGAAATTTGTGCCGTCATCGATGAGTGAGTGAACACTTCGATACAAATGTTTATCGACAAACAGGATCTATGCTTGCAAAAGTTATCGATTACCTCTATTTCAGATGGATAAAACAGTTTAATGAGCTGAGCACGAAATATGCTTGGGTGCAAATATTTGAGAACAAAGGTGCCAGCATGGGTTGCTCGAATCCGCATCCACATTGCCAAATCTGGTCGTGCTCGTTCTTGCCAACGGAGCCACAACTAAAGCAGGAGCGATTGCGTTCCTATTATGCCACCTACGATCGTCCGATGCTCAGCGATTATGTGAATAGCGAATTGCAGCGACGGGAACGCATTGTTATCGAGAATCCCGATTGGCTGGTGGTGGTGCCCTACTGGGCCACCTGGCCCTTTGAAACGATGCTCATATCACGCAACAATAACAAACGCATCAATGATCTGACCACCGAACAGCGACACAATCTTGCACTGACCATCAAGGAGCTAACCATTAAATATGATAATCTCTTTCAATGCTCGTGTCCCTATTCCATGGGCTGGCATGGTGCACCCACTGGACCTGAGCATGCGCACGCCTCGATCGCCCATTGGACCCTGCATGCCCTCTACTACCCGCCACTACTACGCTCCGCCACCGTACGGAAATTTATGGTCGGTTTTGAGATGCTGGCAATGGCACAGCGAGACTTGACACCAGAGCAGGCAGCGCAGCGACTGCGAGATGTTAATGGTAAACAACATTATCAAAGCAAATAATTGCCTGCCTAAGCAAAATTCAAGATTGTTTTTAAATTTGTCTTTATCTGCTGTTATTAAAAATATATGTAAATTCTAAATTCTTATGTTAAAAAGGAGGAGGAAAACAGCCAAAATATGGAGAGAAAAGTAAATCGTTTGTGATCGCTTTTTCTCTACGCTAATCAAGATTGCAATACAAAACGATGATTGAAACATAAACCAAAATAGAGTAATATAAAACAAGATTGAAATATTTATAGTATGACTTCAAGTTAAGCAATCAAAATTTAAACATATGTTCACTGTTAGCTAATAAGTAAGATTTCCACACTACGCAAAAATTCTTATCAAAATGCAATCAGATTATTGAGCACAGTCACCAGATAAGAGCGTCAATATACATATATATGTATATATATATTTATATGGAATATATGTGCAAATGCTCACCTGAAATTCCTGCTGTGACTGCGGTGGCTGGCTCTGTATGATGGACTCATCGGTCTGCTGCTGTTTGGTTTTATTCTTAAAGAAGGCTGGCATGCACTCGTTGTTGTTGTTTCCCGTATTATGGCTATGATGTAGACGTGGAGGATGCAGCTTCAAGCTGTGCTGTTGTGTGCCACGAGTAACGGCATCCGTGTTGCGCCAAATATTCATGCGACGCAGACGTGCCTCCAGTTCGATATCATCACAGGTGGCAATGCGTGGCATACTGAAAGTCAAAGACTCCTTCGACCGATGCATCAGAGCATGCATCATCGCATTGCGTATCTCCAGGAGATGATGACGCGTATAATGCTGTCGGCTGGTGGGCAAAGTCATAGCGATTGTCGACGGCTGTGTGCCGCCGCGTAACTTGCCCAATCTGGCAGTAGTAGTAGTGGCTGGTGCAGAGCTGATGCTGCGTGTCCTCGATTGTTGTTGCGAAGAAGATGCTGGCAAATGCTTTTTGGCTGTTGTCTTGACAGTCACCAAGGGTGGCGGACTCAAATGCAGATCACAACTGACGGCTGTGCAAGACAACTGGCTTATGGGCTGAGTGTAGGGCGTGGAGGCGCGTGCCGATAGCACCTGCAATGACATCAGACCCTGACCCTCATCATCATGAGCCATCGCTGGCAACGGTATTGGCTCCCTGGAGATGGTCACATTGCTCGATTGCTTGGCCAGCAGTTTGCCCACCTTCAGTTTCCTATCGAGCTGATCGAGAAGAGCGGGCCTATTACACTTGGGATGCACGATGAGGGCTTGGGAACAACATGCAGTACGAATAGTTGTTGTTGGACATGTTGGCGACATTTCGACAACAGCTTCGGTATTTAACACATCTAACACGGAAACAGACGACTGTTGACCAAAAAAAAATATTAACAGATTAATACAATTTTCTACTAAAATCAATAATGTTAGCGAAAACTCAAACACAAAAATTTCAATGGCATTTCCAAAACACAAAAATCCAAATCATTTTTGACATTTTCCATGTTGAGTTAGGTTAACAAAAATTCAACTTCACGACACTTGGCAAAATTTTCAACAACTAACTGTAAGACTTACATCGAATTTCGAGTAGTGCAGTTGCTGCTGCTGCTCCCGTTTATTGGACTCCATTTTAGTGATGGCATCCTCCAGAGCGTCTTTTAGCTTTATGGCCGTGAAACTAGCATATTTCTCGCACTTGGCTAACGCTTTCCGTGGCAACGGTGGTGGCGGTGGAGGCGCACAAGGATCTTCCCACTTCTCCGAATTCGCCTCGTCATCCGTTTCGGGCGCCGACGGCGGAGGGGCCTGAACCGGTGTGGGGGGTGGCGGTGGTGGTGGCATTACAAATTTTGACTTTTCAACAGGAGTCAGCAATTGTAGCGCATCTTCGCCATCTTCATGCGGAGCACCATCAGCATCCATTAGATGTAAGTGTTTGTGCTTGATTTTGCGTTGCTCCTTTGGTGATTGCTTTCGTAAAGCGCCAGCGCCATTTTCTTCTTCGATCCGTTCAACTTCGAGCATTTGCTTTGAACTAGTCGACATTTTCTGATTGTCATTCGATTTGAAAAAAAAAAACAAACATTTTCTTTTATATTCTTTTATAGTGTAATTATACTTACAGTATTATTAATTTTTTTTTTTTGTGTTTTTATTAAAAAGGCACTCTAAAATTGTAATGCAAATCTTGCTTTAAATATAGCGAACTAAAATCACACTTATGGCGAACTCGTAGATGCCGTTATTTGATTTTTCAATCGTGCGCCGTTTCATATATGTATATAAATGTAGTTATGCGTGTATGCGTTGAACTCACTAAATGAACGGAATAGAAATCAGGAGAAATAGTTCAGGGCTGGTCAGTTTCGACTATCGAACTATCGACTGCCATCGCATCGTGTTTACCAAGTTTACCAACCAGCGAAATAAAGTGACTATTTCTGCTGATGCAATGATTCATTTATCAATTGTTGGACGTCATAAAAATACAAATTTATAATAATTTAGATAGTTGTAGGGAAAATATAAATACAAAGTATACTCTTATACATAATTAATTTTAAGTCACAGTCACTGGTATTTAAAAGTAACAATCGCGGTGAACCCAATTAGTTCATCTCTAGCATTCTGCCATCTTTAGCAGTCGTGCAGCTACGCTAGAGGAAAAATGGTTTTTTTTCTCTCGCCTATAAATATTTGTTGAGATAAATCGATTTAGAGTCCAATGCAATTAAAATTGAATTCGATTCAAGTGCCAGGAATTTAAGAAACACGCCTCGTGGATGGTGGATTTATAAAGTAAGTAAGATAACGCAATTTGTACAATTTCGTAAACAACATATAAAACATAACCTCAATTTGTACAATTGTCTAGCACAAAAAACAAAGGTAATAAAAATATATAAACAAAATGACCCAATATCTACCGCCAAATCTATTGGCGTTATTCGCCTCGCGGGATCCAATACCATTTATGCCGCCGGTGGATAAATTGCCACACGAAAAGAAATCGCGGGGCTATTTAGGCGTTGCCAAATTCATGGACGACTTCGAGGACCCAAAGGATACACCGCTGCCGAAAACCGTTGAGACGCGCCAGGAGCGTCTCGAGCGGCGGCGTCGCGAAAAAGCGGAACAAGTCGCCTACAAGCTGGAACGCGAAATAGCTTTGTGGGATCCAACTGAAATCAAGAATGCCACGGAGGATCCATTTCGTACGCTGTTCATAGCACGCATCAATTACGACACCTCCGAGTCTAAGTTGAGGCGCGAATTTGAGTTCTACGGCCCCATCAAGAAGATCGTGCTCATTCATGATCAGGACTCAGGTAAATTCTGATTTTTATTTTTTATATGTGCACTTTAAATTTTTATACACTGATACCGAATGTGTCAAGAACTGATTAGGAAATCGATCAGATCGATAATAGCAAATCGATAAAGCCAAATATCCCTCACAAATTTAAAGCTACAACCACCAAATTTGGTTGGTAGGTGGTTGACGTAATCTAGCATAGGCCACGCCTATCTACGCCGCCCCCAGGCCCACCACAGTTTTTAAGTTGGAGCCATCCAATTTTGAGGGCATATATTACCGATAAACAAATTTGTATGGCAATGGAATGTAGCTTGCTGGTAACTTTCTTCAAAGACCTGCATATGCAGTTTCAGACCATGCCCTCACTAACCGCCCTCGTGAACTGCGGTCCTTGAAATTAGAAATGCGCTTAACTTCCACAATTTGGAAGCTGAAATCACCAAATTTTGAAAGTATATCACCGGTAGCTGCCTTGAAAGATTAATAAAACAAAACTTGGCTGGTAACGCCCACTCCCGCCCACACAATTCTCAAAAGACGAAATCTTCTGTAATTTGAGAGCTAAAGTTACAAAACTTGGAAGGCTCAAAAGGAAACTCCGCAAACATTTTTTTAGTCACGCCCACTCCTGCCCCCGAAAATAGCCAAAAGCTAACATCTGGTGAAATTTTAAAGCCAAAGTTGGAGGATAGATTACTAGGATTATTTCCTGGTATGCGGCACCTGTTATCAAATGGTATTACTATTTATATTTAAATATTTCGTTCCCACTTTCATCAATTTTTTTGTTGTTCATCCAACAGGTAAACCCAAAGGCTACGCCTTTATTGAGTACGAGCACGAGCGTGATATGCACGCGGCGTACAAGCACGCCGATGGTAAGAAGATTGACAGCAAGCGTGTTCTGGTGGATGTTGAACGGGCCCGCACTGTCAAGGGCTGGCTGCCACGACGTCTGGGTGGTGGATTGGGCGGTACCCGGCGCGGTGGCAACGATGTGAATATCAAGCACTCCGGCCGTGAGGATAATGAGCGCGAACGTGAACGCTATCGCTTGGAACGCGAGCGTGAGGATCGTGAAGGTGGTGGTGGTGGTGGTGGGCGTGGTGGTGTAGGCAGTAATGGCATCGATTCACGTGGCGGCGGCCGCGGTGCACCGTACGGCGCTGGTGTTGTGGGCGGCAGCGAGCGGCGTCGGTCGCGTTCCCGCGATCGTCGGGATCGTGATCGTGACCGTGGCAGTCGTGTCATGGGTCGCTCACGCAGTCGTTCGCGTGAGCGGAGGAAACGTCGCGCCGGCAGCCGGGAGCGTGACTATGACGATTTCGATGGTCGACGCGACAGACGGGACAGGGATCGCGATCGTGATCGTGAGCGTGAAAAGAAAAAGAAGCGCTCCAAGTCACGCGAGCGTGAATCGTCACGCGAGCGGCGCGATCGCAAGCGCGAGCGACGTGATCGTGATCGGGGTGGCGTCGAACGCGGTGCCGGCGGCGATCGTGATGTTAAGGAGCGTAAACCCGATTTCCGTGAAATGGATATGATTAAGATTAAGGAGGAGCCCATTGATGATGGCTATCCGACGTATTCAATGAACGATTATCAGAATACGGCCATTAAACGTGAACTGGATGATGAGAACGAGGAGAAATATCGGCCGCCCGCTGCACATCACAATATGTTCAGTGTGCCTCCACCGCCGATACTTGCGCGCAGCAATAGCAATAGCAACTCTGACAATGGTGGACAAAATGCCAACGATCCGGCATGGTGGCGACAGTGAGTGAGTCCTCTACGTGTACATGGTCCTGGTCAACGGATGGTAATCGATACGATTAACGATAACAACTTTTCAGAGTTATTATTGCGTAATTAACAAACTTTGCTGGATGGTAATACTACATTTAATACACTAGAATCGTAATTACAATCAATCATTTGGGGGCGCAATCGAAATTAACGATTGCTTTCAACATATTTATTCAATTGAAATTTGCAATTCATAGCAATACAGTGGGACGATGCAGTATTCGGATACAACGAAGCGTAAGACATGCTGTAAGTCCGTTTAAATGCTGTTGGAGCACTTGTTAACTTCCATTTTCAAATTTACCATAAATACAACAAGAGAAAAAAAAAACAACAAAGAAAGTAAAACAATATAAAAAAAAAAAGAAAACAAAAAAAAAAAACAGACACAAAAACGTAAATCAACAATTAATTGTGCATAGCTTAAATACGTTTAAATATGTAAGTAATTCTAAACAATTGAAATGAAGAGTAAGTAAAAATAAATCCGATCAAGATGTGTGTGTTTGATTCCCCACCTTTGGTAAGGGGGTATATGGGAATGCCTTGGTGTGTAAGAGTATCCCTCGTCCTGGATCCACATGGCTAAAACCGATGCACTTCAGCACCGATTGGTTGGTTTGTTTGGTCAAAAATACTTAAGCAAAAAAAAAAAAAAAAAAAAAAAAAAAACATTAAACCCGTGCGCTAACTTGTGCCATTTTTATTTTCTTTATCTTTTTGCAGTTTTCAATATTGAAAATCTGATAAACTCAATAATGGTACGATATGTATGTGTATTATGTGCAAACAGAACCACAAGTATTTCAACAACAAACAAACACAAAAAGTAATCTTTCCGAAAGACTTCCACACAAAGTAGTGAAAACTTGACCCATTAGAAACTTGCCAAAAAAAAATCAGGTAATTCCTTCACTACACAAATCTCACTAACCCATGCGTTTACCGTTCTAGGCCAACACTAGAAACGTAATGGCTCCCAGGGACGCCAGATCACCTTATTCAATTGGTGTACATTCTGTATGTATTCTCTTCAAACCAGCTGGGGTCTGTGAGTAAGTTTGAATCGGGCCTGCTTTTTTTCTCTTTTCTTTTTCTTTAAATACAAATGGTAACTACTGACGATTGTAAGTTGTTGCAAGTTGGTTTGATTGATTGTTGGTAAGAATACTACAAAAAAAAGTTACGCATGGCGAGAAAGGTATGCCATTATAAGTGGTTATGGTATGGAACTTACATATCAACTGGATATCGTATGTAATCAATTTTCGATCTCGATCTTTTCAAGTACTTTTGATTGGTGATTGTTTGTGTGTTGCCCCTTTACTAAAGGATGAAAACCACGGAACGAACACATGATAATATTCCAAATGGAATAAGGTTTGTTATTGGTTGGTCGTTCTACTTTGGCGCCTATAACTGGTAAGGGTCCTCCCTCTATAGGGTTAAAATTGTAGTAGCCGAAAGGATACGTATTTTTAAAATACGAAATGGAGAAGGGTGTTAAAAGACACAATTGATAAATAAGTAATTTGTTAGTGTTATAAAATCAAATATCGCAAAAAAATCAACAAAAAACGTCCTGTTTTATGCATCCAAAGGTAATTTAGATGGGTCCAAAATTAGCATTATTTTATTATTATTTTTTATATTTTAAGCTAAAGATGCAATTTGTGAATGATCCAAATTTTCGATCTCTTTGAGGCACTGGATATGCAAAAATTTGTATCTTTGTTGCTTCACAGTTTAAAAAAAAAATTCTTAAATAAGCTTATACTAAATACTGCCCAAAAATAAAGTATTTTATTAAAAGAAAAGAAAGATTTTTTACCATTTTGTATTTCTTTAAATAACATAAACGGTGAAGTGGCTGATTAGTGAGTATCAAAATATGTTGAATATAAAATTTCTTTGTTTTTTGAAATAGTTCCTTGCGTACCCAGCTTTTTCCTCTAAGTTATAACTTTGCTGGGACTTTCGAATATTTCCAAATATCGTGTAAAATCTAACACAGGGAATAATAAAAATAAATTCTCCCCCAAAATGTATCGGATTGTGCTTGTGTGATTTTGGATAATCGGACATGAGTTCAAGGTTCAAGGTTATATATTTTTTAGAATCAATTCCGCAACTGCCATAGTAAGATGTTTGATTAGCTGATTGTTTTATTATTACTTTTGAAGATTTTGGAATGTATCGTCTCAAACATCTTATATGTTTCATTTTAAAAATTGTAAACTTCATTTGTACAACTTGACAATAAGATAAAAAATTGGTGATCAATGCGAAAGTTATTTTCATTATAGACTAAACGCAAACACCTTGGATATCTTCTTTTCCAATTGATTAAGCGTTTGATTTCATCGTTTCATTTATTTTCGAAGTTTTTCGTGTTATATTTAGAAAAATATGACATTCGGTTAATTTACTGGTATTTTATAATATTCTACCTTGAATAATTCATTCGAAATAATAAATAAGTGCAATCGATATTTTTGGTATTTAATATTTAATATATTAACCAATATTTTATTAAATGAAGATAAAAGTATTCTGATATGGAAGCATTATGATATTAAACTGGAATTAAAAAAAAAATACCAACCCTCAACGCATTTAGTATTATATATATTTAAATGCAACCCTGGCAGAATTGGCATCATTGGTCATATTTAGTATATTATTTCGCAAATAATTTTTTCGCGCTGCAAATAGGGAGACACTCAAAATACAACCATTTTTTGGCGTGTGTGAGGCAAACGCAAGCCGCTTGATAATCTAAAAAAAGTAAGCGAGCAGTGAAACGTTTTAAAAGAGTAAGAAAATTTTCTATATCCAAACGCAATCACACAGTGCAAATCAACGCAAATCAAATAAATAGTGAATTATTATAAATTTCTGAATATTTTTTTTGTCGCTATATATATATATTTATTGTACAGCACGCACGCCCGGCATCATTGCATTTTTACGTTTGTGAAAAGAAAACGAGAGAAAAAAAACATGTCTGACGAAAAGAAGGGCGGCGAAACCGAGCACATTAATCTGAAAGTACTTGGCCAGGATAATGCAGTGGTCCAATTTAAAATAAAGAAACACACACCCTTACGCAAACTGATGAACGCCTATTGCGACCGTGCCGGACTCTCCATGCAGGTGGTGCGCTTCCGTTTCGATGGACAGCCGATCAATGAGAACGATACTCCGACCTCGCTAGAGATGGAGGAGGGAGACACTATTGAGGTTTACCAGCAGCAGACCGGCGGCGGCGGCGGCATTGTCGATGTTTATTAAATCTAATATATATAATACTTGTATGAATGTAGTTAAGCTAGTTACTCTTCATTTTTACGACAACAAAACAACAACAACCACAGCGCAAGCAGCAGATAAACAACAGCGAGAAATATTCTACATAAATAAAAACAACACACATGAAAATTTCCATTCAGTTCCGTTTTGTTTGTAAAAACCAGAGATGAAAACAACTAAAAGGAGTATATTCCTCTCCCCCATCCTTCCCTTTCCCTTAGAATGCAAAACAAAGATCTAGATATTTGCTATAAAAACAACAACTGGAAAATAAAGCATTTTGTAAACTATGATTTAAGAACGACTCACGAAAATTGTGTATATTTTTTGTTTTTTTTTTTTTGGTGGGTAAATTCGCCGGTGGCGCACATTTCCCGCTTTATGTCCCTCTGCCCAACGCACACACGCGAAGCACATGAAGCGCATGATATAAAATGGTGTGCGTGTATGTGTGTGTGTGTGTGAGGGTTTCAGCATTGTTGGTACACACACCGCCACAAAACGTACGAACTCTACGTGTACAGTAGAGCAACTGCGTGTCTGTGTGTGTGCCTGTATGTGTGTGTGTGAAAACGAGTATACATACACAATCGAAGCAGACAGACATCTGTCCATGTAAAAACCCAACATAATTATGTATGTGTGTATGTTTGAGTGTGAGTGTGTGATGCCATTAGCAGAATTGTATCAGCTCAACGTATGCATGAAAATATACATGGTATCGAAAGAAAATTAGATCTTCAGACATAACCTCAAAAACCATATATATATATATGCATAAAATTGATGACGTCAGCGGTTGGTAAAAGGGTCGAGAACTTTCTATGCATTAATGCATGTTTTGTGTTTGTTTTTTGGTCACAAACAGATTCAACAAAACCAAACAAAATATACATTATTTATTATGTTTTCAATTTCAAAAATAAATGTTATTAAGATAGCACTTTCTAGGGACGGAAATACCTACAAATGTATTTCAATAATGAAATTGATAACCAAATCTTTTATTTTTTCCTTGTAAAAATAATTGTTTATTAATGTTTAACGCAAAAACTGTACAGGCATAAATATTGTAAATTCTTATATTGCTAAAAGTGACATAAAGGCACCATTCCAACCCGATATTATATAGTAGTAATTGAAAACGTAAACGTTTCAAGTGGATTTGTTCATTAAATCCATTCCTTGGGATTGCGCAAAACCGTTAATAAAGCGCTCTCCTTGGATTTGGGCTGCGGCTCATGCATATATTCCCAGCGGGCATTTAAAGGCAGCGACATTAGAATGCTCTCGTAGCGCGCACCTGGGGTATACAGGCCGAATTTGGTGCCACGATCATAGATTAGATTGAACTCGACGTAGCGACCACGTCGCAGTAGTTGCCACTGCCGCTCATTGTTGCCATAGGCGTCATTCTTGTGCTTCTGCACCAGCGGCATATACGAGGGGATCACGGCCCGAGCGCAGCTGGTGATAAAATTGAATGCCGAGTCCTGGGTGGGTACATCGATGTCATCGAAGAAGATGCCACCGATGCCGCGTGACTCGTTGCGATGCTTGATGTGGAAGTAATCGTCGCACCATTTCTTGAACCGGGGATAATAGGTAGCATCGTGCTCATCGCAGGCACTCTTTAGCGTCTTGTGGAAGTGACGGGCATCCGTCTCGTCCAAATAATACGGTGTCAGATCTGTGCCACCGCCGAACCACCATTGCTTCTCGCCGTCGGGCAGTTCCACCTCGAAGTAGCGATAGTTAAAGTGTATCGTCGGCACATGGGGATTACGTGGATGAATTACAGCACTGACACCGCTCGCAAAGAACGGCAATTTCACGTTCTCTGTCAACGCTTTGCCACGCGCCCGCATCTGCTGCACTGCAGCCGGTGGTAGAGAGCCGGTCACCACCGACACATTGACGCCGGCCTTTTCAAAGACATCGCCGTCCTGAAGGACACAGGTGACTCCACCGCCGCCCTCCTTGCGCATCCAACGATCCACTTTGAACTTTTGACCGTTAAACTCCTCCGATTCGAGAGCACGGCAGAATTCCGCTTGAATCTCCATAATCATGAGTTCCATGCGATGCCGCATATTCTCCTTGTCTTCCAGCAGCACAGTTGCCTCCGTTATCGGTTCCGCCATGAATTTCGATACGTTCAGCCTGCGATTGACCTTTGCGGCCTCTGCCTGTGCGTACGTGACCGTTGCAAAACTGCAAAGACCCAGCCCAGTGCCAAGTAGAAAACCCCTCAGATGTTGGCTTCTCATGCGTCTGCCCAGCTGGAAGGAGCCCAGGGAGAACAGCGATATCGCGTGCCTCATCGCATTCATATTGATTCTATTTTTGTTTGGTTACTTTGTTGCATAAAGTACACGAAATTCTTAAGTGGACAGTGCACAATTGTTGTTATCTATCTTCTTCTTGCGCCGGCATTTAAAGGCCACTAGATAACACAAGCTATCGATAATTGTTCCAATCGATTGCGAAGCGTTCGATTTGCAATGCTGTTCAGTAATGGTAGTCTAGCTTTATTGACACGGATAAACTTTTTTATGGTATAGGCAATTATCAATACAACTCAAATTTGCAATATATTTCGTTTGTGGAAGCTAAAAACAAAAAGTTCTGCGAAGCAAAAATTTAATGAATTAATTTCCTCGCCTTTACGGTGATTATAAGTACACTTTTTTCTAGAAGATTTAAATCATTTTTCATTCATTATTTACTATTTCCATTACCAATGTTATTACCAATGCAATGTTCATTATTTTGACACCGTTAACAGCCGTTCACAGAATCCACATAGGTTACCAATCAATTAAATTGTAAGTATTATTTTAACAGTCTTTAAACCGGCAGTCAAAATTCGGTCGCGAAATATTTCGCGACACCGTTGTTTTATATGGAGTTTGTCATTATCGATAACTTTTTTTAATCTGTAAAGTGGGATTAAGCTATTTTCATCAATTCAAGTAGACCTTTCTTTTAGACGGTTATGTCACTGGAAACTTTAAACAATTTTTAGTGCAATTGTTATTAATAATCGTTGAACACGTTAAATAAATTCTGTTGCGACTAACACTTTAAGCTTTTGAAAATTGTGCATATCGATTACGATGTGATCGATGTGGAATGTTGTTCAGTAATGTGAGCAGAATGAACTTTAACCCGATTTTATTATTATTGCATTTTATTTAAACAATAATTGAATACATTAAATAAATTCTATTATGTTTTCCTTGTATTCATGCAGCCCTGATAAAAGTATCGATTTTAAAATTACCCGACAGTTTTGCAGAGCGTCGATACTTACTTGTGTGCTTGATCAACACTTTTGAATAGAAGCGGCTGCAAAATTGATATTTCTACTAAACTAAATCATTTTTGTAATAATTCAAGTGAGTAAATTTGTGTTTGGCATTTTAGGAATTAAGATTGTGTGAGTTGTGTGTATGTTGAAATCATTCATGTTTGTTTCAATAAAAACGGACCCCAAAGAAGCGAAATGTCTGGCTTGGAAAAATTTGAAGACACTCCGGCTTGGCGTCAAAAATTGATTGCCCATTTGATGCGGTAAATAAATTTTGATGATTCTACATTTTTGTAATGCTGATGAATATAAATAGATTATTTGGAATGTACTTTATATGTAGAATACCCCAGTAAAACAACATTTCATAGTTATTAGTGTCACAGCTGTGGATAAGAAGACGAAATTTATTTAATATTTTAAGGTTGGATTTTCTTTTTGTAGTTCGCCACCTCCACAAACGAAAAGAGAATCAATGGAGCCACGCCATAGTTTGGATATTGTGCTGGATTTTCCAGCCTTGATTAAGGCCAAGAAGGCCGAACTTGCCGCTCAACAGCAGCAGGAAAAGGGCGAAAACATCGAGCAAAGCAGCGACACTAACATTATTAATGTTAGCGCGCAATTTGCGAGCCTTTACGAAGCATGCGCAGATAATTCGATGACGGAAAATGCCGATGAGACTTTTGGTGTGTTTGAGCGTATGTGCGATAAGACCGGTTCCGATCCAGATAACACGCTCTTCCAATACCTGCACAGCGATGATAAGGATCAGATATTGGCCCTAGCCAAGGAGCGAAGCGCGCGTGCAGATAAATGTAAGTGATCGATGGGAATCCTTATGCATGTCGCTTTGCTTGTAGACTGCTTATCACATTGTTATCAATCTGTTTATTATACAGCTGATGACATGGAAGTGGATGCACTGCGTCGCTTGTTCGACGACCTAAACGGTCAGGACAGACTGGAAAATGAGAGTCCTCTCAAGAGTGCTGATTGCACACGGCTGGAGGATGTTGAGGCGCCATCTCGCTTCTGGGACTCCACACTGATGGATAACGATTCGGCGTTTCAGCCATTGGCAAAGACGTCACCGGTTAAGATGGTGGGCCTGATGCGTCCGTCAACCATACTAGAGGCCAATGAGGCAGACATGACGGGTCAGCAATCCGCTGACTCCTCGTCTTCACTCACCAACAACAACAGCAGTTTTTTGACCGCACCAATGCTGAAAACGGCACAAAGCTACGAAACGATTGCATCCGGTTCCAGTTGCTATCAGTCAGCTGGAGACAATTCGCGGGCCAGCATTGAGAAGGTGGATGAGATGGGAAAAACTCTGAATGTTGATGATTTGTTTTATGCGGCCATTGCCAAGGCAAAGCCACATGGCATCTCGCCAGAAGAACAGAAGCAGCTGCTCAGCGATTTCCACGAAACCGTTTTCGAACTGGTCGACAACGATGAGGCGGACAATACAATTATCGAATTGTCCTCAACGGATGAGGAGGAGGACGAGGATGCAGCTAAGGATAAGGATGATTTAGATGCGGACATAAAGCAAGAGAAAATTTCAACAATTGGCGTTGCAATTGAGGAGGGGGAGGACAAGGAGAACACGTCTATGGAATTCAATGATACCATTGAGGAAATGGATTATAGGATGCGTAAGGGTCGTGAACTAATTGCCGCCAAGGCAGCAGCAGCAGCAGTAGCAGCATCAGCAGTAGCGCAACCAGCAACACCATCCCCTAAGGCATCTCCAGCTGCCACACCCACAAAACCGCTGGCAGACTCGAATATCATCCATTTGCATCCGAAGCAGAATACATTTGTGTTGACGCCCAAAAAAAGACAACCAATATCAGCGTCGCCGTCACCATCATCATCACTACAAAAAGGTGCCAACAGCAGCAGCAAGTTGCACGGATCTGCCGGAAAATATTCTCTGCTAGTTCTGGCAAAGAAACAGGATAAATTCTTCAAGGAGCCCTCGGGTATACCGATGAGACGCCAACAACTTGCCGTAAAGGATAATTATGCGCACATTGTTAGTCCGATACGGGCCTACACACACAAATCGGGCACTGCCCCCCTGATGAGCATGTTCCGGCAGACGTCAAACATCAAGGATGCGTTCGACAAGCTGAGCAGCAAGGAAATGGAACTGGAATCGTATCTCTGCCAATTGAAACGTGGCCAGGCCACCGAATCAAAGCTGGGTGTGGGCTGCATTGATGCCACTGCTCGATTGCTGCCAAAGAAGGCGTATATATCATCGGAGCTGACGCAGGTGAGAGCCAGTGTTGTGGCATCTATTTATTAATTATATTATTAATAATTATACTTTGCAGATTGTGGATGAACGCACGCGACGCCCCATGCCGCATGTGCCGAAGATTCAAAAGTATCTCGATTCGGCTGTGGAGCCAACTGTGATGCGACACGATGGCAAGATGAAAATGGCAGGCGAAAGCCCGTTGAAGCGCCCATCGCATATACCTCGACCCAACGAAAGCCTTGCCGATCTGTCCCTGGCCTCCGGCGACATCTCTCTGTACACGCTCAAGGATGCCCAGAAATTTTAATCAATCACAAATTCAAGCTTATTTTTAACATACAAATATCGGCATTTGTTTTCATGTTTAGAACAGAAGTCAGTACTACCAATAAACAAAGAACAATTTAGTAACTAATAAATGCCATCGTTTCCTTTTTGAGCATATCTGTGGATTTAGGTCTGTTTGGGGGCTGTTCCCTTCCAGGCGCGATTCACCTTGGACTCGGAGGGCCTGCCCAGTTCGGTGCAGATGTAGCGACCCACTCCGATGAGCTTGTCCAAATCGACGCCGGTTTTTATGCCAATGCCATGCAACATGTAAACAACATCCTCGGTAGCAGCATTGCCAGAGGCGCCACGTGCATAGGGACAGCCGCCCAAGCCAGACACTGAGGCATCTACCACACGTATGCCATACTCCAGTGAGGTGAGTATGTTGGACAGCGCCTGACCGTACGTATCGTGGCAGTGCACGGCCAGCTGCTGGGCGGGCACAGCGCGCGTCACCTCATCCAACATTTTGCGCATGCTGCCCGGTGTACCGACGCCAATGGTATCGCCCAGCGAGATCTCATAGCAGCCCATATCATGCAGTGCCTTCACCACCTGGACCACAGCCTTGGGAGCAACGGCACCCTCATAGGGACAACCCACCTGGCAGAATACACAACAGTTGAGTTTATCGGATGAGATTGGGTACATTGCCTACCACAGTGGACACATAGCCGCGCACACGAACTCCATGCTGCTTGGCCGCTTCCAGGACGGGCTTGAAGCGTTCGATGGCCGCCGATGCGCTGCAATTGACATTTTTCATTGAAAATGCATCGGAGGCGGCACCAAAGACAGCCACCTCTTCAGCACCTGCGGCCAAAGCGGCCTCGAATCCCTTCAGATTGGGCGTTAGCACTGGATAACTGATGCCGGGCACTCGGCGAATGCCACGCAGAACTTCCGCATTGTCGCCCATTTGTGGCACCCACTTGGCGCTGACAAAACTTGTTGCCTCAATCGTTTGCAATCCGGTTGTTGACAGGCGATCGATTAACTCGATTTTAATAGCAGCTGGCAGCAGTTTTGGCTCATTTTGCAGACCATCACGTGGACCAACCTCAACAATGCGCACTTTGTCCTGCGACAACTTCGACATCTGTCGCGTTATCCTTGCCTGAAATATGGGTGACTGAGTGTCTATTATTATGAGTTGCTTTAAGCTGAACAGCTTCTTACAGTGGTTGTGCATTGGTATAAGCGACGTGCCAAGTATCGTGGAATTAGCATTGTTATAAATATAATAATTATATACAAATAACAACTTGTTACGTGCAACGCAAACAGCTGCTTCTTATCAGAAGATAAGATAAAGATATCGATCGATCAATCGATTAAATTACTTGTATTTTGTTGTCACATCTCTAATTTGCATTATGTCTATGCAACTTGTTACGTACAAGACGAACAGCTGCTTCTCATCAGAATTCAGATAGACTTATCGATAGATCAATCGATCGTTTAAGATATTTTCATTTTATTGAGCATCGCACATCTCTAATTGCTATTCACTGCAAGCGCGAACTAATGGCAGAAAACAATAAACAAAATGAAAACAATTTAAATATGATCAAGCAGGAGGAAAGTGACGATAATGGCGACACTGAGGATGTGTTCCATTTTGAAACGGAGCACTTGGCGCTGCGTGGCAACCAGTGCTACAGCAAACTACTGCGCACCATCGCCATGCTGCAGGCGCAACGCATTCGCGTCCACCAACAGATCGGTGAATTAGAAAGAATACGAGATTTGTATCTGGAGAATCCGCAGTTGATGCTGGACAAGCTGCGCAACAATGAGCCTCTAATTGAGGCCAACTATTTGGCCACTGTTCGCCTGCCCGAGTTGCCTACATTGACCGTCAAGGATATGGACCCGCCAAAGCCAAAATCGAATCCCATCAACGAGGAAAAAGATTGTAAAAATGGAGCAAAGACATCAATGCGCCTGTGGACGAATGAGGAGCAGCGTCGCTTGGAGCAGTTGCTTATCGAGTATCCGCCGGAAGAGGTGGAAATGCGACGTTTCAATAAAATCGCCAAAGCACTGGGCAACCGAACAACGCAACAGGTCTTCAGTCGTGTCCAGAAATACTTTCAGAAACTCCGCGATGCCGGGATGCCGGTGCCGGGACGCTTGCCCAAATATAGGCGGGGAGGTGGTCCAACGCGGCCCAAATTTAATGTACGTCGTTCAACATTCTTTCCCGCCCAAAATATTGAGATACAAATGCCCGAGGATGAGTACACGTTGGATGATCTGATGGCTGTGGCGCCATCGCCATCAACGCCTCCCATTAAAACCGAACCCAAGCTGGAGCCGGAGGCGCTCGAAACGGAGCAGCGCCGCAAAAAGCTGCTGCAGCTGAAAATCTTAACATCCATACAGGAGGAGAAGCTACAAACCGAGGATGGTTACAGTCCCGATCCATTGGCGCCCAAATGCGCCAATTGTGAGGATTCGGCTGTGACGCGAGCACGCTGGCGCTGCAACAGTTGCTATTGCTACCTGAATCTATGTGGCGACTGCCTGGCCGACCAGCTAATCACGGAACGCTTCGAGCATATGACTCACGATGTCGCTGTGGATCTGGAGACATAGTTTTGAATCACTTGTAAATAAGTATAATAAGTTATTGATAATTGATTAATATACACAGCTGGACAGTAAAATAGGTGCGATTGTCTTTTCAATTAAATTACTACTATTTCCAAAGAATATTGTGCCATTTTTTGTTGTCCTAATGAACCAATGCGAAGTTCCTGGATATTCTACTAGCTAATTTTGCATTATCCATTATTAATCGATTATTAAGTATCGATTTGTAAATAAATTCCGAGACCATAAAACTGATGTGGCTATGCAATTCTTAATTTTTCCGTGATCTTAGATCCTTATCCTTAGCCCTGTAGTAATGTCCTTAGCCAATTAACTCAGCTAAGCCTTTATTATATTGAAGCTATTCAAATCTTACATTTTGCAAATCAAATCAATAGAGAAATTAAAGTTTTCTTAATTTGAAGGCAATTCGCAATCATTTCACAGTCAAGCTGAACATGCACTTTTGACAAAGAAATGTGCCAAATTTAATTTATAGTTGCGATTGACTTTAATTAATTGGTTTGCACAATTTCAACGGTTGATTGAAACGTTTATTGGATTAAATGCATTCGCGCGAATCGTACAAAGTTATTTACATTTATCTATTAGCGAATCCCGATTTGAATTGAATTTAGTAGCCTTTTATGTACATATATATTGGAATTATCAAGAACAATTAGTTTAAGCTATAGCCTTATACGGTTACTCTCCCACGTCTCCACCCCCTCGCCAAACTTTCCCAAATACACAACAACAAAATAAAGAAACAACGAGCGACGTTCTTTGGATTTGGTTGCTCAACTCTTGACACGCGCCGCACTGCGTTTGGTCTCGATCCATTGCTGAATCTCCTGCTTGAGGGCCTCGTTCGACTTGACCTTGTCCATGGTGAGCGGTTCGCGATTGAATGGATCTGTCTGATCGCTGAGCAGATGCCGTGCAATTGTCGATCGATCAACAGTCACCTTGGAGCTGGGCAACACAACCGGATCGGTCATCAGAGTGGATATGATTGGATCCAGATATTCCTCGGGCGCATCGGCAAGCAGCTCCTGCTCTTCCTTGTAGTCATCGCACATTTTCTGCACCTTGGCCGCAAACTCGGACATGTCGCCAATTAGCTGACCGCCACCGATGCGTATCAATATATTCTCCGCATAGCCAAAGAGGTGTTCGCTGTAGGAGCGACCATCCTGCGAGACGGCCAAACAAAAGGAATTGTCCGTACTTAAATTGATATAGATGTGCGCAATTTCCAGCACCATTTGTGCCGGATCGAACTCGAACTCCTTCTTGTCCTTGACCTTGAAGCGCTCCCGCTGCGGCCCCACCAAATGGAGTAGAAAATAGTTGAGCATCGCTGCGATGCGATCCACCATGCTGTTGTGACAGAAGATGCTCTTGATTTCGCTGGTCAGCAGCTTGAGCAGATTGATGGTGTCCCTGCCCAGTATGTTGTCGAAGCGTGCCAGCATGCCCAGATGATGCAGATTCGTTGTCTGCTGCTGCCGCTCACTGGGCGATAAATTGTTCCATTCGCCATTGTCCTGCGCCTGCTGTAGCTGTTTGATCTGCTCCAGATTCGACAGGGATTCATCCAGCAAAAAGATGGCATCATTTATCAACAAGTTGATGAAGCGTAAGAATATTGGTGGCTCGATTGCCTCCATGTTGCGTTCGGCTTCGCTGGCCAGCTGACGAAAGCATTCCACATGCTCCTCCTTGGTCCAGAGGAACTCCATGATCGCGTACATGGGCCGACGATAGTTGAACTTTTGCTCAAACTGCACCGACTGGCCGGTCATCTCGATGCTGACGAAAACATTGAGCAGACTGCGCACCACCTGCAGCCGATCCGTGTGGCTATCGAAGACGTGTGTGTTGAACGACTTGCGATTGCTGCCAGAGATTTGTGACGGCAGCAGAAACTCGAGAGCATCGGCGAGTTTGGCACGCAGATGCGGATTCTTAACCACAGCGGAACTGCCCATAAAGAGGAGTATCATCTTGAAGAAGGCATCGTGCGAACTGGTGTACATCTGTATGAACTGATCGCCCGAGAAGCTGCGACAGAAATTCAAATATGCTGCAATATTATCGATGATGCACTCCGGCACCGATTTCATGTAGGGCGCCACAAATGGTGGCGTCTCGGATAACAGCTCCAGATTGCGCAGCATCTGTGGCGCAAAGTCCTTTCGATCCAAAGCCGCCTCATAGCTTTCGCGCGGCATCATTGCAATCTCCGTCAGCCAAATGGCGGACGCCTCAAAGAACTTCAGTATGGCCGTATCGTTCTCCGGTTCGCCCAAACCATTGCGGATGCACAGCATCTGTTGCATCTGATCCTGCAGCATGCGAAACAGATTCTTGGTCAGATCATTATTGGGATGCCGGGTGGCCACATCCTGATACGCAGTCTGTGTATTCTGCAGTTCGCGCATCATGCGTGTCAGCCGTTCAATGCACGCTCGATTCCCCAGCTCGAATGCCTTGTGCGCCATATAGAAGATCTCCGTGATGAAATTGTACTTCTCCGCACTCAAGCGCTGTTCACCCTCCTCTGTGGGCAGCAGGCATGTCTCCTCGTAGGCCTTCAGCATGCTGACACCCTTCGCCTGACGCTCATCGGCATCGGCGACGGCACAGTACGTGGGATCGACTAGCATCACCTGCAACAGCGAATACAAATTTCAATTGATGCACGTGCAAAAATGCAAACAGTTAAGACAAGTGCTACCTTCAAGGACGGCGCACAGAGTGGCGCACACAAACGCATTAAAACGGCACTCAGACCGGTCATGAATGCATCGCTGGCGGTGCTGTGCACAGTCTGTTCCAGATTTAAATTAATGGTGCTCCATAGGTGACCACGCGACACATTCGCATCCAGACAGTTGGCGATCCACTGGAGTGTCTTCTTTTTGGTTGTCGATGACTGGACGAGCAGCTGTTTGATTAGCGTAAACATGGACTGTTGATGATGGGCCAACAGCTGCCAGAGCGATGGATCCGTTTGCTGTGAGATGGGCGAAATCTCGCGAAAGAATTCATATGGCGCCGTTTGAGTCTTGGGCATGATGGATATGCAGAGCAACTGGCCGAAAAGTGTGTCCATGTAATCACCACCTGAAATTATAAATATGTCAACAAGTCTGCACAGAGATAAAACAAAAACAAAAAATTCAACCTTTAGCTTTGGGATTGGGCGTTGTGTAGTCGATGAGCAGCTCGCCGAGAATGTCGGCACGCTTCTCGCGCACAAAGAAGCCCAGTATCCAGAAGATGTTCTTGCGTATGCTTATCAAATTTTCTTTGGCCAATTGCTTGTGCAGCTCGCCAAGCATCGGATAGAAAATGGCCTTGAGAGCGCCGAGCGCCTCCAGTGGCTCATCCTCCTCGAGCACTTTGCATGCCACAAGCACCAGAAATTCCTGGGTGTTCGTATCATGCTCGTCCGCTCGCTCGAACATCTCCAGCCACTGGGCGGCAAATGTTTGTGGTGCGAACAGATCCGGCTGACGCATACAGGTGCTGGCATTATTGAGGATCAGCTCAAGGATACGATTACAATGCTGCTTGTCCTTTGCACTGCAATCACGCTTTATCTTCTCCCATCTGGTATAAGCACCATATAGATAGCTGATCGCGCGTGTCTCCAATGCCTCCAGCTCCTGTTCCTTACTGTAATCCACCTGTCCAGCGGGCATCAAATATTTAGCGGTATCATTGAGCATGAGACGCTCGAATAACGCATGGGCAAGCAGCTCCTCGCTGAGCGCATCCTCGCCACTATTGTCGGCCACAACAACATCGGCCAGGCAGAGCACCCCTCGCTTGCGTCTGGTGTTCGCCTCTTTGCTCAGCGTAAAGAGCAGAATTGATTCAATCAGCTGCTTGGACACACCATTCGCTTGGGGACCCTCTTGCAGCAGAGCTGCGAATGGATTATCTGTCTCTCCAACGCTGGACATTGTTGCGACCTGCATTTGTTGCGATTAGTTATTGTTAATATTTAGTTTACCACAAATTAACAAATAATTATAGATTTTCTGCTACCTGTCACTGTGTCACTTGGAGAATTACTTCCAAATATCGAACAATAATCGAGTATTTTAATCGAAATTTTTAATACCGCAAAAGAGTATTTTTAGCTGCAAGTGTTTATCGAAATGTTAGACATAAAAAAAGTAGTAGCTAACTTATCAACTAATTTATTATATTTGATATTGCGAATAAGAAATATTTAATTTTGTATTAATGCGATTCTTTTTTTTCTGAATGAAAATCGGAAACATAAATCTCAACTTTAGTTGAGTTTTCAAAAAATCGTAGGAAACTTTCAATTATATTTATTTAGATAGAAACAATTAATTTAATTAAATAACTAAATATTATTTTAAAGTACTGAAACGTTTATTGCTTATCTAACAAAGTACTTGCTGATTCAGAGAAACTGCACTATAGATCTGTATAAGAGACTGATCAACTTATCAATGACCCCCAAACTGTTGTTAATCTCTAAAAAGGATTTCAAACCTATTTTCCGCTCGAGAAGCTTAACGGAAAATGCGTTGTTTGCCAAGTTAGAAAGAGAGGTGCGAATATTCTATGTAATGTGGATGAAATTAAGAATAAATTTCAAATTTAAGGAACACTATAGTTATTGTAGAAGAGACTACCATATCTTATAGCTGTCATGCGAACAATTCAAGTGAGGAACTTAATCGGTCTTACTTATTTGTACTCAGGGTATTCAAAATCGAAGATTACTTAAACAACCCACAAATTGATTCATTTCAAAATATGTAATAAATTATCAAATTGATTTTTTATCAATTAACAGTAAATCAATTATGCATGCATTTCCGCAGTAAAATGTACTCGAGTAACCTTCAATATCAGTTTTAATAAAATAAAATAAAATGATTCGAACTCCTCAAATTGCTTAAGCGAAATGTGGAGCATAGCAGAAGAGGAGGAGACACATTGAAACGATTAACGGCAGCCGCATGCACTCAAAAACATTGATTTCTATGCCTGTGTACGTATGCGTGTCTTTACGTATGTCAGCCTGTGTTTATGTGTGTAGTGCTGGCCATAGCCCTAAGCACCGTTGATTAGGCCGTAGTTCTGCACATGTAGACACGAAGACTTTACTTCGTGTGTCTTCGTCTGTATGTATTATGTCCATATGGACAGCTAAATCCAAAGCCAATTAAAACAATCAATTGCTTAAAAGTCACTCACAGCACACATGCGAAGTGAACACCGGCGCCTGGCACTAAACCTTAACAAATGCCGTTAAATCGTTTACTGATCGGCAATAATAAAAAAGCTGTAGTTCGTTGATTTGCCATTTCTTTGCATCAGTCTGTGCTGCATTTTCGTACGGTAAACACATAAACGCACAATTGGCATTTGATAATAAATGAAATCAAATCGCAACTGAAGCGTTCCCACCAATAAACATCAAACAAAAAAATACAAACAGTTCAACATACAAATATTTGTAGTTGAGTTTTTAACAAAAAGGTCGTTAACTGTTTTTTAATATGTGCGTGTGTCTAATATATAAATGTTTGTTTAATTTATAAAAAAAATAAACAAGTAAACTTATAAGTTAATTATTGTTTATTATTTATTTCAAAAGAAAACACCAAGCATCATGGCGAATATTAGTTACCCTTGCAGATCATAGACAACCTGAAAACATCGAAATTTCCTTATAAATTTCAAAACATCGATTTTTCCCATCAAAACTAAATGATTTAGTATTTCGATATATATAATTCAATAAACAAGAATTCAACTTTCGTCCGATTGATCCTATGTCAGCTATATTATATATACAAATTAATCAAAAATGTATTTCAAGTTTTACCTAGACAACTTCAAAAGTGGGCATGGCTATATTGACTCGACTTCTGATGCCGTTCAAGAATATATAGGAAAACAGAGACATATCTTTCAATGCTTTTCAAAGTTAACTACAAATTTAAAATAACTTCCAGCAAGGGAATAAAAATATTACACACACAAGCGCAATTTGAAGTTTTATTGATTACGTATTGATTACTTATTGGATTTCAATTACCAAAAGAATAGGTGAAAAAGACTGCCTTAACTTTAATGGCTGATTAGAAAGTGCAAGAAATATGTGGAAAAATGTACCAAACAGCCTTAATGCACAGTGCAAATAAAAATATTACTAATTTCATTTTAACTATCTACAATTTGTTGGTATTTGTGCACTTAGAAGCCAAACAAAAGAATGAATTTATGTCTGCGTATGAGCAATATTCCATTAAGTGAATTTATTTTCCACATTTTGTGAATTTTTGTGCTTCTTCTATGCAGAAATGAGCTCACTACAAATACGTCCTTTGAGGCCAGAATTGCAGGCAATTGCTATACAGGAGCTGAATGAGCTGCCCGACCGCCTTGCCGATGACATCGAAGCACTGAGGGATTGGGTGCTGAAGCAGCCCCATTTGTGCGCCTGCACCGATGACCAGTTTCTGTTGGCGTTCTTGCGCGGCACCAAATTCAGTTTGGAGCGGGCCAAACAGAAATTCGATCGTTTCTATACACTCCAGGCAACCATACCAGAGATATTCAATGAGCGACGTTTGGCCGACGATCCTTTGACCTTGGATATCATACGTTCCGGGTGGGTAGCTCAACGGATTGGTCTGCCAAAAAGAAGATTACAACTTCCTCCCTGATTGCAGCGTCCTGTTGCGTTTACCGCAAGATGAACACGATATTGGTCCATGTGTGACAATCATACGCGCTGGTTCCTATGACACCAGTAAATATAAATTTCAGGATATCATCCGGGTCGGTTCCATGTTCGGCGAGATTATGATGTTTGAGGATGAAAATGCAACGGTTTCCGGCTATGTGGAAATAATGGACATGAAGGGAGTGACGGGTGCACATCTGTTCGCCCTGCGGCCGGATCTGTTGCGCAAGTTCTCCACGTATGCGGATGAGGCGATGCCCACAAGGCAGAAGGGCATACATTTCATAAATGTGCCTTCAGCATTTGAGACAGGTTTCAATACGCTCCGATCTTTCTTTCCCGCTAAGATCAAAAGTCGAGTGAGTAAAATTTACTATAAAACTTCAAGAAATCCCAATTTATTTATACAAAAAACCTTATTCTCGATTTTGTCAAATGCAGATTTCGGTGAGCTCGGATCCAGATGCCATATTCAATATAGTGCCTTGTGAGTACTTGCCCTTGGAATATGGTGGCACAAATGGCATCATCGAGGACATTAGTCGCTCCATGGAAATGTTGCTCTCCAGTTATGCACAATATTTCGTGGCATCCCAGGACTTTGGCACGGATGAAAAGTTACGTGATTTTAGCACAGTCACCCAGGATAAAGACTCCTCGTTTGGAGCGACTGGTTCATTTCGAAAACTGGAAATCGATTAAACTGGAGGGATTATTGATGTTTTATTGCTAAATTGTTTTGGATTCTGATATCTATTTATAACGAATGTTTTTTTTTCTATAATCTTATCGTATAATCTCATGATTACTTTTGCGATATTATTAAATTACCCCACTCAAAATAAGCCGATTTAGTAGACAACTAGTCAATACTATATTGGAATTTATGGAATTGAAAATGGTTATCTGTGCCTAGATTAGTCTTGCCAGGGTATTTCTAATGAATTGTTAATAACTGTTTAATCGAATAATTATGTAATTTGTAATTGTGTAATTAAAACATAAACTTGAATACCGTTTTATATTTGGTTTATTTCAGTTATCCGATTTTTATCATTTATCATTGAGCCATCAAATTGTTGATGTTGAATTTGATGAGAATGCCTCAAATATACCCAATGGGGAAATTGTTGTTGTGGTGTATATAATTATGTGAGTCGCTCCTAATGTCGTAATTAACCCGATAATCTTTAATAAATATACAATTGATTTGAACTAGTTATTGAGAGTTTCTACAATTACACCGTACATAATAATGATAATAATAGTGATGGAATCCCCTGGTCCATCATCCATTGTAAAGTACACAGTGAGTGCCGCGCCATTCAGACCTCGTTGATGGGTCGCGAGCTGTTTTTACGTGGCGGCGGTGGCGGACTTGGCGGCGGACTAAAATCCGTTTCCGTATCATTGTAATTATATCGACTGTCCGATGGCGACAGCGATCGATATGTGCGCGGCGAATGCATATAGGAATCATGATGGCCACGATGGCCCCAGCTGCCGCTGTGTCGCCTATGCCGGTCCATGCCGCGATCATCGTCATCATCATCATCGTCATAGTCATCGTAATCGCTGTAATCGTCACGCTCATCGCGATGCGGCGAATAGCGATCCCGCGATGAAGATGCCGGCGGCGGTGAACGCATGCGACCCAGCGGCGGTGGACGTGCACCACCAATGCCGCCAGCTGGTGGCGGCAAAAATGGCGGCGGCAAGCCCATGAACGGCGAGAAGGGCGCCGGTAGGAATGGCAGTGGATTGGGCATATTCAACAGACCGGGCGAGCCGGGCAATGGCAGCGGTGATGGCGCGCCAGTTAGTTCGGGCGCCACCAGAAGACCGTTGGTGGGCAGCGCATCCAGCGTTATATCGCCAACAGTACCAGCTCCACTGGCCATCGCAGTCAGCTTGCGCCGCAAACCGGCGGCTTCTGCCTGAGCCTCCTCGCTGCGACGTTCCGATTGACGCGCCGCCAGCCACGATTCGTGTGCACGATTCTCCAGCGTGCCCATCTGTGCCTTGTGCGAGGCAATCTGCGCCTCAATTTCGGCACGCAGCTCATCATTTTGAGATCTATTTGAAAGTGTATATATATAGTTATAGATTTTAATGTTTATAGATTATTGCGACTTACTTTAGCGTCTGAATTTCGTTCTTCATTAGCGTTTGCGTTTCCACAGTGCTCGCATTCTCGCCCTGATGCTGCAGCCATTTGGCCTCCTGCAGGCTAAGCTCTCTGAAAGAAAGAACCGAAATGATTTGGAAATGGATAAATATGCTTTAACCAATATTAACTAATTACTAATAATATTTATCACGCACTTTTGCAGCTGTGTCTCCTTTTCCCTGAAGTAGCCGGAGAGCACTTCGAGACGCGTTTGTGCCTCCAGCTTGTCCCGCTCGGACTGATTGAAGTCCTGCTTCAGTTGCTCAACATCAGCGCTGGATGTTTGCAGCTGATTCTCGAAACGCGCTTTCGCTGCCAGCTCCTGTTCCAGTTTTGTTTGCAGCGCCCTAAATTTCTTTTGGGCCGCATTGAGTTCGCCGCGCGTCTTCACCGACGTTATCAGCTCCTGGACATTGGCATTGGAGTCCTTCTTCAGCATCCTTAGGCACTCCTCGAGCGCATCGATTTTGGCCAAACTTGTCTGCAGTTCGCTGTGCTCCTTGTCGTATTTGGCACTGGATTCCATGATCTGATGCTGCAATCGTTGCATTTCATAGTTGCGTGCCTCCAGAGCCTTGGCTAGCTCCTGCTCGGACTCCGCTTGGATTTCCTCGATGCGCGTCTGCAGCTTGGCCTTTTCCATTTCCAGCTCATAGTTATCCTGTTGCAACGATTTCATTTCACTGGCCAAACGCGTTGTGGTCTCTGTGTACGAGTATTGCAGTTCGCTATTCTCGCGACTCTTCTCCGCCAGACTGGCGTTTATGTCAATGATGATCTCTGCAAGAAATTCAATTAGTCTGATGCTCAATAAATGACTATTGCATTTAACTTACTCTCCTGATCGTTGAGCTGTCGCTGCAGCTCATCGACGGTGCTCATGAACACCTCATCGCCATTCTGACCGTTCAACACCTCGGACAACATTTTATTTAGCTCCAAGCCCGCTTCCGCAGCATTGTCCAAGTCCTGTGCAAGGTATACAATTACATTATGAATATATATTTGATTTAACAGAAATCCTCAGCTCACCTTCTCCAGGGAGCTAACCTGCTCCTGCAGCTTGGCCTTCTCATAGAGTTCCGTTTCGAGTTGTTTCTTGAGTGCAACAACCATATCATTGGAGCCAAAGGAATTATCCTCAATGCTGGAGAGTTTCGTGCGTGTTGTCATCAAATCGTGCTTGACAATCATGTTCTCCTTGTGGGCGGCGAGCAGACTACGCTCCAAATGATTCAGCTTGGAGAGCAGCGCACCCTCCTGACTGCTATTGCAGAAGCAATAGTATGTCAAAATGAAGAACAGCGACGAAGCGGCAGCAATCAGAACACACATCAATAAAATACTATGATCCAACACTTTTGCCGCCAACACATCCATAAAATTGTCCAAGCTAATGGCAGCCACATGACAGTTGTCCACATTCGTGGCACGCTTACAATATCCCTCGGCCCCCTGTGCATCGGCTGTGGGCAGAGATTTTGAAGTATTGTATTAAAAAAAAGTCAGATAACTATAATTATAAGAGACATACCCTGTGGTCTTGTCGCTTCTTGATAGAGCAGTCGATGCAGTTCATCGTGGTCCGTTAGCGGCGCAGTTTCCGGTTCCTTGCCTCCCTGGCCCTGATTGGAAATAAATGTGTTGACCGTGTCCATAATGGTGCTAAATAGTCCACGTCCCGGTCCGGCATCTTCCTTGATGTTGCTGCTGGGTTCCGGTGTCATCGATGCTGCTGGCAATCCAATCGGTTCGATGGAGCCAACAGCAACGTTCGGTTCATCATTCCTTGAGGGCGCAGGTGTCGGCTCCTCATGAACTGCATCATAAGCATTGAAGTAGTCCGGCTTGGGTGTGGTGTGCTGCTCCAGCATTGCTTCCTCCTCCGTGTGCTCATGTTGATGAATGTCTCGGGGTTGTCGTTGATGATGGTGCTCCTGTTGTTGTTGCTGCGGTTGTTGTTGCTCCTGCTGTTTCTGATGCTGTTGCTCTTGTTGCTCCTGCAATTGCTGCTGTTGTTGCTGCTGTTGTTGCTGCTGCTGTTGTTGTTCTTGCTCCAGCTGTTGCTGTTGCTTTTGCCGTTGCTCCTCCTGTTGTTGCTGCTGCTGCTGTTGTTGCTGCTGCTGTTGTTGTTGTTGCTCCAGCTGTTGCTGTTGCTGTTCTTGCTCTTGCTGTTGCTTTTGCCGTTGCTCCTCCTGTTGCTTGCTGCTGCTGTTTCTGATGCAGCTGCTGTTGTTGTTGTTGCTCCAGCTGTTGCTGTTGCTGTTCTTGCTCGTGCTGTTGCTTTTGCCGTTGCTCTTGCTGCCGTTGCTCCTGTTGTTGCTGCTCCTGCTGTTGCCTTTGCTCCTGTTGTTGCTGTTTTTCCAACAGTTGCTGCTGTTCCTGCAACTGTTTGTAGTATTCATTTGGATTGTGCAGATGCTGTTTCTTGAATAGAGGCGGCAAACTTGCCGTCACCATAGTGGGCGTGGCTTCAGTGGGCGTGACCTCAGTGGGCTTGGCCTCAGTGGGCGTGGCCTCAGTGGGCGCCTCAATCACTGCCGGCTTGGCTTCATTCTCGCTTGTAGCTGAAGCATCTGCAGTTTCCGTCTGATTGTGTTTCGTAATTGGTTCGATTTCAACGGCAGCTTCTTCGCTTGGTGCTGCTTCTCCGGATTGAGCTTCATGCTGTGCTTCAATCTTCTGCGTTTCGATGACTGCTTCCGGCTCAACTGTCACGGCTTCTGCAGCTTTAAATGGCTGAGCTGCAATTGCTTCCTGTATCACTTGTTGAGCATCGCTTTGTTTATTTTCTTGTATAGTTTGCTGCTGCTGCTCATTTTCCTTTAGGGGAAGAGCTTCGTTAATCTTTGGGTCATCCGTTTGAACTAGATTTTCTTTCACTATTTCCTGAGCTTCTGTTGTTGTGGCTGGAGCGGACTGAGTTTTAATTGCTTCGGGACTGGGATTTTGTTCAACAATTTTCTCGACTTTCTCAGTTTCGTTTGTTGCTGTTATTGGCACGGATTGTGCTTCAGTTGCTACTTCTTCTTTAGTCAATTGCTGAGCCTCCACAGATTCCACTTTGGGCAACCTTTCATCGATATCCTTCGCCGGCTTTTCTATTTTTAGTTCTGGCTGTGCTGCCATTTCAATTGTTTCCGTTTGTGGCTGATGTAGCTCCTTCAACTCCACCGGTTTTAGGACTGGCTGACTTTCAGTTACGGTTTCAGCTTTTTCCAACTTCAGCTCATCGAGCATCTCCTCCTCCACCACCTCCGACGTGGGCACAACGTTAACATTTCGCGTTTCAATCAACAAATTGACTTCACTTGCGGCAACTTTTTCCAGTTTTTCCGCTTCAGCTGATGCTGCCCCCTGCTGTTTAACTTCCACGCCATCAGTTGTGGAATTCAGTGCCAGTTTATCGTTGGTTATTTCGTTATCTTTGCTATCAAGTGTCGCCAGTTCGTCATCGTCGTCGTCGTCGTCATCGTAACTTTTGTCGCCATCTTCTTCGTAATCGTCGAGACTATTTTCGACGCTTTTCGTTTCATCGATTTTTTTTGCTTCGCTTTGGATTTGTTCTGCTGCTGCTGCTGTTTGGTTTAGATTTCGTTCCATGACTGCTGGCACCACTTCCAAGGGCAACTCGGTGCCATCGACCATGCGCAGATTGGGTTGCACTGGCGTTATTGGTGTGGCTGCCTCGCCACTGTTGCTGCTCGTTTGATCCTGTTCCGTGAGTATGCCCAGCTTGAGTGTCTCCAGCGGTGAGGTGGTTGTCGTTGTCACCTCATCAGCCGTTTCGGAGGCATTCAACACTGGGTGCACTTGCTCCACTGGCCCTGCTTGCTCGGGATTATTTACAACGATTGGTGTTGCAGGCGCTGTAGCTGCCGCTGCTGCTGCTTCAGATTTAACTGGCCACGCAACAGGCACTTCATAGGTGAGTTGGTTATCCCTGATCAGGACTTTCTTCTCCAATATGAAGTCCTTGTTTGCATAGCCGCGTCGTCCATTGATCTCGACGCCCCACAACTTTGGATTCTTGCCGGCGCCCTTGGACAATATGCGCATCGGTGAATGTATTTTAAAGGGTATCATACCCTCTTCGGCGGACGCATAGGTGATTTTGGCACTGCCCATCGAGATGATGCCTGTTGAAAGGTTTTATTTTTTTTTTTTGTATTTTAAAAAGCACAGCAATAATCAATTACAAAAAAAAAAGAAAACAAATTTCTTATCGCAGACTTGAAATTTAGGTTAGCGGTAATTCATTGAACCTCGAAGGCAACAAAATTCAATAAAAACAAAAAAAAAAAACATTTTTCACTCGAAAATGGAAATTATAAAAAAAAATGGAGACATCTTTTTGAAATTTAAATTGCAATTAACTGATTAAAAATTGGTAGACTTAATTTAAATATCGAATTTTCACAGACTATGCAATGTGTGTGTGTATAGAGAAATCACAATATACCAAATTTAGCTGATGACATATGTAAAGAAACTTTTGTTTTATTGTTTTGCTGCATAGCAAAATGGTTGGGAACTTTTAGCGAATTGGAATCAGAGCATTCTCATTAGACTCATTAGCGAGCGACCACTGTATTTATGGACTTCGGATGCATATGTTACTATGTAGCATGGCTTAATTTTGTATTAGATTTGGATTAGCTGGTTGATTAACTGGTTTCGAGACTTACGTTCACATTTTTCGTCAGCGCACAGTCTGAAATCGGACAAAGCCCACGTCGTTGGAAGACTTGAAAGGGAAAGTGTTAGTGTTATGATTATCAGGCCGAGGGGCAAATCATTCCACAGCGTTTGGGTTTGGGCGTTTGCGTTTGTTGGCCGCATTTTGCATTGTTTTCACTGCACTGTTTACAATTTAACTGAACTAAATATATAACAAGTAAGTGGGCGTGAAAAACTTTTTGTGTATAAAAAAAATATTCTTCACATTAGCTGAGTTGGCTTTTCGTCACAACAGCTGCTGCTTGTCGGTGTTGCCACATATCTAATAATATATCGATATCTACACTTGTCGATAGATTAGTATTTTTTAGCGATCACACTTCATTACGTTCGTCTTCCTTATTTACAATACAATTGGAACAGTCTCACAATATATTTGGTAACTTTCCAACAAGCTGGCATTCTATAATTTTTATGTAATATCCTTAATTTTGGTATTTAAGTGTACATTTCAATTAATGTATCGGTATTTTCTGATTAGCCATTTGCGGTCGCACCGCATATATATTGTGGCATAGCTACAATTTTAAATTCTTCAGTCTATTTGTTGTAAGACGAAAATGCGAAAATGGGACGCGTTTAGGTGTGCACGCGACCGTCAAACAAATAATTAAGGACACAATAAGAAGGTTTTAGTGTTTTCTGACATCATTTTGTGTTCTAATATATTTTAAAAAGTTCTAAAAACCAAGTAGTGCTGTGTTAATCGATGTCTTCCGTTTTGTTCGTTTGAAAATTTGAAGGAAAAAAACAAATTTATTGAATTTGGTCACCGTTACATGCGCCAAGATTTGTATCAAAATTTGTTGTTTTCGTTTTTATGTGCACTAAAAATCCTCATGTTAGAAGGGAGGGGAGAGCTGCGTAAAAAGAGCGCGACATTTATTGCGCTACCAGATGTGTGGTGTCCAAAGGCAAGGAATCTCTTTAAATAGTTAATGGATTAAACTAAAATCTACTTAAAGATATTTAAAAATATAATGCATTTCATTTCAAATAAAATACATTTCGAATAATAACTTTGTGCAATATATGGTTTGATAACAAATGAAAGAGAAATCACACCATTCTGGCAACGCCGTCCGCTCTGTCCAAAATAGAGCTGTGCGCGTGTCGTGTTTTCACTGTGACTTATAGCTTGAGTTGGCTTAATAGAATAAAAAGTTTAACATTCCAACTTAATTGAGAAATATTTTAATAAAAGTGTATGTGTGTTGTGAGAATTATATTTTAGCTGAATACAGCTTTATTTCTAAAAAAAATTTAGTTCTACGCTCGTTTATCGTGAATTTCAATGCGCATCTCTATCAACTAATGTGACTGCGAGAGAGAGAGAGAGAGAGCCGTCCGTGTTCCTGCTGCTGTTGCTACTGCTACTCATTATTTTCGATTTCTACCTTTTGCATTTTAAACGTCTTTGTGATCGGTTGTTGTTGGCTGTTGCTCGGATGCGATTTAGTTATTTTTTGTATGTTTATTATTTGTCTCAGCGTTCTATTCTCTACCCATCGGATCAAATTTACTACATATATATTGTGTAACAAAAAAAGTTAAATAAAAAATTGTGTGAATGCGCCAATAAAACATATATATCTATGTACGTATGTACATATGTATATATGTATATATGTATCTACATCTACAAAATGTTCAAAACTGCGCAAACTAAGCAAGTAAATGCCAAAGTGTAACAAAAACAAAATATGAACCCATGGGGACAAAAATGAAAACGAAACAAAAACGCACAGCGCCCAAAGGAAAAAAAAAGCGAAAAGCACAGCATATACCAAAAGCAAAACTCAACGACAAATAAATCCTATGCGATAAATGCAGTAAAAAATCCTTTGTTCATGTACAGACTTTAGCAACAAAAATCGTATATTTTTTTTGTCGAACAAATTCACTCTCTTCAAACAGTGATAGAGAGCGTCAGTGGAGGGAGGGAGTGTGAGGGAGAGATATAAAATGTGACGTAATTTATATTTATTCTAAACAAAATTTCAAAGTGAAATGTCAAAAAACAACAAATAAAGGGCGTGTGCAAATTGTATGTCCCTTTTTGACGGATTGCAATTACCAATTGCAATTGGCTTTTAATTTGAATTTTGCATGCAACAGGGCGCGTGTTATTCGCAGACAGCCATACACACACACATTTACATACATACATTCACATGTCTCATGAGAGAACGCAAGCTGTTTGGTAAACAAAAATACATATTGTGCATGGGTAAAACGATAACAACAACAAAAACACCAGCAATTGCATGGAATCCCCCCTCTTCTCTCTCCTTTCTCTTTCCAATGAGCCAAACGTTTTGCTCGCAAATCTCGCAAACGAAAAGCAACAAAACAAAAACAATAACAACAATTAGGTAATGTTTTTACGCCATTCTCTTTTGCGTCGTCTCTTCGTTCGCTTGTGTTGAGAGTGTGAGCGCGAGAGAGCGAGAGAGAGAGAGAGAACAACACCGCGTTTATATTTCAATGCCGCTGATGTTGTTTTATTTTTTTTTTTTTGTCTTTTTCTCGTTTGGCTTTTGTTTTGAAACACACATTTTACATGGAAAATTTTGTGTTGCTGACGAGGAAAGTCTTTAGTGTGTGTGTATATATGCGTGCGTGCAATACTCTGATTAGAAATAGAGTAAAATAAATTCATACGTTTTAATTAATATCTTATTCAGTGATGACCAAATGCGTACCTAAAAATACATACATACATATTCTAAATTTGATTTGCATTTGCAAAACACAAAATGTAATAAAATAAATAAATATATGTGCACGTAATAAGAAAGAAAAAGATTGTAAAAGAGAAAGGCAAACTCCAATAACATTTATAACAAATTAATAAAAAAGAAATTAAAAGCAAAAAAAAAAATAAAACATTAAAAGCTACAAAATTAATAATAAAACTTAGTTGCCATGTTGCACACAATCGATGAAATTGACGCGCCAACAGCAACAGCAGCAGCAACATTAACATCAACGCCAACAACAACAGCAATTATGGCCCCGACAGAAACAACTGGCAATGGAACGGAGCCAACAATTTCAACGCACCTTGCGAACGCAACGGCGACAATAGAACCAACAACAACAGTCGCAAACGCAACAGCAGCAGTGAGTGCAACGGAACAAGAAACATTCGCTGCTTTTGTCGCCCCCGCAACCACAGAAGCAGAAGCAGCATCATCCACAACAACAGCATCAGCTGAGGGTCAAGCAACAGCAACAACGGCAACAATGACAGTGACAGCTAACAATATATCGACGCCATTGCCGCTGACGCTGTCAGCTGCTGTCGAGCTCACCGAATTAGCAACAACAGCTGATGGCGTCAGCGTTGCCAGCCTGTCCCAACAAACCGATGTAGTGGCAGAGACGGAGGCAGAGCCAGCATTCGATGTTCAGATGCGTACGCAGCAACAACAGAAAATTAGAATTTATCACGGCGCCAAACAGAGCGCCGTTTGGCGAACCGATTCGCTTGCATCCAATCCGAGCATCAATCGAAGCGGCGAAACAGGCTCAACGGATTCTAATACCAGCAACACTAGTCGAGGCAGCGGTGGCAGCAGCGTTTACTATGCAACAACGCCCAGTCTGTTGCAACGTAAAATCTCGGATAGCGCATTCAATGAGGCAGCCGCCATGCCGCGTCGCGTCTCATTCCCGGAAAGTGATAAGGAGCTCGTCACCGGATATCTCGAGCCGACCAATCCATGGGAAAAAGGTAAGCCAGAAAAAAGATGAGAATTGTAGCCTCTGATATTATTTATATATATATATATATATATATATATGCTATTTATAATTGTTAAAAAAAAATATACGCAATAGTGGATAGAGCTGGAAAAATTAAGCAGACAATAATATATAATAAAATGTCTGCTTAGTGGTATTAAACATGTTTCTGACCGTCTTTAATTTGTGCCACTATTTTCTTATAGATTTTTTTTATGTTTAATCGAAATTTTTTCATGCATTGCTATCTTAAATATTGTTTTTGACTCAAAATGGCAATGCCTTTGAAAAGTGTTTCAGTGTTGTCAAAAAATCGAAGCTTGTAAAATGTACTAGCAAGCGAAATTTTTGTGTATTTTTTTGTTTTTGTTTTTTGACTAGAATGGGCTATACTCAGATATCTTTTCGGTCTTGCGGCATTTCACATATTATTGTTGGGGGAACTTGTTTGTGCAAGCACGGAAGTCAAACACTTGAGACACATGTCGTAAATTGCACTTCCTGTCATTTATTTCAATTACAAACAGATTAATTGAATTGCATGCAGAGAGGTATTCTGAACAAGATGAACTGCATTGCGAAAAGGACTCTTATAAAAAATAAATACGCTCGATCATGCAAAAACAAAGAACGCCAGACAGAAAGAGAGAGAGAAATATTGCGAGAGGGGGTAGAATGTTGGTGGGATGGCGAAAAAGCCAATTCAATGAAGTGCGCACAAATATTTTTGCATTTCCTTTGAGTCTGAATAACGGAACGCAGTACTCGCCAATGATGATGATGACGATGATTGTTGTCAAGACCCATACATTTTGAACGATTCTTGTGTGCTTGCTGGTGTGTGTGTGTGTTCTCCTTCTATCTCCTTTGTACTTCTACATTGCAAGCGATGCGCACAATTCAATCATGTTGACAATTGGCAATTGCGTGGGGCGAAAACGTTGCCACCCTTTTTTTTCAAGGTAATATAATTCTACAGAAACGCTCGTGTATAATTTAAATTCTAGTTGCCCCTTTATGTGCATAACAAATTTATGTGTAATAAAAATTGACAAATTTTAAACAAGATTCAAAAAAAACATAAATTGTATTAGCCATTGAGTAGTAGATATGCAAAATAAGTCCACAAAATACTCGAAATGTTTGCGATTAACACCCTGTTTTGAATTTTTACATGGAATATTATTATTTGTCTAATTGTGTTCTTTTTACTGAGTTTATGTCGTCGTTTTTATTGTTAGTGGCGGTGTGAGTGATGATTGGTTATTTTTATAGTTTGCCTTTGATTTTGTTATTCGTTCGCACTTGAGTTGGAATATGTTTTTTTTTTCTTACTTGCCAGCGATAAAGACCACAACACCAGAATCACTGATAAGATACAGCGAATTCAACGTATCAACTCAGTTTCGACTTAGTTTCGGCAACGGATCGCTGCTTACGATTTAGATTTGCGCTCATTTTCAGTAAGCCTTGTCTCTCTGCTCTCTCTCGCTCGCTCACCCTCTCTCTCTCTGCTCTCTCTCGCTGTTTCGTATTTTGTTACCGGCTCCAGTTGGAGGCACACTTAATGTCTGCCATTCCGAGTGCTATCTGTTTTCTCACCGTAAATACAATAAATTGTGGAAACGAATCCGATTTGCTCGACGAGTGTGTTTGCCATGCATATTGATACATTTGAGTGTAAATACTTTAATATGTATACGACTTTGTATGTGTATATGTGTATTTGTGTGTGTTTATTGTATTTGTTTAAAATCGTCTCTTGTCTTTGTTTATACACATCTTGTTTGCAAGATTTACTGTTGTGTTTCTTCATCTTTTTTCTCCGTTTTGCTTTCTGCCTTTGCTTTGATTGTTGTAGGTGTAAATAATTTGTAGAATGTGTGATGTCATCGCCGTCACTTTACAACAAAGAGGAGTCAGCTCCACAATACGTTAAAAGACTACTTATGTGCAAATGAATGTCGATTAATGGGGAAACAATCCATTTGTAGACAAAATAAATTAATTCGATCCCTTTGAATTTAAAGACCCTGTTTTATTTCTCATTGATAACAGTGAAAACAAAATTATGTTCTTCATAAAACTGAACTAGAGCGTTACTTGCGTAATTAATAATATTGTACAAATAAGTGCAATACTGTTGTATTTGCATGAGAATTGCATACTCAGCGCATTGCTGAAGAAGTTGAAAGTAAATGCGCCATATGTATTTGTGTATATATATATATATTTATATATGTGTGTGTCTGTATGTGTAGCACTTAACATACTAATGAAAGATGATAAAAATGTCACGAGCTCGATTAATGTATATTTCGTTGTAATTAATTAAAGCAAATCCAGCAAAGCAAGGCAAAGCTAAGGCTAAGCAAAGTAAAGCAAGGAAAACAAACGAGCCTATAATAAAGCAAATCAGCAAACACAAACACAAAAATTAAATAAATAATTGCTAATCTTTGCATTTAGCTGAAATGTCACTTGTAAATTGCGCTCTTTTGTTTATGCGGAAACAATTCCCAAATATGCCAAAAATGTGTTGAGCTCTATTTTTGTGAAATGCATAATTTCTCATTAATTTTCACGCTGTGACGACCGCAGCATATTTGTGTCATTAAATCGCTCGTATATCATTCGTTATGGCAATTTTCTTTGCATTTAATGTTTAACAATGATGAACGAGACGAGGCACTATATTTGACGCCACTCAACTCAACTGACCTGCCAGGCTGATTAGCCACAAACGTATCAATAAACACGATAAGAACTGTTTTGGCACCACCAACTTTTGTTCTGAAACTTGGAAACGCTTCAGCTAATAATGATTTCTGCAATCATGGGCTATAATGAAGTTGTGCAAAACTATGCAATACGTATAACAGACAATTAGCGACCCCATATGGCTTATATATTCCTGATCATCTTTAAAAGCCGAGTCGATTTAGCAATTGATCATATGTCTACGACTATAAGAGTTGGACACTTCACATTTGGAGTTTATTTTATTTGTTATCGATAAATTCTTCCGATTCGGTAATATTGATACAAATCAATTTCTGATTGCAATATTAGCCTTAAACAATGAATACATGCATAAAGATGTAGTTTTCCATTTGAGTTTTTTTATCTACCCAGGCTTATTGTTAATTGGAAATTGCATAAAGATCGGATAAGGTTATCAATGCAAATCGATTTGCGATAGCAATAAATACCTAAATATAGATAGCTACAAAGATATAGTCATCGATTTGAATTTTAAATATTACTTGGTTTATTATAAATTTAAAAAAGATCGGACAAGGAACATCCAATGGAACAAACGATTATCAAGCATTTTCTGTACAATTGAAATCACTTGGAATTGCATAATTAACTTTATATATATATATATTTAACAGATCACCTAATCGAACACTCTTGATTTTAGCCTACTTTCTTGTATCTCATTGATTAATTTGATAATCGTATTTCGTTTTCTCCGAGCAAACAAATCGTCACCGATAAGCCAGTTTAGTGCGAATCACTTGCGACATTTTATTGAAAAGCTTACGCTTTGTTTTTTATAGATATCTGGACACGTTTAATTAAGCATTCAATTGACGTGCTCATCTACGCTGGCTTCTGATTAAATAAATTATCGACTCGATGCCAATATGTTAGTTCGAACCGCTTTTTCTCATTCGATATACATTCTGAATGCGTATTTTCTCTCAGTCAGCGCTTTGAGTTTCATTTTGTTTTTGCCGAAGGTTGTTGCCAACACAAAAGCAAAAAATAAAAAAAATAAAATAAACAAAATTCAATAAATGGCAAACGCTGAGAACAAGTTTCGAGATACATACGCTCGAAATTGTCGATATTGTAAATGTTTAGCCGAAAATTAACAGCAATTTAATTGAACCATTTTTTTTTTGCTCGCTTTTTTGTTGCGGCTTTTGAGAATTTGCTCGTTGTTGATTTTTTGCTGTTTTTTGTTGGTGTTGTTCTTGTTTTTTTTTGCCCCCTTCATCGATAACGCATAAAAATCAATAGAATAATAAAAAATTGAAAAGCATTTAATACGCCAATTGCCCAACACACACACACACACGCACACTCCAGCTGTCTGCAGACACGAATCATTTTCCAAGTTTTTACTTTGCTGTTACCAATGTTGATGAGCTAATTCTCCATCGATCGATAATTGAAACATTGTGCATTAGCAGTTGATTCTTTATTGCTTACAACCTGCTAAAAATCCAGCCTTCGGTTTAATATATTTCGCGTGATTTCCTCACGTTTCCATAGCGGTGGACCCCATAAGGGTCAATATATGTTTATAAATAAATCATTATTATATATTAATTTGTTTTTCCACTTATTAAAATTGCAATACGCTTAAAAATACACATTTTTATCTAGAATTTATCCAACATTTATACCCCAGTCCAAATGCTGACTAATAAAAACGAAGCAAAAACATTAAATACTTTAAGGCAGGCATTTTTAATGAAGCTATGCTACTCGTATTATTTCATATTATATACGCTGTTTGTTGTTTAATTTAAGTAAATACAACTATATTATCTTAGTGGTGTGAAGATAAGAGGCCCACAAAAATAACGAATTACTAACTGAAGCGTATTTTTTTTTTTATTGTTTATTAGCAAAAATTGTTTTTGGTTTATTTTTTTTTTTGTAATATAAACGCATTGAAAATGGGTAAAAATGGCTTAATGACGAGCTAAAGGCTTCAAATTTGACATATAAATTCTCGTATACCAAATGCAGATCAACTTTAATTTATTTTATCGATAATTCCCCCACTTTCGTGTGTATCGGTTCCAATTTGATTTCTGATAGCAACACAGCTACTGTTTTAGATATAGCATTATAATTCAGTATTCAATTTGCTTATATAATTTTTATAACCTGTAAAAATATCATTAATTTCAGATAAGAAACTCTCAGGTTTTTTTGTATTACCCGCTGAGTTAAGGGTATCTTCCAGTCGGCACTCTTCTCACTTGTTTTGTTTTTATCTTAATCTTTTCACATGCTTAAGTTGTTTACGGTTTGCATTGGCTATTGTAGAATTGCTTTCATCTCGTTTTCATATTTGGTTTGCGCATATTTCATTTTTTACTCCCGTTTTCATATAGGTCTAATTTTTTATGTGGCATATACCCTTGATGCAATATGTTTAATGAGTATACGAAACGGTAGCTAGCTAAAGGCATATAGCTAAAATATATAAAAATATATCAGATTAATTTCATATAATACGGTATTACTTAATGACTTTCATTATATTCGATTTATTCTATATAATAAGTATTACTTAATAACCAGGAAAAAATATGAAAAGAATTACAAACAAACAATAAACACTCTCGAGCTGTTGTGGCGGCTGTCAATGGAAAATATTTTATCAGTTGAAAAATGATTTACCATTAACTCAAAGCAAGCACACAACCAAAAACAACAAAAAGTGGAAGCCGGTCGTCAACATGTCTGCCAGTGCACAAAAAAAACATATATATATATATATATATATACATATCACATATGTAGTATAAGCATATACGTATATATAATAATAGTTCTCAGAAATCGTTGTTTTTAGTGAGCATGCGAGCGCTAATGATTCATTAAACAGATGTCCGTCTCGACAGACAAAAACTATGAAAACTGAGATGTATATGGGACAGCTTTTGAATGATTGCCAAAAAGAATAAAGAAAAAAAATTGCTTTTGTTTTTGCATTCAAATGTTGCGACAATTTCATTTTTCGGGCCGTTTGTGTTTGCATTAAATGTTGTTGCTGTATCATTTAATTGCCATCTATATGGCTAGATAATGCGATGATAGATTAATCTGTTTACATTTCTCATAAAGGAAGAGGCAAAACTATATATGTGAGCAAACTATTTTTAAAACTTTTTGTCGCTATGTCTTCGAATGCACTTGGCATTTGGCACAATTTTCTTCGCTACTTTGTCGCCCAGAAATCTTCAAATTAAATATATATATTTAGATACAAATATATACTTCGATTTGATACGCCCCCAACGAACGGTTCCGCTCTGCAAGCAAAAAAGCAAAAATTCGATACAAAAACTATACTTGGTGGATTACTTATGCAAATGCTACGAAATAAATACATATTTCTAGTATTGATATTTGCCCTGGTTTGTTTATTAAGTGATTTTCTCTCGTTTTTTTTTTTTTTTTTGGATAGCCGCCGCTCACTGTCAGATTGTCACACAGCATTATAGTAATCACAACGATATTCTAAATTTAGCTAGAAATTATTACTGTGCCCAGTGCACAATATTGATAGACATCCAGAGCATGTCCAAGTCATCTCAAGTCGCAAATTACAAGTTCACGATGATAATTTTGTGTCAGGCAACAGAATCGTTTGGAAATGCCGCAATTTCATTTTTGACATTTGCGGACCATTTGTCTATGTCGTCTATACGTTGCCGACTCTGCCCCTCTGCCTCGCTTCCACTCTGCCACTCAAGATGATCATCGTCGTGATGAAGATGTTGTTGTCGTTTCTGATGACATTATGGGGGAGATACGCACTCGCAATCAGCTCGTTTTATTTGCCATATTTGAGCAATATTTGCCAGACATTTGTGGGCAAGTTCTCGTTGTGACAAATGTTTCCATGACTTTGTTCAATGGCTGATGAGTATTTTGGGCTATTGAAAAGATATTATGAATGGGTATATTTATTTATTGAATTAGTATTATTATTTTATTATTATTAGTATTTATTTATACACATTTTCAAATAAATATATAATAATAGTTGGCTAGAAAATTGTAAACTTGTATATTTATTTCCGATTATTCATATGTTTATATTATCAATTTTATTTGTTTTATTATTTAGTTTTTATTACTTATTTTTGGCTATAGAGAAAAATTATATGGCAGTATCTTTACTTAAATATTTATTATTTTTAATTAATTAATAATATTATTTATTTGGCTATAGCTAAAATGTATACAGGGTTATATTTGTTATTTATTTATTTACTTATCAATATTATTTCATAATAATTATTTTATTTTTATTTTTTTATATTGGGAACAGAAAGTTAAGACAATCTGTTAGATAAGATGAATATCTTTTGTAGAAAGACAACAGAGCTAAAAAAAAAAAACGAAATAATAAGAATCGAAATCCAGTCAAAGAATCAGCTCAATTAGTTCTTGATAGTTTCTATACTGAGTAGATTAAATACATGATCAATAGCAAAGAATAGAGAAGATTTGACCCCATCACCAAATGTGGACTCAAATTGGTATCAAAGAGAAGTCCAATATCTTTAACTGTAATGGAAGATGGACAATCATATATGTGGCTAGTACTGCTAAAAATTATATTTCAATTTAAGCGACATTCAAAAATTATAGAACAAATGCATTTGCTTAGCTCTTCTATTCGGTTACACAAAACGTTTTCATTTTGAAGATTTTTACTGCTAAAGCTTTGCTAATTCAAAAACATTTTAATATATTTACGTGGTATCTAGAAGTTGAGCCATATTGGTTTTCTCGAATTTTATATTTTCGACGTAGTTACTTTGAAATTGTCGCATTGCATGACAAACGGAAGCGTCGGACAGTTTATTGACTCAACCAATGTTCTTTTTGTTTTATGTATTTTTGATCACAAATTGTGGTATTTTGATCAGCTGCCTCGCCTATATATATATATGTATATATATATGTATTATGTGCACAGTTCCGGTCAAAAAATTAGTAGTAGATCATTCATAGAGAGAATTACTTGTTAATTGTGTTAATTGTGTTTTGCATTTGTATATTTTGGCAATATTTATTTAAAGTCTGACGTCTTAATCAAATCAGGATTTGTCCAGTGAAAATAATAGTTCACTATTAATTGCTTCGCAACAGAGTCTTGCATCTAATACGAATTCGGATTTGTACTTCTTCATTTAGCTAATGGTCAGTTTAAATTTATTCTTGATAAACTTTAACCTTTGCATTTGAATTTGGCAAAGGTCCTTTTCTAAGAATTTTGATTGCCAACAGTTTCAACCCTGAATGCCACAAAAAAAGGTAGAGGGAAATTTTGAACAATATTACGATATACTAAAAGTATAAATACCTTTAATTATTTTTTAATAATATAATATTAATAGGATGTTTACTTCAGATTGAAGCTTTAAAATTAGTCGATAAGTTAATAATATATTATTTTAATCATGAACTAGCTGTGTTTTCAATATTTCAATTATTTTCGCTAGGGCCTTGAGATATAAAAAGAAATAACTAAAATAAAATATATAAAATATAACCAAAGTAATCGAGTAGCATATGAAAGGGATTAGACAAAAGCCGATATTATATATTTTATGTAGCAGCACTTCTATTATTTTGACCGCTGCTGTAGCATAGAGACTTCCAGCTATGACGTGTGCGCGCGTGCGGCAAATATAAATTATATGTTTAAATTTCCCAAGCAATTGAAAATTATACAGATATTGTGTGTATATTCCCAAGAAATTAAGCCGAGTATGTTATTTGTACTTTGTTTCATAAGTGGCTAACTTTAGGTTTAAGTGCTTTTGTATTTTACAAAAGTATTGCTTAAATTAGAAAGTTACAAAGAATGAACAGGTATTTTAGGCACCCCAAAGATTATATACCCTTACAATATACAAGTCACTATACATTAAACTATGTATAAAACAATTGACTGTTCCCTTAAAAGCTATATAATAAAGTAGTCCGTTAGTTTTAATTTTTCGTCATGTCGCAGACAAGCTTTACAATAAAATTACTATACCCGTTGCAAGGTTATTATTAGTAAAATTGAATAGTGTTGCATAATATTGCCTCATAATAATTAAAAATTAGACAACATCTGCTTTTCAAATATATTTTACAACTTAATTATAAATATTAGACACAAATTGTGGTTTATATAATCATCTCATCTCTATTCACATTTTTCTCTGATTGTTTCAGTCTATCAGGTGTCGAGCATTGCTGAGATCACTGAGCTGTATGTGCAGTCCTGCTATAAGCATCACACCCAGCCACTTCAAATTGTCATGGAGCATTTGAGTGGTTTGGATTTGCAGCTGATGCGACAACCGCTGCTATCCCTCAAGGGCGTTCAGCTGACGCCCAATGACTGTGAGCCGCTGGAGGAGATATTCAAGCTGGTATGATTCTCTTATTCAATATGCAAAATGGAAATTTTGTTAATGTCTTTTCCATTACGTTCAGATCCAATATAAAGCTATCGATTTCTCCGAATGCCCGTTGGACGAGAGCTGCCTGCGTGCGCTGTGTGAGATGATTGATTACTATGAGGCTGTCAATGAATTGGACATCTCGTACAACAAGGAGCAGATGACGCTTCGTGGCTGGGGCCACTGCACTCATATGATTAAGCGCAGCCAAGAGTTGCAGCTGCTCAATGCCGAGGGCAATCAGATATCGAAAGTGGGTGCCGAGAATTTGGGTATTGCGCTGAGCACCTCCAATCTGCACACGCTCAAGCTGGAGCACTGCGGCCTCAAGGGACCACCACTCACTAGCTTTTGTGAGTATCTGGGTGCGGATTACTTTTCAATTTCTCGTCCCCAACATGCTCCTGAGTGTTGTTGTTCCTTAGCCTTGTTTCGCCAGTTAATTTTGTGATGTTTTTTTTTTTTTTTTGTTTTATAGGCTGCAAGTTGTACCACAATAAAATACTTAAGGAGCTGTGGCTGGGCTACAATGATTTGGATTGCACCGATGCCCAGCATATTGCGGACATGTTGCGCTTCAATCACACCATCGAGCTGATCGACATCAGCAACAACAATATACGAGACGAGGGCGTCATGTATCTGGTGCAGGCACTCATCATGCAGGCCACAGAACTTGAACGACGCAGTGGCCTGCCGCTGAAGCGTACCCAGGCCATTGAGGATGATGAACCCATGTCGCCCGCAGAGACATCAGCGTCGTCCTTGTCCATGCCAAGCCACAGTGATCAGTGCAACAGCAATGGCAGCAACGGAAGCAGCAGCAACGGCAGCAGCAGCAACCTAATGCAATCTGAATCGCATGCCAGCGCGTCCAACACACAATCAGATGTCGTTGAAGTTGTGGCGACGTCCGTCGAGCAACTGGCAAGTTTGGCAACCACAGCAGAAGAGGGCAGTGGCAGTGAGCCAGCTGTGGGTATCCTGGTGGATGTGGAAAATGATGCGGACGATGACAATACCGAGGAAACGGTGCGCACTCTGAGAAGCGGCAATCCGAGTGCGACTGGTCAATCTATGCTGAGCAAATTGCTGTCCATGAACAGTGATAGCAGCAGCGAGGAGCCAACATCCAACATATCCACCGATACACTAGCCGCCGCCTGCTCCGAGGACATCAGTGAGAACAGCAATGATATTTGTGAGCCTGTTGGCAATTTGGAAAATCCAGCAGCAGCAACAATAGCAACAGCAGCAGCAGCGACAACATCAACGGATGAGTCCACAACAGAGTTGTCGGAAGTTTTCAACATGCCAGCAACACTGGACAGTCCAAGCTTGGAGCAGCTAACTCCACAACAACAAGAGCAGCAGCAACAACAACAACAACAACAGCAGCAGCAAAGTTCCCAAAATGAACGCAACTTATGTGGTAAATTTGATTTGAATGCAATCTTATCCAATTTGATTTCTTTCTCAACATTATCTTTATCTAAACAAATACTAACAGCATCAACTACAATTTCTTCAGCAGTATTTACAGATCAAAATTTACAAACTTTCCCGATTTATATATGTATATATATGTATTCTTTTTAGATCGTCCAAGGATAAAGATTGTGCATTTTTATATATATTTCGAAGTAGATTACTATTTAGATATAAATAAGTCAAAATGTTTACAAGAAATATTTTAATTTGATTAAAATACATCAGATTTGTGCCAATTAAATAGGAATAATAACTATAAATGTGGCTGTTATAAAAGAGCTTAAAAGTTCTTATATAAGATCCATAAATCATTATAAATATATATAGAAATTTGAGAATTGCTTGAAATAGCTGCCGTATTTTTGTAATACTTCGAAAAATCGTAGCACTTTTATTTAGTGTGTAAATTATTTGGATAATATTATTAAAATAGATTCATTGAATAGAATTTTGATTTGAAGCAATATTTAAACAAAAATGCTCTGCTAAAAAACGATTTATGATTTCTTTTTGCAGATATTACTCCCTCAACAGAGGCTAAAACCGTTGAACCCAATGAAACCTGTGTACAGAATAACAACAATGCTAATTCCCACAATAACACCAATAATACCAACAACAATAATATTAATAATAACAACAACAACAACACCAACAATAAACATAATAATAATATTGTATTAAACCAAATACCGGAGGCGGCAGCAGTTGGCGCCAATTCGAGCGGCTCTGCAGCGATTTATGAGGTAACCGCTGAGGAGAGCGACTGCATCAATGGCATCGATGCGGGCCCAAGTGGCTCACGTCCACTGGACATGAATAAGAATGCGAAGGCAGGCGATGATTTCGAGGATACGCACAGCACGTATTCGGCATTTGAGAGCACCTCCGAGGGTGACATTAGTCGCCATCTGCCCGACGAGTTCAGTAGCTTGTCCGTGTCGCTGGAGAGCACGAGACTCGACGATCTGACCAAAGAGATGGCCATTGAGACGGCCACTATAGCCAGTGAGTCAACCGAGTGTTTGCTCGTCGCCGAGGAGGCAGGGATGCCGCCAGCGTCAGTTGAGCCAGAGCCGAAGCCGGAGACAGCAGAAGTAATTGTGGCAACGATGACGCCGTCGACGTCGACGACGGTGGCGGCGGTGTCGAAGGTAACGATTGATGCCAAGGAGAAGGAGCCCAGCGCCAGTCCTTGTCCCAGTCCAACGCCCACACCGCCGCCGCCATCGACATCACCGGGCGGCGTCAGCAGCGGCCTGCGACGCACCGAATCCAGTTGCGCCTACCTCAACCAATCGACACGCAATCGCTCCCAGAGCTCGGATAGTTTGTGCAGCGAGAATTCGCTGGATGGCAGCACGAGCAGTGTCGCTGATCCGCATCTCGCCGAGAAACTGACCAAAAACGATACGCTCTCGCGACGACATCTGGTCGATGCCACACTGGAGGCGGCAAATCGTCCACCGAGTGGCCTTAAGGCGCTCGCCCTGTGGAGCAATAATCTGTCTAAGGATTGTGGACCACACATTGCCGAACTGTTGTCGCGCAGCTCGTCGCTGGAGCTGTTGAACATTGGCAAGAATTGTTTGTCCAACGATTTTGTGGCCACAATCAAGGACAGCCTGACCAAGAACACAGCCCTAACGACGCTGGGCCTGCAGAGTGCCCATCTCAGCGCCAAGGGCATCGAGACGCTCGCCTCCATTCTGACCTTTGGTGGCAACAGGAAACTGCAGCGCATCGATATACGTGACAATAAACTGGAGGTGGAAAGTCTGAACATAATCGCCGAGGTGCTCAAGTCCAACAAGACCGTCACCCAAATCGATATCAATGATGAGCCCAAGCGTCTAACGGTAAGTCATCCAAAATGGACACATTCGACGACGAACGCCACGAATCCTCGCGATCTTCTTCAACGCCATGCGCCATGCGCCCATTTCTAAAACCCCCCCTTCAAAACCCGCAATGTTTGTGCTTCGCCATATGAAACTATGCGCCAGAAAACGAGTTGAGGCTGAGTTATTCAATTTTTCATTTATTCCATTTACAAATGTCAATTACATAAGCCAATTGAATTCCAGTTTTGAAATGAATAAACCGAGTTACAACTTAAGATCCGAAATTATCAGTTAACAAATTATGATGCTCTGGGTAAAGTTGTGCAAAAGTGTATAACAGGCAGATGGAAGTATCAGCAACCCCAGAAAGTAATCTGTTCTTGATCAGCATCAAAAGTCGAGTCTGTCTGTCTGTAAGATAAGTCGCATAAAAGATGGAGACTTCAAATTTGGAATACAAGTTCTTATTTAACATATTGTAGCATATCAAATTAAGTCATTCGAAAACTATAAAATTGCGATACAAATCGATATCTGATAGCAATATAACGCATAATTTTAAAGGTATAGTCTTGCATTTGATATATATATATCGATAACTGTCACAGTTTCGATACAAATCGATTACTGTTAGCAATAAAATACACAAATTTAAAGCTATAATTTTCACATTAATATTGAACATGCTTTGACAACTTACTGACCAACTGCAACAATTTCATTAAGCAAACTAATTAAAGCAGCAAGCCAACTAGGTATTTATCAGCTAAATGCAGGGTATCTGCTAGTCAAACTTGAACTCATTTAAGTATTTAATTGTGCAAGCATTTAATTAGCAATCAGCTGTGTAATTGACATTATTAACTTGGGCAAAAGCCCATATGGATTAGGTTAAATATCTCTGATTAAACATATATATATATATATATTGTAGTCGCGTACAGTTGTGCGTTTTGTGGTTGATGATTGCTGTTGATTGTTGATTTTTAATTGTATCATTTTCGTTTCGTGCTGTTATTGTTATTGTTATCAACTCTCCTCCCCCCCATCGCAAAAGTTGCCAATAGTGCCGATAGTAAATGTTATACCGCCAACGCCAATGTCCCAGGATAGCGTAAGTAAAATCCCATCTCATCTCGCAATATAGAATACATATATATATAAATATATATATATTTAAATTGATATATATACATATATATATATATGATTTCGCTCCTGTCTCTCTACCTTTAACGCCCTCAAGCATAATCGCAAAAAGAAAAACTTGGCTTGCTTCTTCTACTGCTACAAACACTGTTTTTTTTTATTGAACCGCTAACAAAGCTAACAATGCAATATTCTGCAGCTGCTGCAACTGCGTTTTCAACATATAAATCACTCTAGCTTTAAAGTTACAAAATAAATAATATAAAAATGAACAAAGCCACAAGAACTGAGCACAATTGAAATTATTACTCATACGACTAGTGTTTTTGAAACAGGCGCATAACTGAAGTAAATGTCTTTTACAAATAAAGAAATACAAATATTTTTGAAATATACTTTGCTATTATACTATACGTATATCATTATCAGATATAGCTAACTATTTTCCAGGAAACTTTATACTTCCGAAGCCCTGAAAAGTATGCTTTAAAATATTTTCAATTTAATTTAGAACCAGATGTCAAACCGAGGCAAATTTAGGCTGCAATTATAATGCTGGTAAAGATTCCAGTATTCTTCCAATCATTTTATAGTGATCCATTACAAAAGCTTGGAATACTCTGTGAAAATATATTTTATATTTATTTATATATTTTATGAAAATTAACTATGATCTGCAATGCCTAGAAATCATTGTTCTTTTTTTGTTATACTCTGAACCCAGTTAAGATGGGTATATTTATTCATGATAAGGATCAAAAACCTAAGCGGAGCCATCAAAAATGTTGAATATAAGCTTTCGTATAGCAGCGACAATGTTTTACGGAATAACTAATATCCGGTTCAGGTTGATATTATTATTTATAAATTACAAAATTAGTTTCTGAATATCATAGCGATTCTGAATTTCAATACGGTTTGACACACCCTGCATAAAACTGATTACAAATGCCTAAAAATCAGTCAATAAAATCTGAAAATATATATTTGTTTTTTGAGTATATTCAAAAATGTTTGCCTTCGGTTGTTGTGCACAGACACAGATACATTGTATGAGGTATGCTGCTATGCTATGATGTATGTCTGTCATCCAATTGATAAATGAAAACTAATGCTTGTTATTTTGGTGCATATTGTTTGCCATTGCCATTGGCTTGTTAATTGCGCTCTTGCAGATTGGCAGCGATGCGCATTTGGATTATACGCGAGCACTGGGCACAGTGCGCTTGATGTGCTCGCGCAATGAGAAAATGCAGGCGGAGGAGCTGGAGCTGGCGGAGAAGGCGGCGAACGTGGGCGTTGGCTGCAGCAGCAACAACAACAGCAACAACAGCAGCAGCAACAACAGTAACAACGATAGCAGCAGCAGCAATGGCAAGGTCAGCAACATCAGCAGCAGCAACAATATAAATCGGTGTCGGGGCGGTTACTACTTGGGCTCGCGGAAAATCTCGCTGACGTGCCACAGCCGACCGCTGGTGGACGCAGCGACTGGCACTGTGACCGCTGCTCTGGCAGTAACCGCAATGCCAACGCCGGCTGCCAAACTGGAGGCGAGACGCAAGACAAATGCCCGTCTGCGCTCGCCGGGTCCCAGTCCGCCCACGATATCGCCGTCCTCCTCGCCCAATCGCAGCCGCTTTCATGTGTCGCGTGTCAGCGAAATTAGCAGTCCATTAACATCGCCGCTGGCCCAAATGCCGCCACAGACGCAGACGCAGACGGCGACGACGACAATGACAATGACAACGACAGCGCCACGATTGGCCAGCAGCAGCTGCATGTCCATACCGGGCAACAGTAACAGTAACAGCAGCAGTGGCAGTGCCAGTGCCAGTGGCAGCCAGAGCAGCCCGAATGCGCTGCTGCCGCTGCCCACATCCAGTTCGTTGCCATCGATGGCATCGGTCACCTCGTCCGTGCAGACCGTCAAGCGATTGTCGGTGTCGCCCCGATCTCGTTTTCATGTGTCGCGCATCTATGAGGATCCGCTGACGCCGCCAATGTACTTGCCGCCCACACCGATGCTCAAATCGGCACGCAAATCCGCTCAGCTGGCTGAGGCACAAGGATCAACAACAACAGCAACAACTGCGGTAACAGCAGCAGCAATGGAAACAGCAGCAACAACAGTAGCAACAGCAGCAGCAGCAGCATCTCCAGTAACCGCAGCGACTACAACAACAACAGCAATGCCCATCAGCAGCGTGACGATTGTTGAACCCTCACCCACCGCCGTTGCCGCTGCAACAGATGAGAACAACGACAACGAGAACGCACACCACCAACCAAGTACAAATGGCGACGAGGCTGCTGCCCAAAAGCTGTCGCCAAACTCGCCGAGCACATCATCCAGTTCGTGCAGCACCTCGCCCACATCCAGTGCAACAAACAGCAGCAACAACAGCAGCAGCAGTTACTCGGATGTCACCGATGGCAGCTCGTGCAGCAGCAGCTCGGATCTGGGGCCGCTTGTTGCTGCCAAAAGTTGCCCCATTGCAGTGTTTGGCGACAATGATATAACGCTGACCAAAGAATCGGCTGCCAGTGTGGCGCTCTCGGCCGTTGCCACCAACAACAATGCAACAAATACAGCGCCGACTGTGGTGGTGCAATCCCAACCACAACCACCAACAACACGTGCACGCAAAGCCTCCTGGATTGCCAATCCAACGACGGTGGACAAATTGCTGACACTCTTCAATCCGAGCACCATGTTTCAGCGCAGCTCATCGCCGGAATCGAAAAGCAATGCTGCTTCGGCAGCATCGCAGCTCACGAACACAAACGCACAGAGTTAGTACAGAATAAAAAATATAAACAATCAGTTGAAATTGACTAATTAACGTAATTATTTTAACTCCGGCAGATACAGCAACAAATGCAGCAGCGTGCGGCAGCGGTGATGTCAACGTGACGCGCAAAATGACGCCGCCATTGCGCAGCAGCAGTGGTAGTGGCAGCAATCTGATAGCAACAGCGGGAGCATCAGCAGTCGCAGCAGTAGCAGCAGCAGCAGCCGCCGGAGCCGGCGGAGCAGGAGCGGGTGGAGGTGGAGTTGGAGCAGTGGCAGCTGTAACAGATGCGGGCAGCTCATTCCTGGACACAGCGTCACGACAGCTGAGAGACTTTAAGAAGCAGGTGTTCCGTCAGAACCTCTCGTTCAATAATAGTGGCGACAATTTAGCCATTGGCACACAGCTGGATGTCAATCCCAGTGCTGCTGCCATGACAACATCGCCCATATTATTGAGCAATGTGGTTGAGTCACAAGCGCCGCCCGAATGCGGCAATGCCGTCCACATGCCACTGAGTTTGAAGCGTGAGCTCAAGGAGAACATCTCGCCGGAGCACACCATCAACGAGGACACGTTGCACACGCTGCAAAAGCTGTCGCGGGTCGAGGATGCAACGCTTAAGGCCGAGGCGGCCGCAGAGCTGGGCGACATTGAGATTGTGATGCACAGCGAGGTGTCCGACTGCATGCCAGAGGCGGAGCAGGAGAACCAACACCAGCAGCCGCAGCAGCAGGAGGATCTGGGTTAGGTTTAGCTGCCTAGCAACAAAAATACAAAAGGAAAAATGAAAACAAATAGAAATAATCAAGAAGAAAGCAACAAAAATGACGTGTGCAATTCAACAATGTGTTGAGCAAAAATCAGCAACTGGAACCAGCAAACCACCCACCTCAGCATTCCCCCTGTGTCTCTCTCTCTCTTTCACTCTCTGTGTATCTCTCTCTCTCTCTCTCTATGTTTGTAGCCCACCCCAACACCTGTCTCCGCAGTCCAACCAAACCCACACAACAACTACAACAACAACAACAAATGTAACAATAAGAAACAAAAAAGTACACAAGTTTTAAACCTAACTTTGTTTTATTTTTACTCTTTTTACTATACACAACAAATATTATTTTTTGGTTAAATTCTTTTTAAGTTTTATATACTTATATATACCTAATTATACAAAAGAAAGTATATATACATATATATTTTAATAATATCAAATGGCATGTGAAAGATGCAAAACTTCAAATGAATTATGAGTGCAAAAAAAACAAAAAAAAAATGAAAAACAACAACTACTTAATATGTATGTAAATTAGGCCAGCAAATTAGGCTAACCACAAAGAAGATATATATATATATATAAATTTATATATATATATATATATAGTAAATATGAATATGAGTTGAGTTGGCGCTTTGAAAAGTTGTATATGAATTAATGTTAATTTTTGTACTTACCCAACAAGATTGTTAATACTTTTATAATTGTTATGCATACTTAAGGAGCAATTCAATTTGTATATTGTATATCAAATATGTTTGCCACATAAAAACTTAACCAATGTAAACAATTGACCTCAATAATGGCAATTACTTATGATATGACTTGTGTTGTTGGTCAGTTTGCCAACGGCTGCGCTTAGTTAATGCCAATTTGTTTGGATGTACATATATATAGATATATATACATATATATATATATATATATATATTAATGATTAAATCGGTTTACTATAATTTACGATAATTGAATGATAAGCCCACCACCAGTCAATCAGTAAGCAATTTTAAGTTCAAACAACATCGTACATTCTTACATACATATATAAACTTTAAAAACAAAACAAAAGAAAAGAAAAGAGAAGAAGAAAGAAAAACTGGAACGAAACGAAACGAAAGAAAAGAAAACCCCAAAATAAATCCAATTGATCTCATTATGTGATATTTGTCGTAGTGCCCACTCACTGTATCCATGTTAAACCAAGCATACGAATTAAGTAACCAACAATAAGTTTCGCTCAAAGCGAACAAGTAAACAAATAAACAAACAAACAAAGAAATATGATTAAATACCCAACTGTAAACCAATTTCAAACATATATATATCCAAACAAATTGATAATGCTTGGCGTAGTCGAATGCAAATTCCCAAATAAAAAAAAAAAATTATGCAACTTTTCAAACTGCCAATTCGTATTGAAAACAAAAATAAAAAACACACACATTGAATATAAATATTCATGCATATTTCAAATGATATAAATGTATCTATAAAGATCTTGTAAATACTGATAATTGTGTTAGATGAAGCTCCATTTCAACTAATTACGTGTGAAAACTAAAACTTTACTTTCTTTTTTTTTTTAAATTATTTTGTTAATGTTGCAAGTTTTTTTTTTGTTTTTGTTTATCAGTTGATTTATTTGCAGTGACCTGAACATTTCGATCGTACTTAATTTACAAATTTATAATACATTTTTATTTGGTGCTCATTGATCGCTTTGAGAATTTGGCTTATTTCTTGTTGGATTCGCTTTCTGACATTGTAAATGAATTATTTGTTTTATTTTTTTTTTTATTTACCAAACCATTTGTTACATTGATTTCTTGAGAGTGTAGACAAATATCGAAGATGGCAACACATTTTTTGGTTATCAAATTAGTTTGACAAAGCGTAAATACTTATTATAATTTAAGCTCACATTTAGTAAAACCAAGAGAAACTACTAAAAAAAATTACTGAATAAACTTTTGAAAGTTATAATGAAGACAAAGTGTACAAAGTGGTTATTTTATTCTGTTGTTAATGGGATATGAAGAATATATTTAATATTAAATATATTTTACTTATTTAAGTATTGAAAATAAGTTATATAACGGCATTTCAATTAAATATCTTCAAACACTACAAGTGTGCTTGGAATGATGCTCTTCGCTGCAGGTATTTGTAAATGAAAGTCACATCAAATAACATGACAACTGTTGATATGCGAAACACACCACAAAAAGAGAAAAGAACTAATAAAACAAGGACACCAAAGGAGAGGGAAGGGCGCATGAGCGAAAACAGCAGCAAATGGTATAGAATTTCATTCATAAAAGTCTCGAGTATTTCAATGCACGATGTTTTGTTTACGCCAAAGCGGGTGTAAGAACTGTAAACACACACACACACATGCATATATATATGTTTGCTATGCCTATTTGTGTGTGTGTGTGTGAGGGGTTGCTTTTTGAGGCAGCTAACAGAGTATTGCCGTTATGTGCTATGTTAAGTCCTGCGCTGTTAAGCGTCGAGCATCAGGCTAAAGCGCGGAGGCTGAGCTCACAATTGAAATCTGTGCGTTCAGTTGCAGTTGGCGCTTCGTTCGGTGCGGATCGCAGCAGTTGTCGCGCAGTGCGAGTCGATTTTAATAGATTTATAAATTTCTCAAAGAAATTCATTTCGAATATGTCCACTGCTCAGGATGCGAATATGTCAACCATTTGTCAACTGGAAACTGGAAGTGCACCCAAATGCCCCAATGGCAATATGAATAACAATAATAGCGCACGCTCGAGCCGTGTGGGAAGCGCTACGGTTACGAGCACGGATCCGGATACGGATAGAGAACAGGAAGAGGAGCAGGCGCAGCGATTTGGCTGGCATCGTTGCCAGCCGCAGTGGCTGCAACGCTTCTGCACCGCCAAATGGGCGCTCTTCTGGCTCTGCTGGGGCGGCGCACTGCAAGGTGAGTGCCAGCGGGGGTAACGGTTAACGGATAGGGGGTAAGGGTTAGCAAATATCGGTACACTAAATTTTCATTGTGGCTCGTGCTTAATTCACTTAATAGTCCCGTCTCGTTGATCCGCCCACATTCGTTCATCTTGAATTCTTCACTTTGGGCATGCGAATGTGTAAATAACAGTTGAATACGAATTTGCTTGGCGACATTCAAAAACACCTCGCATGACTTTCAGCTAAATTCCCAAAAGCAAAACTTTAAAATTGAATAGCAAGTTTTATATACATTTGTAGAGGGTATTATGATTTTGACGTTAAGTTTGTAATCCCTGAAGTATATATATATTTAATCAGCATCTTTGAAATATATCCTTCTTTTTCTGATCACTCAACAGCCTCAAAAGATGATTTATATACCAGATCTTTCAAAAAGTATATATGTTAGTATTGAAAGCTTTAAAAATATTAGCAACATTTTATTCGTATAATCTAATCTAAATATTTCGACTTACTTTTGGTTAAATTTATAATGCAACTTAGTTTATATATTTATAATATATATATTTTATTCCGGATAGCCGTTCTTATTTATTTTTTAATAATTTCAAAGTTCTTTTGTAAATTTAACATAGAAGATAGCAAATGGAAACTTATTTGAACAGCGCAAGAGTTTAAAGCAGATTACAATCTTATCTAATTGGCATAAAATTCGGTTATCTAATCTAAATAAATTAAATTGGGTTACAGAGTCATGTAAATAAAGGGCTAGTTGAATCACGTTTTCTAGTTATTTCAGCGAATAAAACGATAAAGTCTTCCACAATTCATGAGAATTTGTAATCTTTGTTTAACATGGCCCAAAGCACATTCGAAGTTAGCATATTAATTTGTAATATTCACATAAGATGTTCATATTTATGTATACAGAAATTATAACAGGAATACATTTTAGACTATAGTCTGGGATGTTTCTTATCCGATCTTGATGAAATTTGTCCAGTTGATCAATAATATATCAATGTATATTAATGTATCTCAATTAGAAGACTTTACCTTTAAAATTAAGGCTTTTCTTGAAATGTTGTCTCCGTTACATTTCAGTTATTTCAGTTATCGATCAAATAAAAAAAACTTGATCTGTGCAGGGTATACGAGAAGTTATATTCAAACTTTGAGATGGCTTCCTTCTAACCGTCACATACTTTTGCAGATGGCTTCCTTCTAACCGTCACATACTTTTGCAGAAAACTATTACACCCTTTTTATCAATTTTTATTGGGTTCAGAGAATTTTCCGAATTTTCCGGGATTTTCACGGATTTATTCAAGAATGCCTCGTTTATTTAAAGCGCTGTCACAGACTTACCAATAAATGCAATTTGGGCCACTTAAACGCCTGTTGGCCAGGCCAAGGAATCTTTAACGAACTTAGTGGCAACCTGAATTAAGAAGTGAACGGTAGAAGTGGAAGGAGGAGGAGGAGTGGAGCAATAGCTTCATTAGCATCGCTGAGCAGGCATTGCTGCTTGAGTAGAGTTTCAGGAGCCGAAGGCTGTGTGCAACAGATAAGCGCCTGCAATGGTCGGTGGATGGAGGGGGATGGGGGGCATGGAGCACATTACTGAATGGGAAGCGAGTTAATAATTAATATCAGCCTCGAGCAGTCAACAGAAGCTACATTTTTGTTATTTTTCTTATACTATAGCCGGAGGATGCATTAACCTCAAAACTCAAAACTGGCGTTGCTCTGAATAGTTTGAATGGTTACTGACTGGCTGGTGAGTGAGTGAGTGCGGTGAGTGAGTGCATTGAGTGCACTCGTTGTTGTCATAGGCATAAATCAGAGTGAGAGCAGTGTGCTCTCAACAGTCATGGTAGTCATGACATCGGCCACACCATCTATCCACCGATCCATATTCATGTGGTTAATTAAAATTCAGCAATTGCGCAAAATAGCGGCAAAGGCATGGCATGGATTAGGCAGTGTTCCAGGGATTAGCACGGCTGTCATAGTAGCACAGTCATAGTAGTAGTAGTAGTAGCAGTATTTATGTCTTGGGCGTGCTATAAACAAGCCGTGCAGATTATAGTCTAGTAGTATGCATGGATTGCCGCCTGGCATCTGTTGCACATTGCACATTGTGCTACGTGAGCGCATTTCCTGGCATCGCTTTTTGGACTGGTGTCAAATCCGATGACAAGCCCTATCCTCCAAATGTTTGCCAGGTCGCGTGTTGCGATAAATCTCTACCAGCTCTCCCTGCTTGCTGTTGTTATTGTTGTGTGTTGTATGTTGTGTGTTGTATGTGTTTGTCCATAACAGAGCCGGACGGTTATGAATGGCGGCACGTGACCGAAAATATTAATCAGTTGACATGGCATTAACATAAATCATCCGCAACAATTTTGGATTGCTGCGTTGCTGGTTTCTTCCATATAAAGTCTCTTTTCCACTTGCTTTATTTTGTTTTAATTTGCAAGGCGTGAGATTATCGTGTACCAATAAATTATGGCTATTCTTTAGTGGGGGTTCGAAGTTCGAATCGTTGTTAAGTCTACCAGAGATTGAAATAATTTAGAAACACATCGAATAGAATTAGGAAAACATGTCGTTTTTCTAAGGGGAAGAAACTCTTTTAATGCAAAAGAACTTTTGGTAAATTTTGGTGATTTTAATACTCAAAGTCGTAAGAGGGATATAATTCTTTTGTATAAGTACATATTGCAGATATATATTTTCTTGATCAGCATCGAAAGCCGAGTTGATTTAGCCATTTCGGTTTGTCTTTCTGCATAAGCCAGACGATCTCAGATACTTTAAGAGCTAGGGATTAAATAGATATAAAAGCTCTGGTCTACTCTAGGCAGATATTCATTATTTTATTCATTTCATTTTATTCATAATATCTTTAAAACTCTATTTCTGACATTGACAAAAATCGCCAACACTTAAGATATTTTCTTCTAATCAAAAATGTAAATTTCTTAACGTATTATTGATCAAATGTAAAGATTTCATCCAGATTGCATAAGAAACACAGAAAGTATATTTTAATATTGAACAACTATGTAGATGAGTATAATTTTAAGCAGAGAGCAGCGTGATAATCAAAGCGAGCAGAAATATGTCGCATATATATAATTTAATGTATGTATATGATTTCAGTAATCAGTTTAGAAATACCTGTAATCCTTTGCCTTCAATCCCTTCAGCCACCCATTAAAATTGATTACATTTTTACATTTGAAACAAAACTATAACCATTTATTATTCAATTTAATATAATGTGCTCAACAGCAGGGTGCAGGGTATCTTCTAGTCTAGTCGAGCACTCTTTAGTAGAGCTTCTTACAGGTGCATATTATTAGTTGATCAATCTAGATGACAAATCGCCACAAAATTGGTCTGTTCTTCAAGCATATTTTGCTGGATTTTGGCAAAGTATATTTTTTTACATTTAATCATTTTGCGGCTAATTAAATGGCTACTTCCATTGGAGCCACAATAGCCTTGAGCGTATTGAAAACTCATTGATGTAACTAAATAAATCGGTAGATTGTCACGTATGCAACAAAGTCGAGCATTCTTCAGGCGACTTCACTTCAAATCGAGGCCCAACTCCATTATCTATTGGGGTTTTCTTCTTCCTTTTTTCTTGTTGTTGTCAGAGAGTTTGCCACATCCGCATTACCCACGAGGAAATTGATCCATATTATTGCTGTTTTCAGGGGTAAATGACTTATGAGTGCTTGAGACATTTAAGTTCCTGTTCCTCTGCCCTTCGCTACGGGGGCAATTGCTGCCCATCCTGTCCAGTGTGTGTGTGTATGTTTTGTGTGTGTGACTAAAAGGACATTTTTCAAGCAGGTCGATTATTGGAAAATAAATTGAATTTGTTGTTGCCAATGTCATATTCTAAGCGACACAATGAGTCCAGCACCTCACATAAATACATAAACATATTATTTATGGGACAAAATCAATTTGTCGCACAGATATTTAATTTATAACATCCCCTCCCCACAATCATCCTGCCCTACCCAATCGCTCTGCAGTCAGTTGATATTGTATTGCAATCTGTTGATGTTGCCGGACAATTCCAGTTTCCAAAGTCATAAAATCATCTTAGCTGCTATCGCCTTCTTTTTTTTTATGACACCAGCGTTGAGGGTTGATGTTTGTAATGTGGGCTGGTCTTTAAAAGTGCTCAGGGGAAAGGGAAATGGGGGTTAAGTCCAAGTCTAAGCGTATGAATTAGATTTATTTTGTCAGTTCTATGAATGCTTAGTTGTTTAAAATTTTTTTTATAAAAACCAAATTGAAATTAGAATTAAATCAAAATAGACAAAATTTATATGAAATATTATAATTACAAAAGAATTTTTTTAATACATTATCCTAATATTTGAAAAACAAAAAATAATTAATCATATATATACAAAAAATAATAATTAAAAACATATATACAAAATTAATTTTTTCACATATTTGGGCTTCTTTTTGTTTAAATTTTTCTAATATAAAATATGTATATTTATATTAAGATTTTTTGTGTTTGCCATTTTAAATTTAAGTTTTTTCTATTACTTTAAAATGAAAAATAAAATTATATTTTACATGTTTTTCAATTTTTTTAATTCAATTTTTTTAATTTTAAATTTAAGCTTATGTTTGCTTTTAATTTTCGACCATTTATTTTTTATTTATTTAATCTTATTTTTTATTTTCTTAATCTATTTTTTTAATTTTAATCTACTAAAGTTTGGGGACTACATTTAGTCTGCGTTAAATAAATTTAGCAATTAAGAAAAGAAAATAACTTTTTTAAATTAAATATATATTTAATTTAAACTTATTATTCAAGCTTAGATTTTTTATTGAAACTGCTGGAAATTTTGAAGTGTAGCTAAATTAAACATTTTTTTCCAATTATTACTGGCCACATTGAAATGGCCTGAACTCTAAATTATTAATTAACTAATAGCAAATAAAAATCTTTGCAGGCCTAATTGTGAACGGACTTGTCAATGTGAATATTTCAACGATTGAGCGCCGTTTTGGATTGCGTTCGAGACAGACGGGTCTGGTGGCCAGTGGCTATGATCTGGCCTCGTTTGTCTGCCTGGTGCCAGTGACATACTATGGCGGACGGAAAGGTGCATCCAAGCCGTGCTTCATTGCGATTGGCCTGCTGCTGATGGGATTGGGCTCGTTGATCTTCTCGTTGCCGCACTTTCTGGTCGGCAGCTATCGGGCGACAATTGCCGAGGCGAACATCTGTGAGTGGGATGGCCTGGCGAATCAGACGACAATGCAGTGTGGAGGAGGAGGAGGAGGAGCAGGTGGCACGGCTAATGCTGAGCAGGAGCTGGAGCTGGAGCTGGATGAGCTGGAGTTGGGCGAGAGTTTAACTTGGACGGTGTGGCTGTTCTTTGGTGCACAACTTTTGCATGGCGCTGGCGCCTCGCCGCTATTCACGCTGGGTGTAACCTATCTGGATGAGAATGTATCCACAAAGATGTCATCTGTTTACTTGGGTAAGTTTAACTGTCTCATTGATAAGACATTTGGGCAAACTTTCGCCTCTCTCCGTCTGCTCAAATACATGTGGAAGCGAACTCAAAGCAACTTTTGCACACATGCATATTTATTTTTATTTGCAATATTGGCAAACGACGCCAGCTTCAAAGGGGAAGTAAATACTGTTCACTATTTGCACCCACACCATGCCCACCAATCCCATCCTCTAATCTGCCCTTGCTCCGCACCGCTTATCAGAGACAGAGAACTCAGGCAGAGAAGCTGGCACATCTGCGTCTTCCCATGTTGACCCAATTTTAAAGGCATTGTTGCTGACTCAGCCGGCTGGCAGGAAGCAGAGCTGATGTCAGGACCCACTACAGACCCAGGGGCCAACAAGGACAGCCAAGCGAAATTTATTGCCTCTTAGTTAAGTTTATCGTACGCCATCCGACAACGGCATCGGAATTATCAAACCCGTCCAGCCACGAATATGTCGTCTCTGCCATTGAAACAATTGAAATTCGCTTTTGGGGATTTTGTCTACGCTTTATTTGCTTTTTTGTTTTTACTTTTTTCTTTTTTTTTGTTGTTTTTTTTTTCTATTGTTTATTTGTTGCTCTTGCCTGGCGGCAGCAGTCGAAAAGGATAATGTGCAAACACACATTCGCAGTACGCCCCCTAGTTATTAAATTTGTGCTCGCCCCTCACTCCACACTCACTTGCCACTTGCCGCTTGCCACTTGCCACTTGCCACTTTGAGTGCGCCCTTTGCGCATTGTCATGCAAATTAAGATGCAGCCAAATGATAAAACATGCATCGACTTATTGCCAAAAAGCGTTACCAACCCAAAGAGCCAGGCTGACAAAATAAGTTGCCTCGCCTTTCCAGTTAGACAACGCAAAGTAAACAGAATCGAAAGTATTTAATTTACTTGGCATATTCAAAGCGTTTCATTTCCAGTTTAGTTTCAACAATTTGTTGCAATTTCTCTGACAATTTGTAAGTCTCAAAAGTTGTGTGGCACCCTTGAACTTTTAGAGAACTATAAATTTAAATAAATATTATAAATATTTCTGATCATTTAATTTAAATGTAATTTGAAATTTTATTTTTAATTTAATATAATATATTTTTATATTTTTTTTGACACTAAATAAATAAATAATCGTACACCCGAGTCAGACTTCGCCCCGTTGTAAACTGGGATATCGATAACATCGAAAAGTGCAAATCGATAAGGGAATTTGATAACTAGAGTCATCAAGCTTGAAACTGCTACCGATGAAAAAATTTTCGATAAGCCCCATATTTCCACAGCTTAAAACCTATAACTTGGAAAGTAAATTGTTGGTGACGCCCATTAAAGATCGACACATAAATGAAGCTTCAGAAAAACCTATTACTCTTCCATAGTTCTTGAGGTAGAATCACCAAGTTTGGAAGTTGTATTACCTGAAACCGGCAACAAAGATCGATTATGGCAGCAATCTATAAAAATACATATCTATTATAATTGCAATTAAATTTAAATTTATATTGAATTTTCTTTTTAAGTAGAGTCACTAAATATGGAATGTAGAATTACTGAAAAAATCCTTATTAACATTGGGAAACTTTATGCAACCTAGGTATATCTATTGTGTCCCCTTCCGAGCCTATAGCTCTTCCAACAATCCTAGTTCCTGCATGTACATGAGAATCTTTTTCGGATTGAGGGATTCCTAGGAATAGGATACTATTTCTACTTCCAGTGACACAATCTGTTCGCTTAAGCTTAAATATCCCGAAATTTTAGAGTTAGAATCATAAAATTTCAATGATATAGCAACGAGAGCCAACCCCTGCCGCACCATCAACTGTTATCAGAGTATTCCAATCTTATTGGTTTTTAGATTTGCTTTCTCCAGTGGCATTATTTTGATTATAAATATCAAAATCAATAATTGTGTGTTGTGCGCATGTTTAATAATCGAAAGTGTCTCAATGAATATGTAAATTATTTGTCAACAGGTATTATTTAATAATTTATTTGTTAATAGGAATTTACTATACGATGGCCATAATTGGACCCGCAATTGGATACGTTCTGGGCGGTCAATTGTTGCTCATTTATACGGATTTCGTTAACGTGAACGCTGCTGAGTAAGTGTATATTTATGTATAAATCTATATATATATATATATATAATTACCAATATGTGTGTGGCTTTGATAACGCTCTGAGCAACCTATAAAACCCGTGATGATTGTTATTAATCGTGCGGGCAGCGGGCAAATGGCTTTAATGGTGGCTTCCTGTGGGGCCTGGCGTCGTTCGTGGCAGTGGCTTATTTCTGCGTGTTACCAACGGCAACGGGAATGGGCAATCGGAATGGGAATCGGAATGGAAACGGGAATGTGGCAAATGCCACAAACACAAAGCACGCCGTAGCGTAAATATCTCCGGAGACTAATAAAACAACATTTCGTGCTGACAACGAGCAAATAAGGTGCGAATGGGGATTGTGGAATGGGAAATTGGGAATGAGAGGCATTTGTTTGATACCAAACGTTGGGGGGAGGGGCACAGCATACGGCACGGATAAACCACGGGGCTTATTGTCAAGGTGATGCCATAAGTCATACGGAAGTTGGAGTTGAATCTGGTCGCCACTTTTACGGTCGTCGCATTCAAGTAAATTATGCCAAACAAACTGAAAACATTTTGTTTATGTGCCAAGCTCAAAAAAAGTACACCACTTGGCTTACAAATGTAAATTAACTGTATTACGATTTATTTGCCCGTGAAAAGCACGTAGATAATGGCAATTCCGGCAATAAAACTGATTGTAGACTCAAAAAAAAAAAAGGTGAAAGAACGGAAGACTAGAAATAATAATAATAATAATTATTACTAAAATAATAATAAAAACTACAAATACTACAAACCATAATAAAGTATTTGATTTTGGTCATCATCGAAATTATTATATCACTAAGCAGATAACATATAGAAAGGCGTCAAATCGACAAAAAGTTGACTACCAACAACTAACTAATTCATACTAATTATTTTTATTTGTCTGATTGGGTTTTTTCTGGCGTTTTCCCCAATTTATGCAACATATGTTGGACCACTTTGTATTTAAATACAGCCAGAAATTTTATAAATATTTCTTATTTTTTAATTTATATATACAATTTTAAATTTGAATTTGAATTTGATTTAATTAAAGTTTTTACTTTTTGTATCTATTTGTATCGACTGATTTGAGTTGACATTAAATAAATAAAGGAGGAAAACAAAAAAGTGTTGTAATCGAGTGAGCTCGCTACGATATACCCTGAACCCAGTTGTTAAATATATTCCAGTTTTATTCCACTCTTTCCTAGTGGGAATACAGAATAAAAGAAAACAAACTGACCCGAGCTGATTGACTACAAACAGGCTCGTATGCATACATATATACATACATTCATATACGTAGACGTAATCGTAGATAACGGTGCTCTACCGAATACACAATAAAACATATTTACGCTCGCGTCGATTATCGTGCCATCTCTTTCTCACACATGCGCGTGCATATTTATCTGCACGCAGAAAATATTTGCAGTTGCTGATTGAAATGGGATCAATATGAGATATAAATTAGGTGTTTCTTATCCGATCTTGATGAAATCAATAACAGGCATAAAATTTAAAATTTATTCATTGAAATTTATTGCTATCGGAAATCGAAATATATCGATATTCGAGAAATGAAGGCAGCTTTCGATCATATAAATTTAAATTTATCCGCGCCGGGTATACGAGAGTCTACATACATATATTACAAATTTGAAGTTTCTAGCTTTTATTGACTCTGAGACTCGGCTGTTGATCCTGATCAAGAATATATATACGGGTCACAGTTACTTCCTTCTGCCTGTTATATACATTTGTTTAGAATCAATATACCCTTCACTTGTCTGCCTTGCGCCATATTCTCAAATAGAATAGAGACGCAGCCCTTTATGAGTATGCGTCTGAGCAGGTACAGAATTATTCTATGTGTGCGAGAATAGCAGCAATATTGACTTGCATCTATCCTTGTCTTTTTGTGTGCGAGCTGGGAATGCGATGTAATCTTTTGCAAAATGGGGTTTATATATTGTTGTTCGATTTTGTGACCACAGACCGCAAAATGTATGGTGGAAATTGAAAAGAGGGTATTATTGTCTCGACCTGTGCGATATTTTTCGCCAGTTAGCAAACTTTGAAGCGCACGTGTAGCAGCTGAACGCCAGTGTTGGACAACGCAAGCTGCTCAATGGAGATGCCATGGTGTTGGTCAATGGCAGCAGCAAGCCGCTGATCTTTGCTAACAATAACAGTAGCAGCAGCGGCAGCAGCAACAACAGCAGCTGCAGCAGCAGCAGCAGCAGTACCAGCAGCAGCAACAGCAGCAGCAACAACAGCAGCAGCAGCAGCAACAACAGCAGCAATAATAATAAACACAACAGCAACAACAGTTCCCAATTGCAAAATGGTGTTAATCAATAACCAGCAGCAAACACAAAAACAACAATTAACACAAGAGCAGAAGGAGCAGGACGATCAACAGCAGCAGCAGCAGCAGCATCACGAAGTCCCGCTGGCCCTAGTGAAGGGCACGGATGAGGATGCGGAGCCTAAGCTGGACATTGTCATCAGCAATGTGGTCTGCGCGTTCAGCGTGGGCTGTCATCTCAACCTGCGCAAAATCGCGCTCCACGGCTCCAATGTGGAGTACAGGCGCAAGAGGGGCATGGTCATAATGAGACTGCGTCGTCCCTATACGACGGCATCCATTTGGTCATCGGGCAAGATCAACTGTAAGGGTGCCACCTCCGAATTACATGCAAAGATCGCCGCCCGTCGCTATGCGCGCTGTTTGGCCAAACTGGGTTTTCCGACGCACTTCAAGCATTTTCGCATCGTCAATGTGCTGGGCACGTGCAGCATGCCCTGGCCAATCAAAATCAATCACTTCTCGGAGCGACATCGCGCAAATGCCAGCTATGAGCCCGAGCTGCGTCCGGGCGTCACGTACAAGATGTGCAAGCCAAAGGCCGCACTCAATATCTTCCACACGGGCAGCATAACGGTAATAGCGCCCACCGTTAATGACGTGAAATCCGCCATACAGCACATTTATCCCTTGGTGCATGAGTTCCGTAAGCAACGTTTCGCCGAGCAGCTACAGCATCTCCGACAGAAGCATTGCAACCAGGTCGCCGAGGAGTTTAATGAAGATTCTCTGTTTGTTAACAACACCGCCGCCCATACAACAAACGCCAACCGGCCGCTCGGCTCTAACCTACTGACCAGTGCTCCCATCAATACAATCCACCGCCTGGAACAGGCCATACAGTACAATGAAATGCTCGAGCAGACGCTAGCGAGTCGCCGTCACATACCCTTCACCGGTGAACACACCCAGCACATCAAAGGCAACAACACTACAAGGCACACTACCTTGACCAACAGCAACAGCAACAGCAGCAACATCAACAGCAACAGTTGCAGCAACAACTCCAGCAACACCGGCGACAACATTTGTGCCAATGCTCGACGCCGCGCCATCGAATGCTGGGCAACAAAACTGCAAAATAAACGTCCGTCTTACAATGATCCTCGCGTCACGGGAACAACCAATTCTGGTGGCACCACCAAGCCAAACAAGCCGCTGATTCCTGTCGATATTGTACTCAAGAATAACAAGCTTGCAAGCCCGCAATGCGGCTGCAGTGATGGCAAACAGCAATACCACAATGGCAACAACAAGAAGACAATACAAAATTGCTGAAAGTTCGCCAACCAATTTCAAAGTGGACGATCTAATCGAGGAGGCTGACGATGAGTATTCAATTTTGAAAGAATTCGATTTGATTTGATTTGAGAGAGCGAACTGAATTTGTTGCATATAGCAGCAGCAGCAGCAGATGATGACGGCTAGTTCAAAATCCAAATCAAATATTTTTTTTTTATTATAAATAAAAAAGAAATCAACAAGAAATATTTACATTTAAGATTATATTTAGGAGGAGATAGAGACAGAGAGAGCGCGACAGAGAGAGCGAGGCAGAGAGAGCGAGGCAGAGAGAGCGAGGCAGAGAGAGAGAGAGAGACAGAGAGAGCAAGCTGCAGGCCCCGTTATTCACCTAAGTTGCTCAGCTTTTTCGAAATGGTATAAATACAATTTACCATGTGCAAATTCAGATAAAGACTAACTGCACCAAACATATATCAGCCATTATGCGCGCTACTAATAAATACGTATAAATAAATTTACATTTACATATTAAAACTTTCAATAACTGTGAGTAAAAACATGTGCAACCAGAACGCTCAGTACTCCAATGGAACGCGCGGAAACTGGAACACAAGAAACAGCCAATCACAAACACACACATCAATACATACACATAACACACACGTTACACACACACACACACAAATCTTCTTTTTATGTATATGAGGAAACCATCGCCCAATAAATACAGTTATCACACTAAAACTTTGGCATTGCTTTGGTCACAAGTTTTAGTTACTTTTAGTCTACCATATTGTTAAATAGTTTGACATTTGCTGTACTACCGTTACGCCGTTACACCATTACCGTTAATGGAGAACTGCTCTAACCTCATATTTTTGTAGCCACCAAATAATTATTATTATTTTATTATTATTATTTTAATGGAATTTTCATCAAATTTTGTTTGTTAAACACCAATTTAAGTACTTATTGAAACATTCGGAATCAATCAATTATTTTTTGATATATACATACTAATCTTATATCTAGTCACCAATCTGTAAACCAACAACAAAAATATTAAACAAATATTGAATGGATTGCTTAATTTCCAATATATGAAATGTCTTTTTTTAAATTTTAAGTTTTTAAATCATCCAAAAACGGAAAAGAGATCCAAAATCAGCTGTTAAATATCTAAGAGGTTTGCTGCTTACCTTTTGATCCTTGATGGTTAACTTGCCTGTGTATGTTAAATTAAAATTGGAAGGCTATATCTTCGCAGTTGAGTCACTTATCGGAAATCGATTTATATTGGGGCGATTATCGATCAATCCCAATAAGCTTGTATTCGAGAATGTAAAGTTTTTAGATCTTACAGTCTTTCATACAGGCATGACTCTCGACTTATCTGTTGATGCTGATCAGGAATATATATATTTGTATATATTTAAGGGGTAGAAGATGCTTTCTTCTACCTGTTACATAAGTTTTCTCAGCTTCATTACACCCTTTTCGGGTATAACAATTAACCAGTTTACATGCAACAATATTACGTATACGCACACAAAAATAATACATTTAATGATATTATTTCTTGGCGAAAACATTGGGAAATCGAATTATATATAGATTTTTAGCAACAGCAAACACTATTTAAATATATATTTGCAAAATTTCATTTATTAAAAATCTGATGAACAACTTAAAAAATTAAATCAGGATTAGGAAACATAAAAACTTATGCCAGAATATTCTTAAAATGTTTAATAAGCTTATATGTGAAGAAAGTAATCATCCATTATTGTTATTAGTGACCCTTTAATGGAATCCAATTGATATTCTTGTAGCCTAAGCCTGACGAGCGATAGCAAAGTGTGGATCGGTGCCTGGTGGATTGGCTTTGTGTTCGCCGCGATGATCTGTTGTCTTATTGCAATACCCATTTTTGGCTATCCCAAATCACTGCCCGGTGCTCAGAAGTTGCAGCTGGCCAAAATATCGGAGGCGCACACCAAAAAACCAAAACTGGATGAGGGGCCAGAGAGGATGGAGCAGCAGCGACGGCGTCTTGGAGAGCTGCCCCAAGCGATACTCGCGCTCTTCAAGAATCCGACCTTCTTCTTCCTGAACTTGGCAGGCGCCACGGAGGGTATGGTCATAGCGGGATTCGCTGCATTTCTGCCCAAACAAATTGAGAATCAATTTGGCATATCGCCAGTGATTTCTGCGCTGTTGATGGGTCTGATTACGGTGCCAGCGGGCGGAGGCGGAACCTTTCTGGGCGGCTATCTGGTGAAGAAGCTGAACTTGGCCTGTGGCGGCATCATCAAAGTATGTTTGCTGGCCACCGTTGTGGCCACGTTCTTTACCAGCTCTTTCCTTGTCTCCTGCCCCAATGCATCCTTTGCGGGCGTAACAGTTCCCTATGTTCCAGCAGCGCAGGTGAGCAGCGGGAGAGTCTGGGAGCTGGAGGCGCCTTGCAATGTCAATTGTGGCTGCAGTCGTGGCAACTATGATCCCATTTGTGGTGCCGATGGGGTCATATATTACAGTCCCTGCTTTGCCGGCTGCGGCCAGGAGCAGCAACTGGACACACTGAAGACATACAACAACTGCAGCTGCATCGTGGAGTCCCTAATCCAGCCGGCAGCGACCAATGTCATGTGCGAGTCCAAGTGCCAGAGTTTGCCCTATTTTATTGGCCTCTGTTTTCTCCTGATGCTCTTCACTTTTTTGGCCACGATGCCAGCGCTGTCTGCCACCCTCAGGTAAGAAGTAAAATGGAATAAAATCATAACTTCGATATAAATGTTCGTTTTTGGCAGTAGTTAGTAGTTGGTACTTTGCTATTGGGTATCTGCTGGTCGGGCAGTCTCGACTAGATCACTCTGACTGGGTATCCTATTTGCAGATGCGTTCAGGATGAGCAGCGTTCGTTTGCCTTGGGCCTGCAGTGGATCAAGGTGCGCTTGATGGGCACCATACCTGCTCCTCTGATCTTTGGCGCTCTGATTGACGAGTCCTGCATCCTGTGGCACGAGTCCTGTGACGACCAGGCTGGTGGCGCCTGCTTGGTCTACGATAATTTCTACATTAGCCGGTTGGTTTAGAGTGATTTTTATTTTTATAATTAGTTGCAATCGTTATAAAATGTGCTCGTGCTTTCAGTTATATGTGGCTGCTGGCGCTGATTGGCAAGATTTGCTCGGTGCTCTTCTTTTTGGGTGCCTGGTGGTTCTATGTGCCCCCAAGTGAGTCTCCGCATATCAAAAAAGATGCCGAAATGTGAGATAAACATTTGATATCTAAGGGACTGAAATATACTAAGTAAGCTCACTACCATTTCTACGAATACGAATAATTACTTAAAATACCCGCTTCGATTTCAGATTTGATTAGAATTCAAAAATATTGTAATAAATCAATCCATCAAATTAAGCTTCACATTTATATAACAAATTATTACTGGTCTCATTTACATTCTTAGGCTCCCTTCTTAAGTCTACTTTAATCAATAAGTCTCTCATAAGTATTTATTAAATATCACATGTATTTGTAGACCTATAAATTATTATACAAATAAATTTGATAACATTTCAACTCAGCAGTTACATTTCAAATACCCTTACAGTTGCCGCCAAGTCGGTTAACAGTAGTCTGTTAATGCAATGTTGTGTGAAGTTGGCTGCTAACGCAATGTTGCGTTACGCGAAATTAGCTGCGCACGCGACAATGGGGATGCCACCTGATCATGTTTAGCTCCACACACACTCTGGCAGTACTGGGGGCATTGTTTTTTAATTTGTTGTTGGATTTCGTACGGTACGGTTGTGGTGTGCGGGATGTTTTTGCTGCAAATAAATATGCCAACTTGACGCACTATTTTGTTTAAGCAAAAGCAAAAAAATAATGAAAACAGAAAAAAAAACTTAAGCAACGCAGTGGTGAAGAGACATCGTGCAACACTTAATTTATAATTAATTTGCAAAAATAACAAAAAATTAATTGATTTTATACAAAAGTGCTTAGTGCATTTGTGTAATAAAAGTAAGCCTAAATCATGTGCAATTAAAGGGTCAATCACCCAATAACATAATAATAATAACAGCAAACAGCAACAATAAAAACTTAAAAGTAATACTAGCCTATAAACAATTATATTTAATTATAAATTTACAAGTTACGCGAAGCAGCTGAAAAAATAAATAAGGTAAAATTAATTGATGGCGAGCGAAATCGAATTTGGTTTAAAAATCACCACACACACAGTGATGCAACTGCAGGCGAAACAAAATAAAGCACTTGAGTCGCATGTGTGTGTGTGTTTGTGTGTGTGTTTGCACACGTGTGTGCACACACATTGAGAAAGGCAGCATTAAAGAGAGCTGCGCGCAACAATACAAAACAAAAACAATGCAGCCAACATCAGCAAAAAACAAAAAAATATGAACATTTAAAAATTGAGAAAAAAACAAATGCAAACAATGCAAGGTGATTTTGAGCATTTAATCTACTTACCACTGCTGCAAGCAACTCTTTGTCAATGTGTGTGTGTGTGTGCGCATACTTAAACACAAAAACACCTACATATAGAAATACATGCACATATACAAATACATATACATATACATATCCATGCAAACGTGTCTCGTTTCTTGCTTCTTCTTGGTTTCTTCTTGTTGTCTGGCTCCCAGTCATATGTAGTGTGTTGTTGTTTCCCCCACCCCCACTCTCTACCCTTCCACCAGACTTGTTTTGCCCTACAGCTGTACATTATATGTGTGTGTGTAGGTATGTGTGTGTGTGTGTGTATTTACGTTTGCAGTCGCACTTGTTACAGATTCATTTTTGGTTTTCCTCTTTGCTGCCCCCCACAGCGCCAAAGGTTTTTCTTTGTTGTCGCTCGCGTTGCCCATTTTTTTTCTTTTGCAGCCTTTACCTATAAAATTTGATGTTAGAAAAGCATATAAAACAACTGTCAGCTGTGCATAGTCATAGTCTGTGCAGTGGTCTATTATAATAACAGTAAACTTTTTTTCTTCAGCGAACCTGCTTACTAGATGTAGGCTGTTTCCTTCTTAACTCTTTTTTCGGACAACTTTAATTTATGCACAATGATTAACCGATATACAGGGTATAATTTGGTGTTGCCCGTCTTGTATGATTTGTTTCTGAGTTGCCAACTGATTTGTTTTTGCATAATCGTTCTTCCCTAGACAAAGTCGGCCATTCTTGTCTGCTAGCATTAGTGAACGCTAAGTGCTCTGGCAATGCCAATACATACATACACACATACATACATATATAATTTTGCCTAAATATTAAATACAAATGTATGTATGTGTGTGTGTATATCGGTTCCCTTTTATCGATCTGTGCTTGATGTATGTGTGTTTGTATGCGTGACATGCGTAAATCTTTTCAAGTATGTGCTAAAAGTGCCTCATAATAGCAAAAGCTCACAACTTATGAATTCAGGTGATTCTAAAGAGTATTTGTGATCGTATTACGGATATCATAAAAATCTATTTATAGCTTTACGTTAATTATAAAACTCACATTCAAATATATTAGTACTAATTGTGCTAATCAATTTATATTATCCGTAATAAATTGCACATTTTATATCAGCTATACATCTAATGCACACATTTGGAATGCATATCATTTTTAAAGCTTGTTAATTATACAAATATTTAAATTGTTTATAAAATCATTTAAATGCTCTTTAATAGAAAAGGAAATATTTTCAAATTGACAGCTAAGCCCAAAAATGATGCCCTTTATTAAGCTTCCGCTTTCACTGCTGACAAAAAAAAGAAAAGACAACGACTTCAAATAAGTCCCAATGACTTTTTGGCCACTACGAAATTCCATTTTAAGATTATGGCCATTCTTAATATGGCATTCGGTTCAATTCAAGTGGGTTTTATAATATATAAAATACCCAAAATGCTTACAAATCGAAATCGAATCGAAATTTAGTTTTCACTCTTCATAGACAAAAAAAAATTATTTCTGAATAATAGTGTTTAATAAATTGATTATAGCATTTAATGTGATGTTAAAATTTGTAATACAGGTTTGTGTCTTTTTTTAATTTACTATTGTGAGGTATATATAAGTATGAACATATATATATATATATATATCTGATTCTCACCCAATCCACTTTCGTTTTGTAACGAGTTCTTGAGTTTGGTCATGGCATAAGTAAGCTCGTTACTTCTTGTTTGCTTTTTTTTGTTATTGTCATGTGATTTTTCAAAGTATTATTTTTTTTTGCTGAGCTGTTGGCGTGTTGTCGTTCAACAAACTGCAATCAGATCAGGCGTCGAAGAGAAAACGGGTTTTTCACACATTGAGATACACTGACACACACAAACTACTTGTTCTTTGAGCATTTATCTGAGTCAGCATTTAGCGTTCAGCTCAATAAATTAATGAAATTATCAAAATGCGCAAACGTGAGCAAACTGTTCAATATTTTTAGAACACATCTATGTGTACAACTTTTTTTTAGCAATATTTCGCTCAATTATTCAAAGTATGAAGACATGTGCCAAAATATTTGCATAGAAATTGCAAAGTTAAATTTTTAATTTTGTACGATTTATAAATTGTATGATTTCAAATAAATTTAAGGTGTAGTTTGCATGGGTATATATAATATATGTATGCCCATCTATAGATTTAATTTCCTATGTTAAGACTAACACACACACATAGACTATAGCTGTTGTGGCCCAATATTCGAGCAGCTGTGCCCGTTTCTTGCGGTTGGCTGCCTCAGAGTTACTCCACTCCGCTCTCCTCACCATCTAGCTCTGGTTTGCTCTCTTCGTTTTATTCTATTTGGCGTTCCAGTTCTGCACGTTTTTTGGGGCCCAGCTCACAATTAGTTGACTGGCAGCAGCAGACGACGGACCTGTTGGGTTCGCTGTGGCCAAAAAAAAAAAAAAGCATTTCGCAAAAATCAAAATACATAATAATGAACACAAGTTCGCAGATTTAACGGTGCTTGTCTGTCTCATAGGTAACCATTGAGGAAATTTAAACCGGTTCCGTTTCGATCGTCGCTTCGTTAGCTCATTCGCTCATTTGCTCACAGGTTCGCTCGTTCGCTCGCTCTCTCGAGTTGCTTATTGAACCGATTCTCGCTCACTACAAAGCATGCAGTATCTGTGTGTGTATTTTTGTGTCTGTATTTGTGGTTTTTCTTTGCAATTCTTCTTGATTGATGTACATAAATATATCTACGTCCGAATATCTTTTAACGAAATGCATTAAATAAAAGAAAACCCAAATATTTATTCAGCGCCAATAAAAAGAATTCTGAAAATTTTCAAAATAGCGAAAAATTTACGTAAACACACAAATATTTTGTTTATAAAAAAAATAAAAAATAAAAATCACAAATAATACGAAATTTAAAACGGAAAATTAAGCGATTGCTTTCAACGATCTGCCAAGGATAAACCTGTTTAAATATGACATAAGAGGTGAGTGACTTTCTAGTATTATCAGGTTGAAAAATATAAATATGAAAAATATATACAGTACAGTATATATAGAGTAGATATTAATATAGAGTAAAATACACTTAAAGAACAAATATTATTATTTGTTACTGTAAGAAATATGGTTTTACAAAATGTGTCAGCTAAATATATATATATATATAATAAAAAATATAAATATATATATATATATATATTCTTAAAGTTTAAAGTCAATCCTTCACTGAGTTATGCCTATAATAATTATTTATTTTAAACTTTTCTCATGACATAAATAAAGATCTAAAGATCTTGTTTTTTATTGACTTTTAGTGCCCATGAAAGTTTTATGTTATTTATGTGTGTCTGAATGTCAACGAAAACAATTTCGCAAGCTGAGTAAACTTTGAGAAACTGTGTCAATTAGCATTTGAAAAGTTGGATTTGGTTTTTGGTTACATTACGTGATTTGTTTTCGATTTGACTAAGCGAAATAAGAAGCAAACATTTTAAATACAAGACTGTGTGACACCAAATATCAATCAAAGCTCAGCTATTGTTGAAAGCTAAAACTTGGGCATAAGTCACACACACACACATACACACACACACTCCCAGCTGAACGAATAAGTTTTCAAACTAGCAAAATGTTTGGCCGATTTGCTTGTTGTATTTGTTGTTGCTGCCCACAATCAAGGCATGGAAAATGTGTGGAAAATCGATTAAAACAACGTAATGGAAAAACTTCAAGCTGCCGAAAAAAAACTAGCTTATCAGCCCACAAAAATGTTTCGCCATCGAAAATAAAAAGCACTTGCATTTTTTTTTAGTTGGTTTTAGTTTTTAATCAATGATTTTCGCCTTCTTATGTACTGTAATCATATAAACAAATAGTTATTCTCAACTTGTTGTTGTTGTTGGCTTTAATGCTTAATGGCTTTTTGTGGGTTTTGCTTTCGAGCCCAGTCGTAACTTTGTCTTTTTTTTAGGCCTATTACAAACAGCCCTCGCATTACAATTAAGTTATATAAAATATTGTGTATTTGTGTGTGTGTGTGTGTGTGAACAATATTGTTGTAATAATTGAATGGGTTTTTTTCTATTGTCTAATTACCAGCAAAAACTCAAAGTAAAATTAAATTTTGTGTTTTTGGCCTAGGAGGAAATGTATTTATTATTCGATATACAACTTTTGACACCCTAATCGGTTAATTATGAATTCAGTTTGAGATTATGTAAAATCATGTCTACGTGCGTTTCTGCAGCTATGTTATTTTAAAGCACAATTTTGTATAACCATTCATTAGTATGATATAAGTTAAAGTTTACGTAAATCTTAAACTTGATACAGAACTGCTTAATGTAAATATTATTATTATATTACATTGATACATATTCCTTGGCAATTAGCCACTTAAGTGCTGTGTAAACCACATCACTAACATTTAATTTGATTTATTCCTTTGTGCGCTCTACTTAATCATAAAAGGCCAAAGCAATATTAATGCCAAGTATAAACAAAGGCAAAAAACTTTATTGGAAATGGGCGGCGAATTTAAAAAAAACAAATACTTTTTTATTTTAGTTAACACAAACAGAAGTTGTTTGTTTATAGATTGGCTTTGCCTATTTGACGGGCCCATGCCTAAACTTTCCATTCCAGTGCCCATTAAATCCACATTAAAATAACAAGCTGCGCACTTAAAATTTCAGTTTACAAACTGCGTACATATTTTACTTTTATGGTGCGCTTCAGTTAATAACAAATGTCTGGTGTTTTAATTGGGTTTTAAAATGTTTAGACACTAAAAGAAGTCGCCACTTTAAATGCCTAAAATATGGTATAACCGAATCGTATAAATCCACAAATAGAGTTATATCTTATTTATTAATTTGGTGGGACTCAATTTGTGGCAACAGAAAAAACTCATAACAAAATGACAGTAAAACAATTTCATTTTCATATGCGGGTTTTATTTTCATTTCTCTGATTCTGGCGGTGCGGAGAAAGCAGTTGGCGTCGACTAAATAACAAAAAAAAACAATGCGTAATTTTTGAGAAACAACAAAAAAAAAACTGGTATTGCGCTGGGTACAAGCTGAGCTTGTCTCTGAAATACCCTGTTTATTTTTTGTAGAGTTGATGAAGTTTTGCAAAGGCATTTAAAAGGTAGAAGAAAGCATTTCCGATTTCTAAAGGTACAAATACTCTTGATCAACATCAAAATCCAGTCGATTTAGGTGTCTATTTGTCAGTCTTTGAAGATTCTAAAATAACATAATTTTTAAGAATTTCACATCATTTTTAAAAACTTTCAAATCAGTTGAGAAACATAAAAAATATCGTATATAGCTTGAAGCTTGCTTATGTATTATATACTTTGCTTTATATATATTCCGCTGATCTTTCTGAAGTTTGATTGATTGGGTATACCCGTTGCGCTTTGTTAGGGGTGCAGGGTATAATTATATACCGACTATTTGCCCACCACGACAACTACAACAGCAATAAAAATAAAAAATAAATAATAAACAATAATAATCTGTGTAAGTTCACAGAGACAACTACAGCAGCAACAATTTAACTTCTGTGCGTATTTCAGTGTATCTCTAACTATATCTCTCTGTGTATGTGTGTATGTGTGTATCTGTGTGTCGAATGACATTTGAACAGATTTAGGGCGCACCTATTCACCTATTTATTTAATCTTTTCATTATGGCACAACACACGAGTAAATTTGTTGTATTTGTGTGATTGCTCTTACTTTGTTGCATGTTTGAATTTAACAAACATATTTTATTTAGGTCATTTTAATATGTATTCGTGTGCTTTGTGTGCTACTGTTGCAATTGCAAGTCGTGGCGTGTTTATCTAAGCAAGATTTGGTAATAAAATCTACGCGATTTTTGCATGAGTCGCACAATTAAAACGAATTTTCCACCTTTGTATTTTTGCATTTTCCTGTGCGATTTCACATTTCACAAGCAGGAAGTGAGTGCGCGATAATAAGTGCCAGGTAATAAACACACACATACACCCACACACACACACACACACACTGAAATTGCTCAAAAGTTTCATATATTCATCACTATTCAAATTACACATTTTGCTAATTGCTCTTTTTTTTATAAATTCCAAATTGTTAGTTTTTATTGCCATAGATCACAGATCAACGAATTTTTACAAAAATATATTCATTTGGTTGTTTTTTTTTTTTGCATTTATATATTTATTTTGAAAATTAAACCAAACTATATTTTTGGCTCAGTGAGAGGTGTTTATGGCTAAAATTGCACATTGTGTTTTCCAAAGCTTTTCCATTACAGAAATACCTTTGAAATATGTATTAGCACCGAGTTCAATATATACGCCTACTGGAAAACTTTCGTGTTGGTCTTTTGTGTGGTTCTTTTCGGATTATTGGGGGCAGTGCAGGCTTAGCGGGTGCATTTTGTATCTGCTTAGTTGAATGTTGAACTCAAGCTAATTTTTAGTATACATAAACAATGCGCAAATAGCTTGAGTTGAACAAACAAACACTGGCAGTGGAGAGCTTCTCATGGCTGCTGTTGATGCCGCCCAGATAGTGGATAGTAAATGTTGTGGACACCACATTGTTTGTCGGTCTATCTTTATAATCAGGCCACTATCTGTTTGTTTTCGTTGGTAAATACAATTCACACTCGAGTACGGCCAACATTGAGATTAACAGCAACAGCTTCCATTTATATACCCTCTGTTGTACCCGGCACAGTTTTTGAAATTTTTGAAATTTATAGAGGTTACTGTAATATTTCTCATTCGTATGTCAAAGTTTATGCTAGTTGACAACCAGTTTCGATAACTCATCCTATTTTATTAATTCTAATCTTAAATCGTGTTTCCAAACTTAATTGCAGCATTAATCTAAATGACATCTCAAAGCCATTCCTCTAACTCAAGCTACAAAACATTAATAAAGTAAGAATATTTAAGCTATGCATTTAAAGTCTCTAATAAACTCAGTCTGGTCTGGTTTTTATTATACTCTTGTACAGAAGTTAGATGAGTATGTTGACACCCTTGAAGCTTGAGACTTGAAAATTTCAACTTCCAAAATATCACAGAGTTTCACAGTTCGAGTCAGTTCGAGTCAAATTTAATGAAAGCCTCTGTCAAATTTGTTCAAAACGGGTACCAGAGTATGCGGCAATCGGTTACGGTCGATTGTAATGTTCTCACTTTTGTTTTTTGTTTGCTGTATGGTAAATTTATTTATAATCTCAATGCGGTCCGTGTCGTAGTGTTGTCAGCCTCCTACGACAAAATTTGTGTCTGTTGCTGTTGCCACGTTCTCTGCTCGGCTATTTGCCTCGTCGACTTGGCGTCTATGCCTGTGTGTGTGTGTGTTAGGCTAAAAGTTATTTTCGTATTGGTGCCCCGCTGCTCACATACACACACAGGCACACACACACACAACACGTGCCTAAACTCACACACATTTTATACAGTGTCATCGTTGTCGTTTTTGCTGCCGGTGCCGTTTCTCTTTTTGAATTTAGCGCTAATCTCATTATATATATATAGCCATAGCAATGCATATTTCATAAACAAAGTGAGCAAATGACGTTTATTTGAATTTCTGAAATAATTGACGCACATTTTGATGATATTTGCTCAGCTGATGTTTGTCAAACTCCAATTGCCTAGCTTAAGATAACAAAAAACAAAATAACAAAATGACAAACAGCAAGAGCTGGCTGTGTTGTTCGCCAAAAATTGCATACCCTTGTAGAATGGAGAGTCAACCCGTCAACAACTTTGTTTTGCACCGGAAATGGAATTATTATTTTGTATTTCTACGTTTTAAACCGATTTTAATTATATGTTTTCTGTTTTATGACTGGTTTTTACCTGAAAACTCCACATTTGTGCACTTGTATTGTATCAGCATTTTCGAGATGTATATTTCTTGCATTTATATAGATTATTCCTATGCATTTATTATTGATTATTCCT